CGGGGAGCGGTGGCATAGTGGTTAGCGCTACACTGCGCTTCGAACCCGGCGTCCCGAGTTCAAGTTCCGCTCACGGCCAACACCAGTGACGATTATTCAGAATCGTTCGTGGGCCTACCCTAGGTCAACTCAGCCTCAAATGAGAACCCGGTGCGGTGTGTGGGGAGACAAAGGTGGCCGGGCATGGTGTTGACCACGCCACGCCTTCGTGCGCCACGCGAGACTGGACAAGATCCTCTCTAGCTGGACAGGGTGTTAAGAAAAAGGGTTTTTGCCCGACACATCACATCTATTATACATTTTCTTTCATGACATTGCTGTTGACTCGGATTATTCAACAGTTCACCGGTAACCCAGTAAACCTGTTTAACCGGTAACCGTCTTAACAATCGACTACCGGTCCCGAAAGCGAGGAACCGGTGTGTTTGTTACGAAGCGAATTGTGTTGGGAAGAGGTGGGAAGAGGTGGGGGCCTCCCCCACTTTACCCCCCACCCCGCACGCGACCTGCACAGTGAAGTGTGCCCTTTGTGGGCAGAGACGGGGGTGGAGGAGGGGGGGAAGTGGAGGAGGGAAGTGAAAGAGGGGGGGGAGTGGAGGAGGGGGCGGAGGAGTGGAGGAGGTGGGAGTGGAGGAGGGGGTGGAGGAGGGGGGGGAGTGGAGGAGGGGGGAGTGGATGGAGGGGGATATGGAGGGGATGGAGGGAGGGGGGGGTAGAGGAGGGGGGGGGCGATTGGAGGGGGGTATGGAGGGGGGCTGGAGGAGGGGGAGATGCAGGGGGATGGAGGGGGGGATGGAGGGGGGGATGGAGGGGGGGGATTTAAGACTTCTCTCCCCACGTTGTTTCAACATCCACGTCGTCGGGATATGGAATCGAACCGAACCCCTCTGGGTCTCAAGTCTCCGCGTGCGCTGCTCACCGTGCCACCACCGGGGCAACTCCCTTCCGCTTCTCACTTGAAAGAAGGGAACTTGTTCATCGGCGTTGCTGCACATTTCTGTCGATGCGGCAAACCGGTTTTAACCGGTTTTTCCGGTGTTTTATTTTTTTCCACGCGGTCACAGGCAACGCAGCAAGGATCCTCGACTTCAAGCGCCCAACTTGTTCGGGACGTTTGCGTCGATCTGTGTTCTTGCAGCGCAGCCGCCAAGGCAGCAGCAGCAGCAGCAGCGTGGGCGTCTCAGCGTTGTTGGTCAAGAAAGTGAATTTGTGTTGGAGGCCCCGCGGAGCGAGTGGCGTGCGGTGTGTGCGGTGCTTCTGTCGAGCCGCGCATTCACATTTAATTATAGAGATGGGACAGTGCAGTTGTAAATCCTTCACGTCGCAAGCAACGACGTCAGGACTCGGTCCAGCAGAGCCAGAAAGTTTCATCTCATCCACAGCGCTTGGAGGTCACAACAACCCACTCGCTCAACTCGCCCACTCGCTCAACTCGCCCACTCGCTCAACTCACCCACTCGCTCAACTCACCCACTCGCTCAACTCACCCACTCGCTCAACTCACCCACTCGCTCAACTCACCCACTCGCTCAACTCGCCCACTCGCTCAACTCGCCCACTCGCTCAACTCGCCCACTCGCTCAACTCGCCCACTCGCTCAACTCGCCCACTCGCTCAACTCGCCCACTCGCTCAACTCGCCCACTCGCTCAACTCGCCCACTCGCTCAACTCGCCCACTCGCTCAACTCGCCCACTCGCTCAACTCGCCCACTCGCTCAACTCACCCGATTACGCACTCACCTAATCACTCACCAACCCACCTACTCACTTAACTCAGCCACCAACTTGCTTAACTCACTCACCTCACTCACCTCACCCGCTCACCCACTCACCCACTCACCCACTCACCCACTCACCCACTCACCCACTCACCCACTCACCCACTCACCCACCCACTCACCCACCCACTCACCCACGTACTCACCCACTCACCCACTCACCCACCCACTCACCCACCCACTCACCCACGTACTCACCCACTCATCCACTCACCCACCCACCCACTCACCACCCACGTACTCACCCACGTACTCACCCACTCACTCACCCACGTACTCACCCACTTACTCACCCACTCACTCACGTAATCACCCACCCACCTACCCACTCACCCGCCCACCCACACTGCATGTCACACCACTTTATTTTTTCGCTTCCTCCCTCCCACTGCTCCACTTTGTAAATTCACCTCCCAGCATCGTCGTCATCATCGTCATCGCCTCTTCCCCTCCCCCACCAAGCTCGTCTCAGAACAACAACAACCTCGCTCGGTTCCAGACACGTGTTGGTGACTCCAATCCCTGACGGTGTTGATCACAGCGCTATTTGTTGCTGGCCGCGTGACGTTCTGGGCCCTGTGCTCCCAGCAAAACGAGCTGCGAGCGCAGCGGCGGTGAGTACCACGGGGAGAGTGGTGGTGAGTTCCACGGGGAGAGTGGTGGTGAGTTCCACGGGGAGAGTGGTGGTGAGTTCCACGGGGAGAGTGGTGGTGAGTTCCACGGGGAGAGTGGTGGTGAGTTCCACGGGGGAGTGGTGGTGAGTATCACGGGGAGAGTGGTGGTGAGTTCCACGGGGAGAGTGGTGGTGAGTATCACGGGGAGAGTGGTGGTGAGTTCCACGGGGAGAGTGGTGGTGAGTATCACGGGGAGAGTGGTGGTGAGTATCACGGGGAGAGTGGTGGTGAGTATCACGGGGAGAGTGGTGGTGAGTTCCACGGGGAGAGTGGTGGTGAGTTCCACGGGGGGAGTGGTGAAGAGTTCCACGGGGGGACTGGTGGTGAGTTCCACGGGGAGAGTGGTGGTGAGTTCCACGGGGGGACTGGTGGTGAGTTCCACGGGGGGACTGGTGGTGAGTTCCACGGGGAGAGTGGTGGTGAGTTCCACGGGGATAGTGGTGGTGAGTATCACGGGGAGAGTGGTGGTGAGTTCCACGGGGAGAGTAGTGGTGAGTTCCATGGGGAGAGTGGTGGTGAGTTCCACGGGGAGTGGTGGTGAGTACCATGGGGAGAGTGGTGGTGAGTTCCACGGGGAGAGTGGTGGTGAGTTCCACGGGGAGTGGTGGTGGTGAGTTCCACGGGGAGTGGTGGTGAGTACCACGGGGAGAGTGGTGGTGAGTTCCACGGGGAGAGTGGTGGTGAGTTCCACGGGGAGAGTGGTGGTGAGTTCCACGGGGAGTGGTGGTGAGTTCCACGAGATGAGTGGTGGTGAGTTCCACGGGGAGAGAGGTGGTGAGTTCCACGGGGAGAGTGGTGAAGAGTTCCACGGGGGGACTGGTGGTGAGTTCCACGGGAGGAGTGGTGGTGAGTTCCACGGGAAAGAGTGGTCGCTCACCAAGCCTCGCAGTGTCGGATTAACAAGACACGCACAGGCTATGATGTTGATATCGCTTTGCATGTTTGGTTAAGTTTAATTTTCTTGAAGCGCACGTGTGTGCACAGGTGTGGCATACTCCATTCTGGCAGTGTACGTGCGTGTGTGCCCGTCTCTGCGGGTGGAGCTGAAGTGCAGTGGTTAGCGCGCTGCGCTACGAATCCGGCGAGTTCGAATCCCGCTCAGGGCCAACACCGGTGACGATTATCTGAACCGGTCCTGGGCCTCCCCTAGGTCGACTCAGCCTCAAAATGAGTACCTGGTGCGGTGTGTAAACATCGCCAAAGGTGGGCGGGCGTGGTGCTGCCCGCCCCCCACTCTCCCCCCACTCTCCCCCCACTCTCCCCCCACTCTCCCCCCACTCTCCCCCCACTCTCCCCCCACTCTCCCCCCACTCTCCCCCCCACCCCGTGTGCCTTCCCGGCCTTCGTCGGTGCCGCTCGCTCACAGCGAAGGCCCCACGCGCGGTGTCCGCGTGTCCCGGCGCGCACCCCGTGGGCCCCGCGTGCCGCTGGCTGCGTGTGACGTCATGGGGCGCACAATTAGTCTGTGCTCGTGTGGCAGCAGCCCGCGACTCGAAGTCTCGCATGATGCGGGGTGGTGTGCTGGGTTGGTGGTGGGGGGGGGGCTTGTGCCGGCTGTGCGGGAACAGCGGGACGGACGGCATTCCGCGGTCTCGCTGAGCCGCCGCTGCCGTCGGGGTGTGGGTCTCGTTTGTATTTGATGAAGCAGTGACGGGAAAGGTTCCCCAATTCCCCCCCTCTCTCTCTCTCTACAAACCGCCTCCTCCTCCTACTGGGACAGAGCACACGCGTGGGTGTCGCAATAGGCGGTGGATGACGACGTGAGTGGCTTGCGCATCGGCCACGTCGCGGTTATTTCCAGTCACTTGGGCTCTGACATTGGAGCCGTCGCGCACCCTACGGTCAGCCCGCCGCCGCCTGGCTCCACGGACGTGTTCGGGTCTTCTTCTTCTTCTGCACTTGGGGAGCGTGAATCTGTGCATCGTGTACGGCGACTGTGCGCGCACGGGCCCACACAGACACATATCTCCCAGGTAGCCTGCACACACTGCCAGGGCAAGTGCTGCGAGCGGAGGTAGCACCTATGCAGGCCACAAGGGTGGCGGTGTGGCCGGAACGCCACCGTTGTTGACGCGTCGCACCCAGGGCACTCGCTTCAGGGAGGTGGAGAAGAGGCCCAGGACCGGTCCAGGTAGTCGCTACCGATGTTAACCCATGGCCCGGAATCGAACTTGGATCACTTGATTTTTTGATCGCAGTGCACGAACCATCACACTGGGACAAGTGCTGTGAGTGAGCACCGATGAAAGCCGACACGGCACACGAGGGGGTGGCCAGCACCACACCCGACCGCCTTTGTCTCCCTAGTGGTGATGTTTACACGTCGCGCCAGATACTCATTTGAGGCTGAGTCGACCTAGAGGAGGCCCAGGACCGGTTCAGATAATCGTCACTTGTTGGCCGTGAGCGGGTAATCTAACTCGGGTCGCCAGGTTCGTAGCGCAGCACGCTAACTGCGCTACACTACCGCTCCCCGCACACACACTGACACACACACTGTCACACACACTGACACGCACACTGACGCACACACAAACTGACGCACACACACGTCCATGCCTCACATTCCAGCTCGCATACCACCATCTCTTACCTCGCCTCCCCAAGGGGACACTGGGCTACATTCTTGGAGCCCCAAGAATGGACGTGAGTTATATGATCGAGCAGGTAGGACGCATCAAGTAGGACGTATCAGGCAGGACGCGTCAGAGTAGGACGTATCGTAACCTCCTGCAATGCGTGTCCATTGAACTGCGCCAGCGCTCACTTGCTCGGACGTCTCGTGGTTTCCTCTTCTCCGACTCTCGTGGCTCATGGGGACCAAGTCGTTGGTGATGACAGCGGCGACACTCGGGGGGGGAGTCTGGGACATTGCGTGCGTGTGTGCGTGCGTGTGTGCGTGCGTGTGCGCGTGTGTGCGTGCATGCGTGTGTCTTAACAGCGGTAGCGCGGTGCGCTACGAACCCGGCCACCCAAGTTCAATTCCCGCTCATGGCCAACACTGGTGACGATTATATGAATCAGTCCCGGGCCTCCCATAGGTCGACTCAACCTCAAATGAGTACCTGGTGCGATATGTAAACATCGCCACTTGGGAAACAAAGGGGGCCGGGCGTGGTGCTGGCCACCCACCCCACCTTCACAGATGCTCGCTAACATCACTTGCCCCAACAGTCGATTAAGGCTACACGGGGGATCTTTGTCTTTCCAGCCCGACCGGTGGATACTCAACTAAGTGGACCCCTCGGTGGACGCCCTGGCTGGAGAGATGAGGCCCTGCGAGTCGGAGCGATGCTCGCCGTGCGAGTGACGCCGGGTCTCGCCGAGAGGGGGGCCATGGTGTCGCACGCCCTGGGGCCAGAGGGCCCCCCACCCTGCCAGCCCTACAGCAGGTACATCGTCGTCATCATCGTCATCATCATCATCACGATCAATCCACTGCTGGGTGAAGGCCACCCCATGTTGCATCGCGAACCTTCGCCGTCCCGAGATTCCACGACCCAACCGGCGCCCGCACACACGAGCCCATCCGATGTCCACCTCGTCGTGCCCGCAAGTAGAAGCTGGAGCGACGAGTGCGCCCGTAACGCGGCCTCTGCGCTCGCTGTCCTGCACCCCCACCCCGCCCTCCCCCCACCCCTGCAGGTACCAGGCGCTGATGGGGTGCCAGGTGGCCCCGCGCGACGCCGGGAGCCGGGACTCGCGCGGCTCTCGTCGGCCGCACGATCCGCGGCAAAGCCACGTCCACCATCGCCTGCCGAGCCCGCCGGACCGGCGGCATGGAGGGAACGACGGGCAGCAGCGCGACGGGCACCGGCAGCCCAACGGGGCGCCGCCCCCCGCCGGCCTAAAGGCGCTCGGCGTGCCGGGCGTGCCGTGGCCGCCCGGCGGCGTGGCGAGCAGGGACCTTCCCAGTGGTGGCAACTCGGTAAGACCGCTCACTGGTGCGTGTTGAGAGAAATGTCATCGTCGTCGTCGTCATCGTCTATCCGCTGCTGAATGAAGGCCTCGCCAAAGAGATCGCCGCCACCCAGGGTTTTGCGCACTGTGCAACACGGTGAAAGCTAATCGGATTTCTCCAAAACATCTAAATATTTAGATTCCGATGATCCCGGTGAGCCGTTTTGGATTCCCGGCCACCCCTTGGTTGGTCCACAGTGGCCAGCAGAGCGAGGAGCCATCGCAGAAACCCCGTGGTGGGAGCCCCAGGGGCGGCCCGTCCATATCGACAAACTCGGCGGTCGCCTAGGGCGCCAAGTTAAGTGGGCCGTCAAATAAGAAGAAAAAAATACAAGTAAAAATTTGAAGTAAAATAATGTAGATGCCATTATTTCAATTCCCACGCATGTACAGAGGGAATATGAATTATAATACATTTCTCAACATTTCTCAATGTGTTGGTTGGGCAGACGGATGGACGAACCGAATAATTATACCTCTGTTTGAAAAATGACGCTCAAAAAAACTTAAACGGAAAATAGTCGCAAAATATTTCCCAGTTTACCAAAATCTCAGACTTTGGGGTTTGGGGATGGGGGTGCCGATGTCATCGGTTCGCCTCGGGCACCAGCTGCTGGAAGTAGCGGGTTGAGGGCCGCCCCTCTGGGCAAGGAGCTGAGCACTCGTAAAGTAGCTCCGGTCTGACTTGAGGCAGCTGGTCTCTGTGGGCTCTTCTTGCCTCGTCATGGAAAGCCAGCTTGTTGTTGTTTGTCCTGATGCACCACTGCCATCGAAGTACGGGAACAGGTCGTCCCGACGTCAAGAGACGAGCGTGTTGGCTTGCAGTCGCGTGTCGCTCCCACCGATGCCGCGCTGCTTGCCGTGCCGTCGACACGCCGTCCACCGCATCGCTCACTGCTGTCGCTGTTTGACCCCCTGGCTCGGATTCCTATCGCCTGGACAGGTGCCCCCGTGCCAGCCCCAGCCCCAGCCCCAGCGCCAAGGCTCGGCAGACAGCCCCTGGGTGGTGCGGGAGGAGAGGCTGCAGGAGGCGGCCACCATCATCCGCGCTTCCGTCCTCGCCTACCTCACCAGGTGCCTGCGTACTCCACCGTCACCCCCCCATCACCCCCCATCACCCCCGCGTCACCCCCACGTCACTCCCACGTCACTCCCACGACGGACATTCCGCACTGCGGCCAGATGCGTCCAGCCCTGCGAGCGTCGGTCACCACCACGGCTCCCGGTTTGGCCGGGACAGGCCCCGTGTCCGTGCCGCATTGCGGTCACCGGCACCGACGGGACCGACTGAAACGAAGCCCCGAATCGGCGCACATTGTTCCGACCACCGGACGCGTCCCCACCAGATCTGGGCGCTAGCTTTGCCTCTCGTTCCTCCGCCGTGCCCCCCCCCCGCCACCCCCCCCCCCCCTGCTAGACGTCGGTTCCTGCGGCTACGAGTGAGTGCCGTCTGCATCCAGCGCTGGTTCCGCGCCGTGCGGCGCCGCCGCGAGCACGTGCGCCTCCGTCTGGCGCCGGCGACCCCGCCTGCCGGGACCCGTCGGGCCCTTCCGCTCGGCGCCGGCCACCCTTCCCCTCTTCCGTCGGCACGCCGCGGCTCCCCGGACGCGGCGGCGCCCGTGTGGGTGCACAGAGACGCGGCGGCCGCGACCGACGCGGACGACGGCGTCGCCAGCGGCGAAGGGAACGTCGGATCCGCCGCCACGACAGCGCTCGACGGACAGAGCGTCGTAGCGCCGTCCGCCCCGGCCGCTCGCTCCCAGCAGCGGCAGTTGGCGCCACTGCATCCGCCTCGATCCTCCCATGGACACGAAGGCGGCGGCGACGCCGGCGCCGATGGCGGCGACGCCGGCGCCGATGAAGACGATGCCGTGTTCCTGGGCGAGGAGCTGCGGAGGCCCGGCTACACACGCGTCTTCCTGCCGCGTCGCCCCGCCACCGCGGGCGGTCCGCCGGCGGCAGCGGCGGCGCCGTCGCCGGACGCGCTGTCGTACCGCAGCGACGACGAGTGGAGCTGGCGCCGCGGCGACTCGCTGGAGGGGGGCCACGGCACGCGGGCCGACGCGGCCGTGTCGCTGCGCCGGGGGCGCCGCCTCCTGTCCCCCGACCGCGAGTTCCGCTACTCGGTGGGCACCTACAACAGCTCCGTCTTCGGCTACGGCTCCACCGACATCCCCTCCGCGCTGGTGAGAGTCGGGCGGCGGCGGCGGCTCTGGCGGAGAACACCGCTCTTGTCTGGCGCTCGGCGGGCTCCTGGCCGCAATCTTCTCTGTCCTCCTCTTGGGTCCTCTGCCCTCCTCCTCCTCATTTCGTCGTTTGCGGGAATCCCTTTCCTTCCGCATTGTCGCTCCCCCTCGGAACCGATGTTCGGGCATACTGGAGGACCGGTTCATGATCATGAGGAACGATTGTAAGAGGAGCGAGAACGAATGTAAAACGTAGAGCATGTGCAGAGGAGGGATGAAGAGGCTCGTCGCTCACCCGGGAGGTAGGGGGGGTTGTGTTTGTGGGGGGCCGGAGCGATCGCGTCGGCTCGTGTGCAGGAACCGGATGGATTGTTCGCACCGTGAGTCCGTGAGCGACGGTGACCACCTCGGGGAGACGTTCCTACGGCCAATACCGATCGGTTGGAGTACTGCGAACCTGATGGGCCGAGTTCGATTCCCGCTCACCAATATCTGAACCGGTCTTGGGCCTTCCCCTCAGGTCGACTCGGTCTTAAACGAGTATCCGGTGTGACGTGTAAACGTCAGCACAAGGGGGGACCTAAGGAGGCCGGGTGCGGTACCAGCCGCATCGCCGCCTCGCGCGCCGTGCCTGCATTCGAACGTGCCCTTGCCCCGACGGTACCGTGAAGGCTGCACGGGGGATCTCTGTCTTTGCGTGCAGCTGTTCGAGGACTCGGACGGCGCCCCGGACGAGGACGAGATCCTGGCGTCGCGCCGCGGCTGCGTGACGAGCGGTGCCGGCGTGCGGCCCTACCACTCGAGCCACCTGAGCATGCGCAGTGAGAGCGGCGCACCTGCCCCACCACACCCCCACCCCGCGACGCCCGCCACCGCGTACGCGGCAAAGATCCCCCGTGTAGCCTTAACGGACCGCTGGGGCAAGTGCTGCCAGCGAGTAGCAACTGTGAAGGCCGGCACGGCACATTGGGGGGTCGGTGGCCAGCACCACGCCCGGCCGCCTTTGTCTCCCAAGCGCCGATGTTTTTAGGCACCGCACCAGGTGCTCATTTGAGGCCGAGTCGACCTAGGGGAGGCCCAGTATCGGTTTAGATAATCGTCGCTGGTGTTGGCCATGAGAGACGTCTGTGCGTGCCACCCCGTGCCACCGTCCCACTGTGCCGTGCGCGACGCGTGCAGGCGGGCCGATGGGGCTGTGGAAGCGGCGCTGGTGCGTGCTCCGCGGCGACACCTTCATGTGGTTCCGCACCAAGCAGGACTCGCTCAAGGCCGGCTGGCTGCTCAAGCTGCAGGGCGGCGGCGGCGCCGCGAGGGCCCCCGGGGCTCGCGGCGCCGTCTGGAAGCGCCGCTGGTTCGTGCTGCGGCGCGACGCGCTGCTGTGCTACGACAGCGACAAGCAGCAGCGCCCGCGGGGCGTCCTGGAGATCCTCAAGGCCAAGTACGAGTGCCGATTCTGTCTGTCCCGTCCGTCTGTCCGTGAGGTCTGGGTGGGGGGGGGGGTACCTTCGCTCACACCGGTACGCGAGGACACACGCGGGGACATTGATGACGTGCGCCCAGCAGCCAACTGTGACGCTTGGCTGTGCGTGCGTGTGCGTGTGTGCGCGCGTGTGTGTGTGTGCGTGTGTGTGCGCGTGTGTGTGTGTGCGTGTGTGTGTGTGCGCGCGTGTGTGTGCGCGTGTGTGTATGCTTGCATGTGTGTGTGTGTGCGTGTGTGTGTGTGCGTGTGTGTGCGCGTGTGTGTGTGTGCGTGTGTGTGCGCGTGTGTGTGTGTGCGTGTGTGTGTGAGCGCGTGTGTGTGTGCGCGTGTGTGTATGCTTGCATGTGTGTGTGTGTGCATGTGCAGAGCCATCGTGGACAACCCGGAGAGCGAGAACGGAATCGACGTGGTGCTGCCGGAGCGCGTTTACCACCTCCGTGCCGACTCCCCCGAGGAGTCCAGGTGAGTGAACTCAGGGAAAAGTTCACGACAACATCGCAGAGTTGAGCCGGCACCGCCAAGGCGCTGGGTTGGAACCCAGGTCAACGCACTGCACCACCGACTCGTCAACACGAGTTCGATTCCCAGTCGCGGCCAACACAAGTGGCGAACATCCGATCTGGTCCCAGGCCTCCCCGAGGTCAGCGTAGATCAATCGAGACGAGGCGGCCGGGCGCGGTGCCGGCTAAACCACCACCCCCTTGTGCGCAGTGCCGGGCTTCATCGGCTGATGACAGCACTTGCTCCAACAGCCTGAAGACGCTGCACGGGAGATATTTGTCTTCGCACGTGTGTGCCCTCGTTCACTCTCATCCTATGTGTACGTGTGTACCCGTGTGTGCATGCGTGTGTACCCGTGTGTGTGTGGTACCCGTGTGTGTGTACCCGTGTGTGTGCGTACCCGTGTGTGTGCCCGTGTGTGTGTGCGTACCTGTGTGTGTGCGTACCCGTGTGTGTGTGTACCCGTGTGTGTGTGTACCCGTGTGTGTGTGTACCCGTGTGCCCGTGTGTGCACAGCGAGTGGTTCAGCGTGCTGAGCCGCGTGCACTCGGCGTCGCTCGCCGAGCTGCGGGAGATGCGTAACGAGCTCGCCAACCCCGACAACGCCGTGGTGAGTGGTGCGGCACGTGCCGGCACGACAGTCGCGGCGCGCGAGTGAAAGGAGACGCGGAGAGCTCCCCGATTCCTCCCCGCTCACGCGGCTCCGCCGTCTTGGTCTCTCCAGGCCCAATCCTGTCCTGGGCCATCTCGACATCCATTCAGCAGTCCTTCACATCTTGGTTCACCTCTTTGAAGCACCTCTTTCTAGACGGGCCTCCTGCTCGCTGCCCTGGTGCGTCACCCTCCGTCGCCTTTTTCCCGTGCGGTTTCCCTCTCTTCTTCTTGTGACGCGTCTCCCTGGCCGTCTGAGCCGACGTTCTCGCGCCTCTAAACTTTCTGACCCGATCCCTTCTCACGACCCTGATCTGATTGTTGTTGTTTTTCCTGCTCTCAGGAAACGTTGGATGTGGGGATGATTGACGCGGTCTGCGCTTCAGAAAATCCAGAAAGGTGACTGCACAAACACCTGGCGTCTCTTCTACATCTAACGCCTCTTCCCGCTCAATCGGTCGTCCGTGAGAAACCGGATTCGTTGCCTGCACCTTGCTCAATTTCTGGGAGTCTCTACGATGGTCTGGACAGCATTTACGTAATCTCACGCCAGGATTTCTTTGACTTGCCGCTTGTGACGGTGGTGGTGGTGGTGGTGGTGGGCGCATCTGCTGTGAAATGCGTGGATCCGACTTGACGTGGATCGATGTCTCTAAGCCAGAGATTAATCCCCAGAAGGTTCTCCGGTGGGCTCGGGGACAGGGAGCCTCTTTGTTTGATCGGTATTCACCCAAAATCTGTTGCTATTTCTCCACTCAAAGAGTATTGTGACCGCCCTGTGTCTCCTGCGTGTCTCCTGCGTGTTTCCTGCGTGTCGCCGATGCGGCGACCAGGGCTTGCCGGTTCTCGGTGCTGAGCGGCGGGCGGATGCTGCGCTTCTCCGCGGAATCGCCGCGTGAAGCGCTCACCTGGATGTCGCTGCTGCAGCGCAGCAAGGGCGACGCGCGCGTGCAGGGCCAGGAGTTCGTCGTCAGAGGTGTGGGCGAACCGCCGACCTCTCGCTCGCACGCAGACACAGACGAAGGTTCCCACCGTGTAGCCTCAACTCTCGCGGCTTAATTCCAGGCAGGTCGGACACCTGGAAAATAGATCATCACGACGTGCCCTATCAATTAGACCACTCGCTGTGGCTGCTCATCACGTGCCTACTCCAAGCTTCCAACGACCCAAAAAAAAGTTGGCCATTGGGGCCAAGTTCTTTTCGCGAGCACCTATTAAGGCCGGCACGACAAACAAAAAGGGGTCGTGTGGGTAGACCCACGCCCGGCCGCCTTTGTCTTCCCAGTGCCGATGCGTACACACATCGCACCGGGTGCTAATTTATGGCTTGAGTTGACCTCGATGAGGTTCAGGACCGGTTCAGGTATCGCTCGCCTCAACAGACGCCGCTGCTAAGCACGTGGCCGACGGCCCAGAGGCCGCTGGGCCCTGAGCGTGGCTCTCTCCTCCGCCCTCTCCGTGCCGCGTCTTCGTTTCCTCGTGGAGTGGCCTCAACTCGCACCCCTCCCCCTCGCCCCCCCCTCCCCCGCCCCCCCCTCCCCCGCCCCCCCCCCTCCCTCGCTCCCTCCCCCGCCCCCCTCCCCCGCCCCCCCCTTCCCTCGCCCTCCCCTTTCCCGCCCCCCTCCCTCGCCCGCCCCCCTCCCTCGCCCCCCCCCCCCGCGCCCCCCCCTCCCCCGCCCACGCAGGCTGGCTCTACATGGAGGTGGCCAGCCCCAGCGCGAGACGGCACTCGTCCCGCCGTCGCTCCATGCGTCTCCGCGGCGCTACCGCCGCCGCCGCCGTCGCCGCCGGTAGCACCCCGGCGCCTGCCGCCGGCGACGCCACCGCGCTCAAGCGGCGCTGGGTGGTGCTCACCGAGAGCTCGCTCGACGTCTACCGCACCTCGGAGCGCGGCGCCGCCAAGATCAGCTCGCTCCTCCTCACCGGGCAGTGCACCGTGACGCAGCCCAGCCTGCAGCAGGGCCTGCAGCAGGGCCAGCAGCAGCAGAGGCAGCAGCAGCAGCGGGCGCACGTGAGACAGCAGGACAGCGCAGGTGAAGATCCGCCGTCTTCTTCAGCCGCTACTCGCGAACAGCACTTGCCCCAACAGTGTGTTGAAGGCCACGCGGGGGGTCTTTGTCTCTGTGTGCACAGGCTACTGGCTGGTGAGCGTGCACGGCTCCAGCCTCGTCTACCGGCTCTACACGGGGCTGCTCACCGAGGCCTCCCGCTGGGCCGGGGCCATCCACACGGTGGTGCTGGCCAGGCCACCCGGCACCACGCCGACCCTCCGGCTCATACGGCACATCGAGGTGTGTACGTGGGCCTTGCCTGCCACCAGAAAATAATATTCGGCGAGTTTCAAATTCACGACGGTGGCGCGGCCTAGCGAGAGGTGGCGCGTTCACCGCTCGTCGCAGAGGCTCGCGGTTCTTATCCAGAAGCTGCCCTGGTTATTACTACGCATGTAACAACCTTACTAATACGACTGCTACCACATGCCGGCTGCTTCACTCACGATGGACGTTAAAGATCCCGTGACGCCATCGACAAGAGTGAGCCATCGCGTGCCCGCGTCGGCTATCCCAAGTAAAAATATTACACCACCGATCTCTCCGCTGAGATTAAAAACCGCATCAGCAATCATCGCCCTCGACCGCCGGACTAATGCCCCGGGTCACTCTCGCAAACGAGACTTAGTCCTGTTCTCTTTTGAGTTCTCAACTGGTTCGACAAAATCAACTCATTCGCCAGCCAGGGGGGCTCTGGTGCAGCGACACTGCTTGAGAAGCCGGCGTCCCCTCACCGAGGCGCCTGCGGTGTCTCCGTTTGTCGGCGCGGTGCAGGCGGTGAGCGGGGACGCCGTGGCGGTGGAGCAGACGTACGCGCGGAACCCCATCCTGCGCCACTCGCGGCATGCGCTGCGCTCGCCGCTCCTGCCGCTGCCGCATGGCGACTCGGGCCTACGGAGTGAGGGCTCGCGGCACACGGAGACAGACACACAGAGACACACGCAGAGACAGACACGCAGAGAGAGACACATGCGGAGACGGACGTACGCGTAGACGGACGCACGTAGAGACGGATACACGCAGAGACGGAGACACAGAGGTATACGCAGGGACAGGCACATAGGGACACACACAGAGACACACAGATGTACATGCACGGAGATTCACGGGGACTCAGCTACTTAGTGAGGCTGTTTGGGCAAGTACATGCACACAAAGAGATACAAACATCCACTGTAAAACAAGACTCCCCCACGTGGTCCACTCGCACTATATTTGTCATCATATAAACATGCACCCTGCTGCGCGTTGTGTAGTTGTCTGTGTGCACGTCACGGCGTGTTTGCTGCGCGTGCCGCACGTCTGCTCCACGATCGGCGCCCCACGGCGCCCCCCGGTCAGCGCGAGGTTGCCCCTCGAGGCGTAATCCACGCGAGGGAGTGTAACGAACACGGACGATCTTGTCTCCCGTGGCACCGCAGGGCCCGGAGGGTCGAGCCCAGACTCGATCCAGGACGCCGCGGTGCACATGTTCGACATCGTGCGGGGCCTGGGCGCGCTGGACGACCCCCTGCCGGCGTACCAGGCCGTGCTGCGGGCCTGCCTGGCGCAGCGGCCCCTGCAGGACGAGGCCTACTGCCAGCTCGTGAAGCAGACGGCGCTGGGCGGGCGCGAGGCCGCCGCCGACGCGGCGACGACGGGGGAGCTGCGCCGGTGCTGGGAGCTGCTCGCCTGTGCGAGCTGCTCGATTCGGCCCAGCCCGCCCGTCCTGCGATACGTGCGCTTCCATCTCAAGCGGTGAGAGTGCAGTGCAACAGCCTGGGAGTCAAGGCCCGGCACCCACGAGGCCAAAAGCCACGATGCCTGAAGGCCTTTCTATGACAAGGCTTGTACCAAGACCCTTCGAGGCCGGATCCTCTCGGCCAGCGGTTTCCAACCTTTGTGGTCCTCGATTTTTTAGCGCCCCACCCTCGCCGTGTCTCCATCGCGCGCTCGCAGGGCGCGGGACCGGCACGGCGACGCCTTCGTCGCTCGCTGCGCCGCCTTCGCGCTCGACGCGCTGCGGCGCACACGGGGGCGCGACTGCGCGGCGCCGTCGCGGGAGGAGCTGCGCGCCGTGGCCGCCGGCGCGGAGATGAGCGTCACCGTGCACTGCCAGGGCGGCGGGCGGTGCCGCGTCTCCGTCACCAGCCACACCACGGCCGCCGAGGTCAGAGACGCGGAACGCGCGCCCGGCGCCGCTTTTGGGGCGAGGGTCGGTGGATCGCGCGGAGATCCATCTGCGGGATCCCCCTTCCCAGACTCGCTGGGCTCGAGGTGGCCGGAGGGTTGCAGGACAGCAAGTGGGGTCCGTGCACTCACACCTGCACGGGGGACCCCCTTGTGCGTGTGGCCTTTCTCAGGGAAGCTCCCCCGATGTTCTCGCGCACAGAATGCGTCCGAAAAAGGGATTTGGACAAAAACCCCTGTGCAGGCTGCCCTCATTTGATTGTACACAGCATCTAAATATAACTCTCAGACACATTCGGGAAAAAGGTGAATTGGGAAGGGAGGAGGGACACGGGGGAGGAAAGAGGGAGGGGGAGGGCAACACGGCTGTGCTGTGACGTGGCCAAGCCCGAGGGGACAAAGCCCAGCGAGTCCCAGGGCTACGAGTTTGGCAAAGAGGTCACAGTGGTCACGGGAATCACTAATTGAAATGGACTCCACAAAACTGTGGACTTGGCTGGAAAACGCATTGAATTGGGCGCTTCCTTCCATTTAAACAAAGCCTCGCGGTCTGTCGGGGTGGGGGTGGGGTCGAGGGGAAATATCCGCACCTCGTTCCGAGACCTCTCCACGGATCGTCGTTTCTCTCCCGCACTTCGGCCGTGAATGCGACAAAAAAATCCCGCGATCAAATCACAGCCTTCCAAATCGCTCGCGAGTCCCAGGGGCGGCCCAGGCGGCGACGGCGAGACGGGCGGCTTGAGGCGCTGTCTGTGCCGGCGTGGCGCCGCGTGCAGGTGGTGGAGAAGCTGCTGAGCGGCCTCGCCATGGAGGACACGCGCAACGTGTTCGCGCTGTTCGCGCAGCGCGGGACGGACGAGGGGCGCGCCATCGAGGGACACACGCTGGTGGCCGACGTGCTCGCATCTTTCGAGAGGTCAGGTGGCACCGGCACCCGCAGTTGCATCGTCATCGTAATCACCGTCATCGTAATCACCGTCGTCATCATCGTAATCACCGTCATCGTAATCACGGTGGTCGTGGAGGGAGTCTGTATACATTTTAAACGTGATCCACAGTGCGTGCGTCTCCGTGTGCCTTGGTCCTCTCCGTTTTCCTGTTGTCTGTGCTTGCGTGTGATATGGTTGTTATCGATAATGGTTGGTTCAGTGGAGGCTGGTGATGCGGGGTCGCCCACGTGGTGGCTGTATTTGTCGAGGCCACGTACTGGTTGCACGCGTGGTGGTTGGGTCGTCGGACGTTGCCTCCGTGGCGGTCACCGGGATGCGTAACCGGCGCTGGCATCTCCGCAGCACCGGCACCGGCGGCAGTCCGCCCGGCAGCGGCGGCGGTGCCGATGGGAGCGATGGGGGCGAGGAGGTGGTGCCGTGGCGTCTGTGCTTCCGCATTTACTGCTTCCTGGACCCCGACCGCGTGGCTCCCGACAGCGTCGAGTTCGTCTTCATGTTCGAGCACGTGAGACGCGCACTCGCACGCACGGACCCGTGCGCACACACTCGCACATGCACACAAAAGACAAAGATCCCCCGTATAGCCTGAATAGACTGTTGGGGAAAGTGCTGTTAGCGAGCACCTATAAAGGCCGGCACGGCACACGATTGGGTGGGTGGCCAGCACCACACCCGGCGCCTTTGTCTCCCTCGTGGCGATGTTTACACACCGCACCAGGTACTCATTTGAGGCAGAATCGTGCGCACACTCACACACGTGTGTGCGTACACTCGCAGACACACACGCACACACATACATGCTTGCGCACACACACACATACATGCTTGCTCACACACTCGCAGACACACATACATGCTTGCGCACACACGCACACACACACATACATGCTTGCACGCACACGCGCACGCTCGTACAGACGCAATACCGTGGTTCACGCCACTGGGGAGCACAGAGAATGGGGGGGCGGGGGGGGGGGTTCCGTCTGATCACAGGGCTGCTGCGGGAGTGTAATCCACTTCCACGTAGGACTCGGCGAGGTGTTTTTGAGAGCTCGTGAGCGCTAACCTGGGATGGCTGCTGTGGACTGTGCCACCTTGCGGGATGCCCTGCTTGGGCTACGCCTGCGTAGCCAGACGGTGTTGTCAAACAGCGTTTGCTTAAGGAAACACTCGGCCGGCTTCGGTATTCTGAGCCTCGTCAGCAAAATGTAGTTTTTTGTAACAGGCCTGACTGCTGTTGAGAGTCAGAATGTCAAAACCAGTCCAGTTTGCTAGCTTATTGGAATGCTACTGGAAAACAATTGTCTGGCTCTAGACAATACGTTGATGGAGTAGCACGAAATGCTGGTGTGTTGTGTGGCCCTCTCGCGTGCGAGGCCGAGGGCAGAACAATAAAATGTATTTATTTATTTGTTTATTTTGGCAAATTTGGGCCGAGATGCGTTCCGATGAAAGCAAGCGGCGCGGTTGTTGTCGTTGCGTCGCCCAGGCGCACGAGAGCGCGGTGCAGGGCTCGCTGCCGCTGCGCGACGCGGCGCTCTGGCAGCTGGCGGCGCTGCGCCTGCAGTACGAGCACGGCGACCTGCAGGCCGGGCCGCAGGGGGCCCTGCCGGACGCGCTCCACCCGGCCAACGTGCACGCCGTGTACCCCGTGGGACGGCTCCGGGCCCGCCTGGCCGCCCAGCGCCCGTGGGCCGCGCGCGCCGAGGAGGCGAGCGCCGGTAAGGGCGGCGCGCCGACGCAAATTGTCGCGGCACCGGCAGCACGAAGAGCGCTCCTCTCGTTGTTACCGCGGCGACCACCGTTTGAGAGAGGCAATGGCCGCCCCTTCCCACCTTGCCCCCATGGCAAGGTGGCCACAGCGGTAGAGCGAGGGTCGCTCACCAAGTTTGTAATCCTGGTTGGGGATTGACTCGGCCATCATCTCTCCGGGTCAATAAATGAGTACCACTTTGTGAAAAAGTCAACGGTGGTTGTTTTATAGACTTAAGCCATCATCAGAATGGGGAATTTCCACTAACGGCCCAGGGCTGTAAACAATGCCACTATGCTAATTTGAATAGGAAATCGCTTAACGTTGTATTCTACATAGATGACATCACGAGATATTTTTACCAGTTGATTTTAGTCTCATGTTCTGGATCGCTCTTCGCACCTACTCGCCAGACAGCACTGAAATGGAGTGGCAACTTCAGTAGTTAAGTGTCCGTAGCCCCAGCAGCTGCACACAGGGATTAGGATGAATGTTCAAGTCTGAGGTAGCCGGGTGGCTCAGAGTTCACCGTGCTGATCTGGCACCGCTGAAATCTTGGCTCGGAACACAGATTTCGGCCGCCCGCGATTAAATGGGGCTCAGCACGGTCACAGTCGACTGCACCAACAGCATTCGCTTTGCTTGCTCGTGGCTAGCGCTGCCACCATGCTGGCGTCTCTCTCTGCAAACTCGCCGCGTGGCGTCACCCGCTGCGGCGACACATCCCCCTCCCCCAGGAGCCGATGCCTCGTCGCGAGGGCCGGACTCCTCCGTGGCCTCCTCGGCCTCCTCGCTGATGTCGGGAGAGCGCCGACCGCAGGGCCTCCTGGGAAGCGCCGTGCGCCGCTCATTGCTCCGCTCCTTGCTCCGTCGATCCAAGCCTCCCGATGCCGGCTCGTGCCCGGATGGATCCATGTGCGTGTACCACACGCGCGGGCGCAACCGTTGTCCCGTCTAGCGACGTGTCCTGCCCAAGCCCACCGCGTCACGTGCAACCACGCCGTATTGACAACAGCTGCGCTCAACCGCAAGCAGCCCACATCCCCACCATTCCACACTCCAACGAACTTTCAATGTTAAATTCATCCTTCGGTCGGTGTTATTGCTGGCCCACAAGTCATGGTCAACGCAATTGAAATCGCCATAAAAATACTGCATCTCACAGCTTTTGCACATTCCAATGTCATCGTCAGCTCAAAACTTGTCCTCTGACTGACTGGTCTTCATCATCGCGAGAACTTGCCTGAAAAAGCTACTTGTCGGCACAACTGACCGATCATCATCAAGTCTTTTATTGCAAAAACACGTTTACATAAATGACGAATCATTGCCTCCGATGCGAACTCAAGAATCTCGTCGTCTCAATGACCGTCCGATCGTTGCCACCACGGCCACGAGACTGCCCGCGCACCGTCGTACGCAGACGCTCACGTCGAACTTTCCTTGCCTCTTGCTCGCCCACAGCTGTGGGGGGGACAGCAGAACCTCGTCGTTCAGCGGGGTCGTGGGGCCGTGCGGACCCGGCGGCGAGGAGCTGGCGGCGCTCCCCGAGGCGCTGGCGGCGGCGCGCGCCGGCATCGCGAGCGCGTGGCTGCGCCTGCAGGGCGTGGGGCAGGAGCAGGCCATGGCGCGGTACATGGCGCTCGTGCGCGAGTGGCCCGGATACGGCTCCACGGTCTTCGATGTCGAGGCGAGTCGCGTGGCGTCGAGCGACGCGGACCGATTTGCGCGTTGGGGTGAAGTAAACAAACGTGACAAATGTGCGCAAAGAAGCGTGGACGGTCCAGAATATGAGCACGTTAGTTGGAGACGTCGTTCCGAACGTGAAGCAAAGTGGGCCTGAGTAGGGCGTGTTGCTGGAAGGGAATGTCGTTTGGTGGCTCGGTGTATGGAGGAGCGACGCTACACGCTCCATAGCTTCTCAAGTGGAGCTGTGAAGTGTGCAGGCGGTGCAACTGCACCGGGGCCCACGGGCCACTATGTCGCTACTACGGCTGTCAGTTTTCTGAGACGCACTGAAGTCGCGATGGAACTCCACGTCGCGGCGCGTCGTCACGTTACCCGTGTGCGCGTCGCGTCCTCTCGTCTCGCAGTGCGTTGAGGGCGGGTTCCCGCGCGAGCTGTGGCTGGGCGTGGGCGCACGCGCGCTCAACGTGTACTGCCGCGGAGACGCCGTGCCCATCGAGACCATCCCGTACGAGCACGTGTTGGCGTTCGGTTCTCCCGAGGCCGGCGTGTACCGCGTGGCCACGCGCAGCCGCACGCTTGCCTTCCGCACCGCGCAGGTGAGGGCGGCACTATCGGGCTGGGCCGTGACGGAAAAAAATATTTGCGCATCACTCACCAGAGGCCCGCCCAGGTGGGGAACCAAAGGGGCAGTTGACCTCTGCCCATCAAAATGTTGTGGCTGCTTATGTAATTGATAGCATTTAATCACCCAGGAAATTGAGTTAGAAAGTAAAGGTGTAGCCCTGCAATTGCCTGCTCACGCCACTGCTGGCGGAATGGTCTCTACGAGGAGCTCTCGACGGCCCCTAGAGCAGTGGTTCCAAGCTTGTGGTACGTGGATCCGTTGCAGAAAGATCATTTTACAAAACACCATTTCTTGATGGCACGACTGCCTGACCCTTCCACGCCAGAGAGACCGTTTGAGATTTTTCATGAATGTAAAAATGTAACCCAGTGCATAAGCATTAAAAAATGGGTGCAGCCTATAACCCGTTTGTGCGTGGTGGTCCCCCATCCAATTGCTATGTAGGCTCAAAACGTGGTGAGCATGTGAGCTCTGTAGCCAAACCACCAGGGATTACGAAAGACACAACCAAACTAAAATCTCCCCTCCTGGCCAAGTGTCTCGGAGGCGCATGCCACGCATCCTAAATGTTAATGTCAGGTGCACCACAGCACCGGAGAAAAGTCACTGCACCGTCACTCTTGTCGTATGCACTTAGCTGTGCTCATGGGAGGTGCAGGTGACATTTAAGGGGTTGGTTGCTGTAGGGCGACAGAAAATGCCGCACGCACAAATGCGTCAACCGAGCACTCGTCTCTCCGCTGCAGGTGGTGGAGATCGCCAAGCTCATGAAGGTGTACGTGGCGCGCCTGGTGCGGCGGCACCACGTGCAGCGCTCGCTGTGCAGCAGCCAGGGCAGCTGGAGCAGCGCCTGTCCCTGAGGGCGTCGGGATTTGAGCACGGGAGGACGCGTCATCTCCCCAACGTAACTATGAAGAGCTGCGATCACGGTCGACCGATCCACCAAAGTCGCTCAACATTTCTTTGTGGTCGATTACTCAAGCCGTAAAAAAACGTCAGCCGTCAAATGAATCTTGTGTATCTCCTACGAAGGAGAACGCCCGAAGAGCCACGGTCAGCACGACGCAGCTATGCCATTGACGTCACAAAGACCCTCCCAGGACCTCCCATCCAGCGGCACGTGTGAGGACAGAGGCGACTCCCCCACCCCCCAGCTGTTTCCATACTGCCGGACTCATCGAGTAATTGAACTTTGCCTGCTTGGCACATGGGTGATGTTTTTATTCCATGTCTGCCCAACATGAGGGCATTGTGTTTTTGAATGGGACGCAAGGAATGACAGAAAATGGAATTGATGAGTTTTTAAATGAAGTCAAATAAAAGGTAATTGCAGCACATGCCATGAAAGGACGACGTGAAGCGGCGCCAATCAACTTCCAAGTTGCAAGATGTTTGCATCTTACAATTGACAAGTGGTTTACAACAAAGCAGTTGCACGGATCCCTCGTACCTAATTTAAGCAGATTTCTTTCATTGATCGAAAGGTCCCATTTCGGTGGCCCACGTGTACCTCTCCGGTGTCACTGCGTGTGGGAGTGTCACGTTACTGTTGAGCAAAAACATGTTATTTCCACGAGCACGACTGCCAACATCGCTGACGTGAAATAATCCTGACATTACAGAGGGGGCGAACCCATCACGCCCTCGCCGCTGATCAAAACAAAAACCGGCCGGGGAACTTTGGCGTCAAGTCTCAACAAGCACAAGAGGTCTCGTGGGTTTGGAACGGCTCCAAGCCCCCCCCCCCCACGCTGTGGCATGGACACAGACCTCGCACCGCGCTCAATGCAAACACTCGGCAGTGTTTAATCGCCGAGTTGCGACCCCTGCTGGTTTGATCACCGCAGATTTTTTTACGCTCCACAAACGACCACGGTCTCGTTACATGCAAACACGCAAATCTGAACTCAAAAACGTCGTGAGCTCGCTGCTGCACAAAGTATTAAGGACGATCGTTACTCGCGCTCGTCTCGCGATCTGCAGTCCCGAGTCGCCACCTCACCTGGCTGAGTCCCCACACTTTCCCATCAATGTTCGCCGTTTGCGCGCTTTGAAAACTCCCCAAACGACGCACCGCCACGTTGAGCGTGTACAGAGCGTAGGCGGCGACTGCGACATCGAGGTGCTCGCCTTTGCAGTGTTAAAGCCATTGTGTAAAAGTGGTGTGCAGTAAATCTAGGGTTTAAAACAAAGCACTTAGCATTGTTAATAAAGTTAATTCATGAACGAGTTGAGCTGTATTGAACAGCCTCAAGTTGAGATTTTTCTACTGTAGACGAGAGGGGGTAAGCAATATGGTTCTTACCAAGGGCCAAATAGGGCTTTCAATGCCTCCGACATGCCACGTATCTAATAAACCTCACTTTTACCAAAGAACGTGAAAAATAATGCTGAACTTTACCACACGAATGCGCTGCCTGCTTTACCGTTAGATCGGTTCCGAAGCAGACATGGGTAGAGTGCTTGCAGTGACATAAATCACATGGGCCATTTCAAAGTGGCAGGCCTCATGGGATGAAGCTGCAGGTCTGATAGGCACAAGGCAGTGGATACCTGCGCTGCAGGAGCACAATCAAAATGCATTACACGTCCAAGTATAACTTGGGACGTTTACTCACGTTTTACAGATTCCGAAGGAAATATTGGAAAGTCGAGGCTTATGCATGGATTTTTTTTTAAACTCGAATTGGTGCGAAAAGCCACACCATGTTAAAATCTCTTACACTGGCAAATAGATTGTAAATAGTGTAAATATGGACAGTAAGTAAAACTGGAGTGCCTGTGAATGGTACCGATTTGTAAATGTTATCAGCATGGAATGGGGGTCTTCCCATACGATTGGTGTGGTATACGATGGTGGTAACGATTTGTGAATGACACGGCGCTTGTACCGAGTTGCACATTTCATATTCCACTAAAGTTGTTGGTGATTGGTTTCTGGGAACACGGCAACCACTAAATTTGGACAAGCGCCGCAAAGGAAATAAATTAATCAAATCACAAGGTCAGAACATCCCATAACTAAAGCCATGTTTAAAACAATGTGTAGAAAGTTTGATATTTTTCCAAGCACCAAGTATTTTTTACATGCATAGTGCTCATTTGTGGCTTACCATTTAAATACACAAAGGTTGCCGAGAGGTTGGATTTTGCACGTTAACTTTATTAAACAAAACTATAAAATCGAAACGTGTTGGTTTGTGATGTTTAAAATACTTGCTCATTACCAATGTCCTCAACACTTAATACAACTCTGATGCAGTACATCTTTGAGATGCCTTGCACCAGCTCACCCAAGTGGCACCAGGTGAATGAACGCATCACTGGTCACCAAGGGGCATTAGCAGTGTAAGGGAGGGGGAGGCAGCAATGTTGCTTTGTCAATTCCCAATTCGGTAATTTGCGAGCAATGATGCAGAAATGAAAAGCACACTGCACAGAACAAAACACGCACAGGCACTGACGCTGGTTCATATACACTTTATTGTGATCTCCCTGGTGTACGTGGATGGTGGTGTGAGTAGTGTGGGAAGATCCCTCACTGGTCCTTCAGCTCACGCAGGCGGCGGATGGCAGACCTCACCGTGACGGCCGAGGTCGTGCTGGAGGAAGGAACGGGCAGTTACACACATTAGGTGACATCGCAATAAACATGTCTAAATCTATCCTAATAATACACACCTTGGTCATTTTCAAAATAATTCTTTGAAAATATGGCTAACTTACAGAAAACGACAAAGAATGGTAAGCATCTTAGGCTTTTGGCTCAACATAGCGTGCGAGACGTACTTGTAGGTCCATGCACCTCCCGCCACGGTCTTCATGCACGAGCCGCAGTGCCAGATGCCCACCGCCCTCCTCTTCATCTTGGTCTGGATTCCACAAGGACAACACAAGCACCACAGGTACAGTGAGCGGAAACCACCAGTCAGGGCACACAGTTAACAAACGTGCGCACAACACGTGTGCGTGTACAATTTGTTAAGGACAACACGAGGGCAATTTATGGGAATTGTTGATGGAAATCTTCACTGGCCGTGCATTTATCATGAGCAACCACGGCAAATTGGTAGGGCAGAGGAAGCGATGGGAGTTCTATCTAGCAAATTAAAATGTCTAGAAGAGTGTTTAATGAACAGTGATCGGTGTACACCGGGGCTACAAACCCTGGGTTAGTCACGTGTAAAGTCTGAAATTCTAATTGAAAGAAGCCATATCCCATTTACCCAGACAGCCACTCCTTGGGGTACGATGTTTAACTTTTTATCGGTCCTTTCAAGTCTTGCCTTATTAGCCGATGACCTGTTACTGTAGTTGTGGTCGGTTTAAGGGTCGAGACAGTCGTATCTGAGACTGCTTTGTCCTGCCCTGCAACAGCAAGGACAGTAGTCCAGGCAACCATTGAAGGTGACGACCACCACTCAATTGCAATCTTGACCTTTGCAGGCTGGCACTCTCAACTTGACCCAACCAGCCCGAGTGTTAAAAAGCCACCGGATATTGCCCAGCCGTGGCCCGATTGCCACGCGGGTTGGCGCCCCTCACCTTGCCGCAGAAGGAGCACGTGTACTTGGCGTGCTGGCTGATCTCGATTTTCTTCACCATCTTACGCAGGGACGCGCCGTACCGCGTGCCATACTTGCCCACAATGCCAACCTTCTTCGTGCGCTTTGCCTAACGGAGAAAGAGAGCCGAAGGAAAAGAGCACACATTACGTTATTTTGCCTGGACACGCAGCGTTCTCTATCCACCCAGATGAGTCGCACATTACGACAGACTTCCCAAACAAAACACTATTAAAGTTTATATTTTACTCGCTCTTGAATGGGTTATAAGAACAATTGCCACCCATAAGTCTACAGTAACCGTGACTCCTTGCAGTCACGAAAGCTTCAAATCTAGAATTGCCACCAAGTCTACAATTGCCTATGGCACGCTTTCAGCACGAAGTTTTTAGGCAAAATCGAATACGTCGCAGTAGACAAAGACTAAAGGGTCGTTTATTAACGACCCACACCACCAGAACGGTCTACGTACAACAGTAAACATTAAGGTGTGGTGGCGTGGAATACCCTACACATCGGCAATTTACTGCATTGCAGATTAAACATTCAGTTTAACACCTAGACTTTCGCGACCATTATCATCCATAGTAGAGGTTTTTTGGGTTAGATCGCGTAAATATATAAATGTGTCGTTAAACCCGCCACCACCCGACACAGCCAACTAGTAAGGGTTGTCACGTAAACAGAACGTGCCAATTCGTCACTAGTACAGCACACCGGTGTGTTGGAGAGCCAAGTCAACATTTACAATCAGAGTACGACGTTTCGCCAGTAATTACAACTAGCTTCATCAGGCGACAGACAGATTTGTGCTGTACTTGTAACGAATTGGCATGTTCTGTTTACGTGACAAACCTTACTAATCGGCTGTGTCGGGTGGTTGCGGGTTTAACGACACATTTACGCGATCTAACCCAAAACGACCTGTATTATGGCGATGAAACATTGTCAACACTCAAAAGAAAATTATTTACATCCGCACAAAACACGTTAAATATATTATTCAGATTCCTGATCTCATGTGTTGAGCCATGTGCACATAGTTGCAATCAAGGACCCAGCGAGGAATCGTTTTGAAGGTATACCCGCGGTGACTCTCTAGGCAGGTTTAGGAAGCGCAGTCCTTGGGTCAATCGACTGCTGGATGAGTAAATGACCGCGCCAACACGCACGTCTTGTGCTGCTACTCCCCCACGCCAAGTTGGAAGGTGTCGAAGCATCACGAGCACCACGGTACAAGGGTAGTGTAACTACTGCACAGACCCCCAACCGAGTCCCGCGGCCTCTACGATGCGTGTGGCGCTTTCTGCCCAGAGCTGCTGGACACGCGGTTTCTTAAGACGCCATCGCCACTTGCGGTGCGGCCTGCAGCCAAACCGGCTACTTGCGAGCTCAGGGGCGGGTTGAATACATTCTCGTCCAACGACGAAATATATCGACACCGTGGCCGTCTAAGCCTCACTCGCAACCCAGCCAAGGCGTCCGTCACCAAACGTTTCACCGCGCAACACAAACAGGCGAATCGCAGGGTCGTTTAGAGGCGGACTTCTTTCATCCAACAGTGGAGAGACCACGGCGAAAACAACGCACACATAGAACTCGCACCAATGAATAACACATCGCGGAACGTAATCGGTAACTAAACATCGTGTAACTATAAGCAGTATAACTATTTATCAGCGCGTCCATTGAAACACAGGCGAGGCCTCAACAAGTTGACGTCCAATGGCCGCGAACCGAGGGGGCCTGCCATCCTCGCATCTAAGCCAACACCGATGTCGCTAAAACCAGGACACTCCGACAATAAATATCTGCACACAGTCGAGAAACAAGGCGGCGGCGACATTCCGAGCACGCGAGTTCCCGCAAGGAGAGCTCCATGGCCGAGGATGAACGCGGATCGCGAAGCCTCGGATGGCCGCAGACGTAGAAACCTACCATGGCGGGCGGCTGTGGCGGAAAGAAGGGGGTCCTCACTGCGCATGCGCGACTAGGTGCTCCTACCCCGTGACGTCATCACGCAAGCTCGACCGCTAGTGTATCGCAAGATGACGTCATCACGCGAGTCAACATTATTCACGTGTCGACGTCATCACGCGAGCTCAAACGTGATGACCTCATCAAAGTGTGCTCCAGCTCCAACGTAACAAATACTTTTGAGATTCCGCGTTGGCAGTGGTGCACAAACAACAACAACACGCGGCACATTCGTCAATAACACGGAGACCTAAACACAACCATATAATAGGCGACATTTCGAGCAAAGGCCCTTCTTCACAGCACACAGAGGTAAGGCCAGAGAAGCAACAGCAACGTGTAGCGAGATGACGTCATCGCGGTTTAGAAACCCCAGCGCGTACGCACCGAAGCGAAGCCCTCGCGCGAAGCGATTGGTCCGCGGGCACACCACGTGCCCCCGATCGCCGCGCCGGATTGGCCAGCGGGGCCGGCTGGCGCCGTGTGCAGTAGGGATTTGAGCTCGCGGACTCGTGCGGCTACGACCGGCCCCAGTGGCGCTGCGTCACCACCTCAAGCGGCGCGCTGCCTCGCAGCTCCCTCTCACTCTCCTCGCATCTCTCTCAACTCTCTCGCATCTCTCTCTCAACTCATCTCTCTCAACTCATCTCTCGCACATCTCACTCACAGCGCTGCCTCACAGTGCTCACTCAACTCCCTCTCATCTCCCTCACAGCGCTCTCTCATAGCGCTCTCTCATAGCGCTCACATCGCTGCCTCTCCCATCTCTCCCTCATCTCTCCCTCACAGCGCTTCCATCGCTGCCTCATCTCACAGCGCTGCCTCTCATCTCTCTCACCTCTCTCACAGCTCCCTCATCTCTCCCCCATCTCTCCCTCATCGCTCTCTCATCTATCGCTCTCTCATCGCTCTCCCATCCGTCTCGATAGAGTGAACTCCACGCAGTGGCTCTCCTAGCCGCCAACTTGAGCAGCGCGTGGGTCGTCGTGGGGACGACGGCTTAGAGAAGCAGCTGCAGCTGGTGGTGGTGGTGCTGGTGGTACAGCAGCAGCTGCTAGTGGTGGTGGTGAACGTCTCCTGCAGAGGCGCCGCGTGGAGTGAAGAGGAGCCGGGTGAGGGATGTGTTAGTAGTGGGGGTAACGTGGTGAGGAATGAGGAGGGGGGGTAACGTGGTGAGGACTGGGGAGGGTAACGTGGTGAGAAATTGGTTGGGAGTGGGGGTAACGTGGTGAGGAATTGGTTGGGAGTGGGGGTAACGTGGTGAGGACTGGGGGGGGGGTAATGTGGTGAGGAATGGGGAGGGGGGGGGTAACGTGGTGAGGAATGGGGAGGGTAACGTGGTGAGGAATTGGTTGGGAGTGGGGGTAACGTGGTGAGGAATTGGTTGGGAGTGGGGGTAACGTGGTGAGGACTGGGGGGGGTAATGTGGTGAGGAATGGGGAGGGGGGGGGTAACGTGGTGAGGAATGGGGAGGGTAACGTGGTGAGGACGGGGGGGGGGGGTAACGTGGTGAGGGTCTACCACAGTGGAGTCGTGGGCTCTAGAGAAGACGGCCGCTGTGTAGGGGACACGAGGGTGAGTGGTGGTCCAGGCCTGGTGGTGGTGGGCCACGTCCGCAGGGCTCCGTAATCCCACGTGGCCCCTCAGGAGGTGGTGGAGCAGGCGAGAGGTTTGGGAGACTCGTTGTTGGCTGTAAAGCCTCGACTCTGTCTGTGATGGCCCAGGAGTTGTTCTAGAGGGGACCTCATCCCTCGGGCCAGAGCACACAAAGTTGTACAGGGCCGGCTCCTGGAGGAGGACCCCTCGACTTTTTGGAGATAGGTAGCGGCTCGGCTGGGCATGGCGGGCAGGGGTGTAAAATAAATAACAAGCTGCACAAACTCTGTTACCAAAGTGACATGTCACTTTATCATTTGGAAGCCTTTCCGAATCTTCACACTTTTTTCCCCCAGGAGAGTTAATTCCTCGCGATGTGGCCGAATTCCACGACGACTTGAAGTTGAGCAACTTCAATGCGCTCAGGAGTCTCACGGGGCTGAGGGTCATTGCCGCTGTCGATGGCGAGTGGCGGCGCCGTGAATCACTGCCCTCTTGCACCTTGCCGCTGTTTAACGAGATCCGTATCCCCCGCGACATGAGATGGCATTGACGTTTGCCAGAGATTGGCACTTTCATACTGTGAACATTTGCTTGCGATTCAGCTTCGTGATTGACATTCAGCTGTGATTCACAAACTTACCATTGATGTTCAGCTTGAGTTGAAGCTTTCGTGACTGCAGGAGTCCATACTCTTTGGTTCTTTCGGTAAAGTCACGTAGGTAGATAAATAAAACAAATCACGACGTTTCGATCGCAACACAAGCGGTTGCCTGATGACGACCGCTTGTGTTGCGATCGAAACGTCGTGATTTTATTTATTTTATTTCTTACTACGTGACTTTACCGAAAGAACCAAAGAGTATGATGTTCAGCTGTTATGGACATTATGGTGTGATGCATATTTGCCTGAGATTGACATTCTCGTATGATTGATAGTCTCCTCTGAATGACCTCTGATTTACATCCCGTTATTATTCGTTCTTATTTACAAATGTGTTTAATCCTTCCCAAAATGTCATCCTTACTGTGTTATTGGCATCAAAAGTATCCATTCAAATTCATTCCAGTGCAGTGTAATGTTTAAATGTCGTTGTGTTGTCTTTTTTAACCTTGTCTGCAATCACTTCCTGAGTTATCTCAAATTTCCTTGGCTTCAGCGCCGTGCTGTACTGCATGAGAGCAGTCTAATTAACGATGATGTAAACCTTAATTTTTCACGGGAGTGGATACCACAGAACTACTTCTGAGATCCCTTTGAATAAGCTTTGGTCCACACAGTCACGTTGCCATTACTAACAGAGTCGTGCTGTTGACGTTCCCTGTGGGCCGAAGGCGCAGAACCTGCCGTCCCAAGTGCCACGCCGCCATGTCTGCCTTCACGTGCATGTCCTGCCGCGTGGCCTTCACCTGCGCCGACCTCCAGCGCGCCCACTACAAGACGGACTGGCACCGCTACAACCTCAAGCGCAAGGTGGCGCAGATGCCGCCCGTGACGGCCGAGAGCTTCGCAGAGCGCGTGCTGGCGCAGCGAGCTGCGGCGCAGGTTCCCGGCGCCGTCGTGCATCAGCCGTGCGCCACGTGCGGCAAGGGCTTCGCCTCGCACAACGCGTACGACAACCACCTGCGCTCCCACCGCCACTTGCAGGCCGAGGCGCGGCAACGCGACGCGGCGCAGGCTGCCCACGACGAGGTACGGCGTGCGCAAGCAAAGGAAGCTTTGGGCGAGTCACCTCCAGCTGCCGTGGCGATCACGGTCGCAAGATCTTAACCAATGTGCCGAGTATGCAGGTCGTGGGTTCCATCCCGACCCTGACGCCTGCTGTATATTTGGAGTCTCTTGCGTGTCTCTCTCCCCGTGGTTGCGTGGGGATTTTTCTCCGGGTCCTCCCGTTTTTCCCTCCACATTTAGAAACACGCGTTTCGAGTATTTGGCTGCGATAAATTTCCACGTCACTTCGTTGAGCTATCATTTGTGGCCAGATAGCTTCTGAAAAAGAGCTATATAGCTCAGTCGGCCTTACCTGGTAAAAGAAAAATAGTTTATAGTTTTTTAAAATTATAGATAAATCCCAGATTCACACCATTTCCAGATTCTTCACTCAACAACGATCCCTCCCCACTTCACATGAATCCATGTTTGTACAAGAGCTGTTTGTTGGATTAAGTGTTTTTTTTACATTTTATTTTTTTACCCATAATACAACCTGAATGTCCTGCCAATGTCCGACCGTTAAACATAAAATTCAAATCTTGCAGAGTAGTGCGATGCTTCGTATTTGAGAAGTCAATTGAACCGGATATCACACAACTACCATCGAAGGGATTATTTCCATCGTTCTGATTTAAATGACTGCACAGAGGTGTTGTTCCAGCACTCACAAAATCCCGCGCGTGCCTGCCTGTGCAGGTTGAGCGCATGAACAAGAAGAACGTCGAGAAGGGCCTGGAGATACAGCCGCTCAGCAAAGACGAGATGAACGCCGCCATCCAGCAGGCCGTGTTCAAGGCCTCGCCGCACAAATCCCCGAGCCTGGCCCGTCGGAGCGACCCCGCCAAGGAAGCCGACAGCACGGCAGGGGCGCAGGCCCCATCCCGGCCACCGCGGCCACCGCGCCTCATGTGGCTGGAGCAGCGAGAGGCACAGGAGCGCAGCAAGGATGGCAAGGTGCCGACAGCGGCGCAGGCCGGGCAGGAGACGGCGGACAACGGTAAGACGTCGCTCGCGGCACACTACGTTGTCAGGGACACGGTCGGAGCTGCGTTGTCCGATTATCACGGCGGCACGGTGGCGAGATATTAACTACCTCGCCTGGTTAACTACCTAACTGCTACGTGGAGCAGTGGATAGAGCATGCTGTTCACAAATTGGAAGCGTGCAAGTTAATATCCCAGTCGGGCTTCAATGAGCAAGTCATCTCTGGGGTCGATAAAAAGAGTACCGGCTTTGTCAGACGTCACCCGTGGTCGTCGTGGAAATGACCTCGCTCCCGCCGTAGGAACGCGGCATTCCCACCACCGACGCGGTGCGGTAAGCGGGAGGCGAGCGCTCCCCTCCCGACTCTCCACTGAGCGGGACACCACTTGAACCTTTTGTTCGTTACGTCTCACCCCGCTACAGATGAGTGGGAAGACCTGGGCACCGACAAAGATGACGACGATGATGACTGGGAAGAAGACGACGACGAGGAGGAGGAGGGCGCAGTTGACATGGAGTTGGGAGCGACGACGGAGGGTGCAGAGGGCGCCGTGTTGTCGGCCGACGGGCAGCCGGCCATGGCGGGGACGCTGCCGCACAACCGCTGCTTCTTCTGCCCGCAGCGCTCGCGCACGCACGCGCGCAGCCTGGCGCACATGTCCCGCGAGCACGGCTTCTTCATCCCCGACGTGCAGTACCTGGTCGACCTTCCTGGGCTCATGCGTTACCTCGGTGGGTCCTGCTCCCGGCGCGAGCGGCCTGGCGGCACTGTCTGTGCGAGCGCCACGTGTGCCGTGCGTCTTCAGCAGACAAGCCGGCACTTGCTGGCAGACAACAAAATTCATAAATCGGCAACAAAAATAATCACGCGGCCAGTTGTCACAAAATGCTTAATTTTTTTTATTCTCCTTTACATTTTACTGCCTGTCACCAAATAACCAGCAATGTGACTGACCTCATCAGCTAAGCAGGTATCAGTCTGGATAGTGCTTGAATGGGTGACCACCATCCACAAAGGACAGGTCTACTGGGTGGTGTGGGCAGTGCAGCAAATCCATTACACTACTGTACCACGATATCTGTTTCCTACCTACAACGTGCACCGACTAACGTGGTGCAGTATAACGAGGCAACCTCCCATGCCACGGGGGAGGCCTTCTGCAGTGGGTTGACAAAAGCGATGTACATTTATTAGTCCACAAACGTGTATTCATAGACTGACAATGCTTCTGTTGCTGTGCCTCTGTTTCTGATGCCGCTGCTGCTGCTGCAGGGGAGAAGGTTGGCGCGGGCAACGTGTGCCTGTGGTGCAACGAGAAGGGCCGCTCGTTCTACTCGCTGGACGCCGTGCAGAAGCACATGCGCGACAAGGGCCACTGCAAGCTGTTCACGGACGGCGACGCCGCCCTCGAGTTCGCAGATTTCTACGACTTCCGGTAAACGGGCAGCCTCTGTCGAAAACCCATTTCTTTAAAACTGCTTTTTGTGTTTAGTTTGTCCTTCCCCCACACCTCCGATTCGCGCGGTTGGCTACGTACAGTGCGAAAGAAGTTCAACATGCGTACGTACGAGAGGCTGCCTCACAAGGACGAAAGTTGCTCGAACACCTTCCCGTGTCCACGAGGTTCCCTCGCATTCGCCACCGCCGTCAGGAGGCTGCGTCACATTGCGATCTGTGTTTGAGTTCAAATACACCGGGGGGGTGCCTTTCGGAGAGCTTTACACGCGCTAAGCGACTTTCATCACGTCCCAAAAATTTTGAAAGGGCACCCCCAGTGGCAGCTTTCCTTGTGCGGCACAAGGTGTACTTGGCAACATCGCCTGCAATCACGCATCGGTCTTGCTGGTAGCGGGCGACGGTTGCTGCTGCTACTGCTGTTGCGCGTGATCCCGATCACGTGATCCGAGGGTGATGTTTGGGGTTGCGATCGTTTGTCCAGGCCAAGCTACACGGAGTTCCGGGTGGGAGGGCGCGACGTGGACGGTGAGGACGAGGACAACGACGAGGAGGACAGCAGCAGGCTGGGGGAGAAGCAGCTCGTGGAGTACGACGAGACCACCATGGAGCTGCAGCTGCCCTCAGGTACGATTACTGCTACTGCCACTACTACCACTACGCCTGTTTAACTAGGATAGCCTCACTGTGAAATCCGAAGACTCTTTTTTCAATAGGGTCCTGCCAAGTGTTCGCAGCAGGTGGGGGCGATGTGCTGCTGTGTGTAATCCCATTTGGAGTAATTTGCAGTTAATTTTTTTAGCATTGGAATGTTTGCGATTTATGTATTTTTATCCATGTTAGGAGACTGGGGAAACTGGGAAATCATACGCAGAACAGGGGGGAGAATTCACAAACCTCACGGAGAAAGGCACCCGATTCAGGAATCGTACGCAGGCCCTGCTTGAACAAATGTTACCACTGCACCGTCCTGCCGCTCAAACCGTCGGTGCAACTTTGGAAACCCACTCGCGTCGTTGCATCCCAAGTGCTGCCTTAAGGCCTTTGAGCTCTGGTTCAGCAAAGACATCAGTTACCAGGTTGTGTCGTTTCGTCGCCCGCCCTTCATCTTTGGTCAAACCTCTGCCGCCCCCGGTCCCCCTTGCCCGCGTCACAGGAGTGAAGGTGGGCCACCGCTCCCTTCTGGTGTACTACCGCCAGCGGTTTGCGCCGGGGCAGGCCGTGGTGGTGCACAGGAGCGGCCGTCTGCTGGGCCGCGTCATGCAGCAGTACCGCATGCTCGGATGGAACAGCAACGCCGGTACGGATGGGGGGGGGGGGTGCAGCGGGAAGGGGGGGATGGGGAGAGAGGGCTGGGAAACGTTAATAATGGCCATAGCACGATTGGGATAAAAAAAAAAAAACTCTGGTAAAATCCATTAACCCCGCTAACTTCCGTCGCTTACGATCTCCCGCAGGCGGGGAGGCTGCAATGCGGCGCCAGCGAGACATGCGCTTCCTGCAGCGCCACAAGGCCAAGTGGGCCATGAAGATGGGCATGCGCGGCAACATGCTGCAGCACCACTTCCGCTCGCAAGTGCCGATCTGATAAACGGAGCTCGGACAGCGGCGGCGGAGAAGGTCGAAAATGGAGGTCGCAAGGTCACGGGTCATGGAGTTTGGTTGATTGGTCGAACCAGATACTGTGTTGTGCAGTTGGAAAGTAGGGTTGCCATGATATCATTTTCCACGATACGATACTGTTATCAAATCTCATGATTTGACGATTATCGCGATATTTTCCATAAACATTGTAATTCAGCTTCGTAGTTTTCTTGTTTTATGCTTTGCAGCAAGTCTAGTAGGAATAAAGAATAATTTAAAGAAATGAAACTGAATTTCACTGAACATAAGCCTTTTCTGAATCAACTTTAGAATCAACAATGCTTCTAAAGCACACGCTGAGACTTCAGAAGTCAGTGGGGTTTTTTTTGCTCCTATTTACAGCTTTGAGTCGGTGGTGGAAATTCCACATTCTTCTAGTGGAAGTGAGTCTATCCATAGGACAACTACCATTGACTTTCCGACAGTGATACCAATTTGACCAATACCAGCGGCATGATGGGTTGAGTCGACCCCCAACCAGGATTTGCACTCGCTGCGTTCCAATCCACGACCCGCGCTCGCTCAACCACTGAGCCACCTGCAAAGTTGCGCACCGAATAATCACGTGGACTGTGAGCTTGTTGATGCCACATCACCAATTACTCCGCAAAACATGTTTTCAAAGCACTCGTTTAATAAATAGCTATTCACAAAAGAAAACAAGAAAGATTCAACCGACAAGGATAATCCCGATACAATGGTATGTTTACAAACAGCCGTCGGGTTGTAATTACGACAAGGATAATCGTAATTATATATTATGTTTAGTATCGTCGGCTTGTGACCAAGCATGTTGCAAAGTCGTGGGTTGTTCCGTGCACCTTGTGTCGGTCGCATCGTGCGGTGGGAGATGAGCTAGTGTGTCGCACAGCCAAGTACCACTACGGCCGTGGTACTTGCCTCCGTGTGGACACACGCAGCCCGTGTACCGGCCATCTATTAAAATCCTTGCACATTCCCCGTGGAGGTTTCCCTCTTTCTCTGGAGGTGCTGCGGCACGTATTCTTAGTCACGGCTTGGCTCCGGCCCTGGGCTCTCAAGTGAGCTGTGGCTCAAATCCACGCTGAACATGAGCCAGCTCTGAGCATTGCCCCGGCCGTGCTGAGGATTTCCATGAGCAGAGTTTGAGCCGTGGCCGAGCCCTCCATGCGTCTTGGGAAGTAGCCAAGTGGCTTAAGCCTGAGCCGAGCCGCTTTCTAGGCCGAGCCAGAGCAGCCTTGACTAAGAGTACGGCCGTAGAGGTTCACACATTTTCAGAGCCATGCCTTTTTTCAACTTCACGTCACTGTAGCCAGCCGCTTAATTCTGTGAAATGGGTCCGTTTTTTTGGTAACAATGATTGGGACATGTGACGGTAGTCCGTACTACGTGCAGTGTCTTTTACAGATGTCACTCGGCAGCAGCAGACAAACGTGTGTGTGTGTGACCGGCAAACAAAAGCCACAGGACGGCATTGTCGCCGAGACGAGACTGGATCAGCTGTGAAGGGGTTAATGGGAAATGTACCTCTTACACCCGGCAGTGGCGGCAGGATTAGAGGGTCACACCTGGTCTTGTGGAGTCGGTCGCAATGCAGCCAGCCCGGGGTAGTTCCACATGAACTCTCCGTGGAAAAGGCTTTTATCTTGGTCACGGCTCGATGTGCAAGTGCCAGGTCCCTGTACTGGTTGAATGATGGCAACACTATGTTTCACGCGAGTACTCGCAGCCACTGGCAGGTGGGAGTTGGAGATTCACGGCTAAAGTGAATGGCGACAAAACGCTCAACACGCGGCCCAACCCGGAAAACCGCACTCGAGCTGGGCAGGTGGCCGTGCTGCTGCCAGATGGGAGGAAGTAATTGACTAAAATCACAAATAATACAAAAATATATACATTAACATGATGAATGGAGAAAATTTAAACATTTAATGCTTCAACACACACCACTGCAAATATACAAATAAACACAAACAGCAACCTGTACAAAACAAACGCATTTAAAACTTAGGCTTTCAACCTTTTGAATACTTTGTTACTTTTTCTGAAACCAGTCTTCGATTTTCCTTTTCTTGCTGGGGCTCTCTGACGTGCTGGCTGTCGCCATGGCATCGGTTGCCGTGCAGCCCCCGTCCTTGGCGTGGTCGTCCAGGGCGGCAGCCAAGGCGGCGTCGTCGGGCTCGTCCCCGCACAGCCACAGCAGCTCCATGATCGACTGCTGCTTGGGGTCCTTGAGGGAGAACGTCAAGGCGGGTCAGCGCCCGGGCCATTGGTCACGTGCAACTTGGTTGCATGGCAATTGAAATGCTTGTGGACGTCCGGTCGCAGAGACGTCCGCTGAGTTTCGGGCAACACCGATTTAATTTGACCGTATCATGGGACCTCCTTTGCCAGTACCAAAATATGAGAATACCCCGAGCTCTCATTACTCTGATAGTGCTTGTCTTTGTGCTGTACGCCTTTTGGCGTCCTCTGGTCTAACACCTTTTGAGACTAGGCTCCAAAAAAAGCCGTCTCTGGTGTCGACCAATCAGTTTCAAAGACAATGCATATATTATCAGTGTTTTTTGTTTGCATTCTGACCACAAGTATTGTGGTTAATGCAGACATGATTCCTTGTAAAAGGTTTCAGTTTGGTGTTTTAACATCTTAACACCTGTTTTGTTACCAGAAAAAAAGGGAAAACCTATTCTCTTAATTTTACCGGTTTTCAATTCGGGTTAAGTCCCCGAGAGCAACGCAACTTTACACAAAAGATGAATTCATACTGGATCATCTTCGCCAGCGTTAACGAGCACTTAACACCGCGTAGGGGGGGTGGTGGCGGCAGCGGCACCTTCACAGAGTAGGCTGTGGACTGCGTGTTCTTGAAGCTGTCGCCACAGAGCCCGGCCTCGCCCAAGATCCGCAGCTTCTCCTGCACCATCGGCCTTCACGCGCACATGGACACACGGGCCTCCAATTAGCACGGTTGTCTAGGTACGGTGTGAAAGATGTTCAACATTCATAGATACACGGAGGACGCCGTAAAACGCCGTGGCTCGCCGCTTACGTGCACAGCCCTTGTGTCAATCCACTGCTGGATGATGACCTCCCCACAAGCATTTAAAATCCACTGGCCCCTGGTCATGTCTATCGAGCCATAATGTAGATATAAAACCTTTATACACTCAAGTCTATTTTTGAAAGGCGGTGCTCCTAGGGAGGGAGATGGTGAGCTACGGAGGGTGGCTGGGGGCGCGCGGTGCCCACCACAGGTAGTCGTCGGAGGTTCCGCGTGCCACCAAGTAGTGCACGTTCACGCAGCACAGCTGCCCGATGCGATGCACGCGGTCCTCCGCTTGGATCAACACCTGCAGCACATTAGAGACAACCCACAATCATCCAGCGATCCAACCAACCACAGAGCCGCAGACGCGTGTGCCGTCGTCATCGCCGTCGCAGCCGCCCTCACCCACGTGATCCACCTACCCCAGGGTTCCAGAAGAGCTCGGAAAACACGACGAGGTCGGCGGCGGAGAGCGTGATGCCCATGTTGGCGGCTGTGATGGAGAGCACGGCCACCTTGATGGCGTCGTCGCGCTGGAAGCGTTCGCACAGCGCTTGCCGCTCGGCCGAGGCGGTGCTGCCGTCGATGCGAATGTAGCCCACGCCCTGGCGCACGGAGCAGCGGGAGGGAGGCCGGCGTCACGACGCGATCGGCAACAAATATGCGCATGCACGCACGAGCGAGCGGGGACCGTCCAAGAATACGGCGGCCTCCAGGTCACGAATAGCGCGGGAGCGCCATCGGCGTGGAGATCAAGAGCCGGGCCTTCATAGAGGCGGTTAGGAACGGTGGGCTGGGACGTGGCCCAGAACAGGAAGCGGCGGAGGGAAAACAGTGCCAGAAAAACCCCCACAGCAGTGGGAAAAAAATCCCGGAAAAAGAATGAATTGAAGTAGAATAAGCGTTGAACGACGACCGAGCTCCGGGGTGGCGCGGCTACCTTCTTGCCGAGGTGTGCGGAGAGCGCGTCGAGCACCACGCGGTGGTGAGCAAACACCAGGAACTTGGCTCGCCCGCTCTCCAGCAGATCGCTCACGTACTCCCTGACGGCGGTGGGGGGGAAAAAACGAGCGGAGGTGCATCCCTGCAATTGCCTGCTCACACCCACTGCTGGCAAAAGAGCCAACTCTCGAGGAACCTCTACAGAGCCCCTCGCAAAAGTATTTGGCCTACTCTTCCACGCTGACCAGACGTCGCCGGAAGAGAACCAATATTTACCCACCGCACGTAAACATGTCGATTGGCTGACCGGTGAACCCATTTACACCGCCGGGCAGACATGGTGGTAAGTGGGCGGGGGTGAACAAATCGAAGCGGTGACCTCTCGGTAGCAAATCCAGCATCCTTAATCAAGGAACAGCAGCAACTTTATACCAGGAAGGCCCAAGGGCCAAAACACTGCGGTCTTGTGTAGCAGACTTGTGCCAGAAAGTTGCCAAGTAAAATTTACTTGACTTGACACCGCGCGACACCAAAAACCTGTCATTAAATGTTATTTATTTAGCGGCTATTCTCGCGATTATTAGCGTTAACGCGTTCACAGTTGACGATCGCATCGCCGCTGCGTACTCACACAATGGCAGAGACTTTCGCTTCGGCCGTCTTGCTGAAGAACAGCATGAGCGCCTCCTTCTCCTGGGTTTTCTGCAAAGGGCACAGACCGCACGCGGCCGGGTCGCTCAGAGCGCAGCGGAGTGCTCAGCTGACACCGCTGACCTGCGATTTAACAGGATTCTCAAGTGTGGTGAGCCAACAGTGTCAGCGCAGTCGGTCACCAACGACTGCACTAAGAAATATGTATCACGTGACATTTAGTTTTCACTTGCTTTGGCTACATTCCAGCTCTGAGAATGAACAATATCAATTGTGACTGTCATGTGACAGACATTACTCTCCTGTGGTGGGGCAGGTTGGAAAGTGCTGCGCCTTACTGTGTGGACCAGACATCACTGGAAGATATCTCAGAGGTAACTCTGTGGTCTCCGCTTCTGTGGGCTATTCTTTGACGCTGAGAGTTGCACCGATCTGCAAGAGTTCCGCGACACCAAAGAGGACACGATCTGCGATGACATCGCGGGGAAAAGGTCTCCGAGTCGGGGAGAGATCGGCGAGGTGACCTCTCGACCCCAGCGAGTTCGCTAGATCCCCCCGGCAACTCACCGACTGCTTCCCGGCCCTGTCCATGGCCTTGGCGGCAGCGGCCAGCGCCGCTTTGGCCTTGGCGTCGATGACGCCGGGGGCCACCACCACCATCTTGCGCTGCTTGGCCGGCAGCTGGCTCAGCACGTCGGCCTTGAGGCGCCGGATCATCACCGTCTCCTCCAGCAGCAGGCGCAGCTCCGCCATGTTCGACGAGCCCGTGTAGTCCCAGCCCCACGGCATCTGAGAATGACGACGTTCAAACACATTCTATTGTGACTCGTGCGAGCGTTTTTAATCGCACGCAAATTATCGTTTCGGGTCGCAACCAAACGCATTAATTTGGTCGTGTTGGGTGGTGGAGGGTCTTACGAGGTAAATTTCTATCCAGATCGATATGTGGCCTCACCAAAAAATTATTATGAATCAATCGTAATAATCACTGTGAAAACCTGCGTGCGAAGTTAATAATACAACAAGCTCTGCATCACACGTACGCTTGACAACATCCGTTTGTCTTTGTGAGCATTTAACAGTGCGGAAGCCGACGGGGGCATTCGCCGGTGTCCAAAAGGGGCAAATTATTCGCAGCAGCGCGACCGCAGCGCGAGCTCGTTCACACCCCGTCACCTTGACTACACAGGCTCGTTCACACCCCGTCACCTTGACTACAGGCTCGTTCACACCCCGTCACCTTGACAACAGCCTCGTTCACACCCCGTCACCTTCACTACAGCGTCGTTCACATCGCGAAGGACGCGCACAGATGGACAGAGCCGACACACGAACGCCCTCAACCCGAGTTGGAGAACCGCTCGAGACGGAAGGTGTGTCGCGCCGGCAAAAGAAAATCCATCGCGCGTATCAAGTGCGATGGCGGTCGCTGTGCCACCTGCGCCCACCTGCTTGGCGTTGCAGTAGCGCAGCGCGAACTCGTGGAATTTGGGGAAGATTTGCGGCTGCACGGCCGCCACCTGCGTGTAGAGCTCGGCGGGGCGCGACATGGCCGGGGTGCCGGACAGCAGCAGCACGCGCCGCGCCTTCTGCGCTCACGCACGCACGCACACATACGTGCACACGTGCACACGCACACACACGTGCACACGCGCGCACGCACGCACAGTAAGACAAACACCCCTTTCCTCACTGGCACATCCGAGCCGGAGCCGGCGAGGCGCTCTAACGGCACGGGTGGTTGTTCCACCGGCTATTCGTCGTATCGAGCCGGAACCAAACTGCGATGCACTACCACCACCTCAAACGGACCGTGTACAACATCTAACTACGAGAGGGGAATTTTTAACCCCTAAAATTTGCAATAGTTTTATCCTGGCCACCCCCTTAGACTCCAGACAGTGGAGAGAGAGGTGACCGTATTACGCAACGAGAAAGGCAGAGGCGCTTTGTGGTTTGTGCTCGGGAGCGTCCGTGGCCGCCGCGGCACCGGGAGAGGAGCCTCACCTTGAGCAGGGGCAAGGCGGCTTTACAGCGGACGGTCTTCACGTTCTTCAGGAAGTGGGACTCGTCCTGTGAGGCGGCAAGAGCAGGGCGCAGCAGCCGGGTCGGTTATTTGTGTCCGGCGGCAGCGGGTGAGGCGGGTTGAGTGGTGAATGTCCGACAAGGGTCAGGCGTCATCTCACCCTGTCCACAGGATGGGCTGCCTACCGGTCTTGCGACTGATAGTTTAATAGTTTAATGATAAAACCCACAATCACCGCAGAGTCTACATCGTGTGGGACGACGTCAAGCCGGTTCGACCACTGAATCGTGACCGCAAACCGTGAGTAGTCACAGGAATGCAGGGAGAGTGAGACGCCAAACGTGCGGATGGAGGATTCGGGCAGCGGTGAGCGACAGGCACGTCGCCAGGCAGATTCACAGGTCCCCGGCCCGGGGGAGAAAGCGGGGGTGGGGGGGGGTGTGGCGAGGACTCACTGCGATGATGACAGCGAAGCCCTTCTCCTCCAGCTTGCCCTGGATCCTGCTCAGCAGGTCGTAGCTGATGATGTTCACCAGCCCCGAGTTGGGGTTGTCGCGGCCGGTCACCACCACGTTTATCTGCTGGGGGTCTAACCAAGGCAGCCACCGCCGGAACGCCTGCGCACGCACGCACGCACGCGAGTAACTAACAACCGCCTCCAGAGTCTCAAGCCATCGGTGAGGAGGAGCTTCGTTGGTCAGAATTTGATCAACGATCAAACACATTGGCCGGGTGTAAATATTACCTTGGTAAACATGGAAAATATTGTCGGGTGGTGGAGGGTTAATTACAAGAACTTTGGAATAAAACTTCAATGTGGCCGAGCCCAAAAACACAAATGGACCACACGGACCACACATCCCTCGTGTAGGCCCAGATAGACCGTTGGGCTGGTGCTACTATCCAGCACACATTTAGGGCTGGAATGGCACACGAAGGGGTGGTGTGGCCAGTGCCATTCCAGGCCACCTTTGTATCGCCAATGCTGAAGTTACGTGCTATGCCGGACTGGGGACGGGGGGGGTGTGCTTCACAGGGCGTACCTCTGCCCAGGTGAAGCGGACGGAGGAGGGGGCCACCACGAGCAGTGGCCACTCGGCCCGGTAGAAGGCGGCCACGCAGATCGCCTGGATGGTCTTGCCCAGACCCATGTCATCGGCAATCAACACTCGGCCCTCCTGAGCTATGGCAAAGCTGCACACACACACAGATATACACACACAGACACACGCACACTTCCGCACTAATGTACACACCGACACACAATGACATATACACAACATGCAGACAATAACAAAAGTTGGCAATCGCCACTAAGTGTCCGTGAAGTCACAACAACCGTTGTGCCAGGCTAGGTGCACTTTGAGGCTATCACGTGATGTGTCAACGGGACAGAACCAAGTGTTAAGGATTAACCGAGATACCTGGCAGATGCACCACCTGTGGCTCCCTACTGTGCCAAATACACAGATACACAAACACGCATGCCATGGACATGACGACACTTCCTGTGACATCACATTTGAAAACAAAGAAAAATGGGATCAGAATTTTCCTTTACAGCTTGGGGGCCGTCCATAAATGACGCCACGCACCCGGGGGGGGGGGGGGTCAGACATTTGTGACGAGGGTGGGGGGGGGGTCAAAAATTGTCCAAAATCGCGTGACGTAATTTATGGACGGCCCCTTGGATGGATGTTGGATTTTTTTTTTTATCTAAACGCTGGGACCACATCCCTCGCGCAGGGCCTGGGGGGGGGGGGGGAGCTCACTTGACCCCCTCCTGCTGGAAGGGCATGAGGCTGCCCGTGAGGGTCTCCCCCACCGCGGTGAGGTCGATGTCCCGGAAAGGCTCGCGAGTCGCCCGGCTGCGCTCAAACTGCGGCAGGAACGTGCGCACCAGCGCCTCCGGCAGGGGCTCCACCTCCAATCCGGCACAGCGGCACAGCTGCGGCACTGCCGTAAGCACGCACACACACACACATTCATAATGATACAGATCCCCCCCCCTTCTAGCGTTTAACAATGTTGGGGCAAGTGCTGTTAGCGAGCGCTAATTAAGTAAGGCACCGCACGGCACACAAGGAGACAGTGTGGCTTGTATCGCCACGCACGGCCCGGCCTTTGTCATCCCAGTGCTGATGTTTTACACAACGCACCAGGTACTAGGACAGGCCGAGGACTCGCCAACGATGTTAGCCATGACAGAGAAACAAACTCAGGAAGCAGGGAAGTGCAATAACCACGACACTAGCGCTGCACACACCTGCACACAGCCGTACACACGTGCCCATTAACATTGCCCCGCAGCCTGCATCGAGCTGCTGTGCTTGGTGGTCACCCAGCCAGGCGCTATCCAGGCTCAACCCAGACTGGCTTCCGAGATCTGACGAGACCGGGTGACTTTGTCAGGGTAGGCCAAGTGAACTGCAATCCGAATGAACCTGTTCTGTGTGTGCGATGACTTACTCAGCTCGCAGTAGTCCTCCAAGAGGAAGTTCCACTTCCGCGTGACAGCATCTGAACAGTTGCACGAGACAGACGAGTGAAAACACAGACGCAGGAGTCAGGAGTGTTGGGAGTGCAAGCCGCGTGTCACCGGCCAACACCGTAACTATACACCAGCCTCCAGGGCTGCACGGCCTGGAGCATCTGAACTAGCAGTAACCCAGAAAATAAATTAGATTTCCAGCCATTCTTCATCTATCACATGAAATTTGGTTCTGCGCTTAATTGTGCCTAAATACAAACATCAGTTTTGACCGCCACGCGACAAAAATTACTCTCGTATGACAGAGCGAGTGGAAAGTGCCGCCCTCGATTGTGTGGAACAAAAATCACGTGCATGGTTCTCAGAGGTAGCTCTGTGATATCCACTTCCAAGGGCTATTCTCTCGCACTGCGAAAAAATCGGGATGGATTCTTTGTCACGTGACACGACACGAATAATTTTTTTTAACAACTTCAAATATTTCCTCACGCTCCCTCGGCGAAAACACGCCGCGCGCCGGCACTCACCGTAGCTGCGTGACTCGATCTGCTTGAAGATGCCGATGGCCTCGGCGTGGTACGTGACGTCCACCTCGAAGCGCGAGCGCCCCACCAGCACGCAGCGCCCGCGCGCCGTCACTGCCATGCTGGGAGGCTTCTTCCAGCCGTGTCCCACGAGCATGATGGTGCTGGCCGTGCGGGGCAACCCGAGGCCCCTGCTGGGCCCACCTCCTCCGCCACCCGTTGGGGTGCCATCCGGCTGCTGCTGCTGGAGCCCTGGGCACTCGCGCCCCTCCAGCGGGCAGATCTCCACACCTGGGATGTGCTGCACTGCCGACACTGTGCGGTGAACGAGAAATCAATGTCAATTAATTTTATGAATTGAATGAAACTAGTAAGAAACAATAATGCACCCTTGCCTCCTGAAGGCAGAAAACCCCCTTAAAAGCCACGCCCTGCGTGACGCGGCTGATGATGCCAATGATATCACCACGCCTCACCGATAACCTCCCGTCCAGCGGCACACGTGGTAACAGAGGCGAGACGTTTTCCCAAATATTGTTGCGTTATCTCGCAAGCCACCGCCACGGCACGCTATTGCGTGATGACCTACCATCAAATGCGTGCAGTGAATATAGTGGCTTTATTTGTATATGATTAGAAGAGATTGGTTATGATGGAAAGACAGTGCATCGTAGAGGACAGGAGCTGAGAAACACTCGTCTGTAGAGCGGAGTGGGAATGGGACGAGGAAGTGAGCTCAGCGCTTGTGAGTGTCGTGCGGAACGTGAGCGGTCCACACTGACTGAGGCTGTCGTGGTCTTCCAGCAGGAAGCTCCACGTCTTCCCTTCTAGGTCTGCAGAAACACAAGGTCAATGGCCAAAGGTCAGAGTCAAGAACAGTGTTACGATTATTACTACCAAGCAGAATCGGGATACATTTAACTCAACAGGGCTTACCCCGTGCACACTCACCGTAGAGGCGGCTGGGCACTCGCTTAAACAGGGCGATGAGCTCGGACTTGTAGCCGACCTCAATCTTGAAACGATTGTTGGGAAGCTCCAGGCAGCGGCCTCGCACAACGTTGCGGCGCTGCGGTCCGCTGCCACTCCCTCCGCCCCCCAGCGGCTCCGACACCGGGGGAGTTACCGCCGGCGCGCTGGGCACGCGGGGCTCGCCACCGGGGCGCTGCCACGACACGCGCACACAACCTCGTTACGCTCGCCCGCACGCTCGCCAGCCGCACGGGCGTGTACTTTCACTTTGTCAATCCACTGCTGGATGAGGGCTTCCCCACGCCATGCCGGTCATGGGGTTGGTATGAAGGCAGACATGTAAAGATGTAGGGGCATATAAGTACAGTACAACAATGGATTTTGTTGCACTGCCCTCTGCTGTCAGCATTGCTTTGCATGCTATGCAGTGTTTGAGCTTTGGAAGTACGATTTTCCGTACGTTTACATTTTTAGGTGTCCCCTCCAACAATAGACATCGATGTGCGCCAAGCCGTTAACTAACGCGCATTGTGTCGCGGATGCGCTTTCCGACGGCACTCACCGCACTGCTCGCGGAATAAAAGCGTGTCGCTGGCGTGGACGCCGCACCGTTGTCCGCCGGACATTGCAGCGACTTCCTGTCGAGCAGGGGCGGCGTCTGAAACGTTTTCTTCTTCCCGAACGTCGCTTCACCCGGCGCGGCGCTACCAGTGGTGACGGCAGCGGCGGTGCCCATTGGGCTCACGCCGCTCTTCACCGAGTTGATGTTGCTCCAGAGTTTGGCGACGTCGGACGGAGGGAGAAACCCTCCCGTGCCCTGTCCCGGCAGCAGTTGCGGATTGCTCCCTGGTGACTCGTGTGGCCCGCTTTGACCACACCGCTCTGCTGCCGCTGAACCACCCACTGAGACCCCCGCTGAACCACCCACTGAGACCCCCACCGAGACTCCCACCGAGACCCCCAAGGAGCCCCCCACCGAGCCCCCCAAGGAGCCCCCCACGGAGCCCCCCAAGGAGCCCCCCACCGAGCCCCCCACGTTCAATGGCGGTTGAGCCGGACTCCCGTTCACACCTTGGTTGGCGCGAACCTCCAAAACTCGTCCCGTGGTGCCAACCAGACCCTGGCCTGTTTGGCCTCCCTGGCTAGCCCGTGGACCTCCCGAGGCGGCCTGCGGGGGCCCCAGCCCCGCGGCCGCCAGCCTCTCGGCACGCTTGGCCAGCGCCTTCCTCCGGTTCTCCTCCATCCTCCGCTTCTGCTCCTCCGTGATTCCCGTGGGCACCATCGCAAAGCTTCAGCTGCCGCAGGGGATGGACGTTTGCCAGACTGCAAGGGCGACAGGATAAGGGAGTATCAGAACTGGTCGTGTTCTCTGTTTTAAAGATGAATTATATTATGCAGTGGTAAAATACATCTGGTCGAGGGGACCCATACAAACATTCACGTACATATAACATATGACGCCATCATCATCATCCGTAATCAATCCACTGCTGGACGAGGGCTTCCCCAAGTTGCCCCGATAGTTCACGCTCCCACGACACAAGAATCTACCCTTGCACACGAACCGATCTCACCGCTCCATCTGATTTTCCATTGTCCATTAGGTATCCAGATGGGGTTAGCGTTATGGTTAATGCAGGTCGGTAAAGGAGGGGGCCCAGGACCGGTTCAGATGTATCACTCGTCACTGATGTTCGCAGCTGCCAGGAATTGGAGTGCATGGTTTGGGCCCTATTAAACTGATTTCTGCCTCGTCCTTCCTGGAACAAGCGTGACGGGAACTCGGCTCCACAACTCCGGCCCCCAACCACGAGGGGCTGGGCCGCGGGAGCCACGCAGGCCGGTCTCTGGGGCTTCCTCTTTTCCACGCCGCGGGAAAAATGAAGGGTGGACGCGAGCACTATACCATGAGTGGGGATTCATTTCCTTATCGAGGGCCGAATAGGACTTACAATACCTTGATCAGGCCACAAGTTAACATACATACATAGCTCGCTCAGTCACCGCATTCTTAAGACACGTCTGTCACTGGCCACTAGCAGTGACAAAAGTGATTGAGCGTGCTCATATTAGCACAGTGTTGCTAGTTCAATGATATTCCCCTCTAGTACCCGATTAGCACGACCAAAATGCTGGCAGTCACCGTTTGGCACGCCGCATGCGGCCAATGCGGGGCCCGTGCACGTGACCACCCCTTTCTTGCGAGTAGGCACAAAAACGTCGATCGACCAGAAACAAACAGCACGTCGGAGTTGTAATGGGTAAGAGTGTAACGCCAACATCTGTGACGAATATATGAATCGGGCCTCCGCTAGGTCGACCTTAAATGAGTACAATAATACGGGGTAAACTGTATGGGTTGACAGTTATGATACACATCAGCGCTGGAGAGACAAAGGCGGTCGGGCGTGGTGCTGGCCACCCAACAACACCCTTGTGTGTGCCGGCCTTGATAGGTGCTCGCCAACAGCACTTGTCCAAATTGTATATTAAAGGCTATACGGGGGATCTTTGTCTTTTGTGGGCGAGTAGTTGAGTGTGTTGTGAGTAGGTGGACTGTGCTGTGAGTAGGTGAGTGTGCTGTGAGTTGGTGAGTGTGCTGTGAGTTGGTGAGTGTGTTGTGAGTGTGTTGTGTGTTGTGAGTGGGTGAGTGTGTTGTGAGTTGGTGAGTGTGTTGTGAGTTGGTGAGTGTGTTGTGAGTGGGTAAGTGTGTTGTGAGTTGGTGAGTGTGTTGTGAGTTGGTGAGTGTGTTGTGAGTAGGTGAGTGTGTTGTGAGTTGGTGAGTGTGTTGTGAGTGGGTGAGTGTGTTGTGAGTAGGTGAGTGTGTTGTGAGTGGGTGAGTGTGTTGTGAGTTGGTGAGTGTGTTGTGAGTAGGTGAGTGTGTTGTGAGTTGGTGAGTGTGTTGTGAGTTGGTGAGTGTGTTGTGAGTTGGTGAGTGTGTTGTGAGTTGGTGAGTGTGTTGTGAGTAGGTGAGTGTGTTGTGAGTTGGTGAGTGTGTTGTGAGTGGGTGAGTGTGTTGTGAGTTGGTGAGTGTGTTGTGAGTGGGTAAGTGTGTTGTGAGTTGGTGAGTGTGCTGTGAGTTGGTGAGTGTGTTGTGAGTGTGTTGTGTGTTGTGAGTGGGTGAGTGTGTTGTGAGTTGGTGAGTGTGTTGTGAGTTGGTGAGTGTGTTGTGAGTTGGTGAGTGTGTTGTGAGTTGGTGAGTGTGTTGTGAGTTGGTGAGTGTGTTGTGAGTTGGTGAGTGTGTTGTGAGTTGGGGAGTGTGTTGTGAGTTGGTGAGTGTGTTGTGAGTTGGTGTGTTGCTAAACGGGCGCGGCACGGGAGTTGATGTGACACAGGAGGATGTGGAGCTGAGTGGATTTGCCAATGACCGGTAACCCAGCGGTGTCAAGATCGGCCTCTGTGCAGGAGGCTCGTGAAGGACGCCGCTGCTGCTGCTGGGCAGCTGGAGGCAGTCGCCCTCCAGCAACAGCGGAGGTCAGAGAAGCGACGCTCACAACAACGTGCGGAGCGCCGGGCAGATAAAACACGGCAAGTTGGCACAGTGAAGAGCACAGGTGGTGCATCTGCCAGTCGTCTCAGTCGGTCAACCCATGGCACCTGGGTCTGTCCTGTGACCTGCTGCCAGCGGTCGATACTTCACGCGGCCTCAACGTGCACCTAGCCTGGCACACACGCCGTGGCGGCGTCACCGCCACTCTGTTGCGAACGGCGATTGTTGTTGTTGTTGCGACCTACAGCGTGGTGGTTGAACCCAACAGCGCGGATGAGACCGGACTCTGGGTGAATGGTCACAGCACAGACGACAGACCGAGTCTCCAACCACGGCTGGGGCACTCAACGAGTGAGTTCACCGGAAACGACGACCCCGCAAACATCATCACAACACGGCGATACCGCGGCGCGTAAACACCGCCCGAGTCTACTCATTCTGCCGTCTCGCTCGGCCCGTGTCACTCACCACTGCAGGTGGCCGCGACCTCTCCGCTCCCCTCGGAGCGTCCAGGCCTTCTCGATCCACGGTGCCCCCCCGGGGTCGCTACCAGAATCAGCAACAGCAGCAGGAGAAGCAGCAGCAGTAGCAGCACCAGCAGGGCGTGATGACAGCCGAATGGGGCTACAGCCGTGACAGCAGAAGCAACTGCAAGTGGAGGCAGCTGTGGTGGAAGAGTGGCAGGTACTCCTGGCGAGAGTGCAGCAGAATAAACATGAGCAGCAGCAGTTGCAGCAGTTGAAGCGTGGCGAGCTGCGTGAGCTGCCGCAGGTGCAGAATGTGCAGCAGCAGCCGAAGCTGCAGGAGCCGATTGGGAGCTGGGACCGCTTCTCCCGCGCAATACGGGACTACGGCAGCTCACGAGCCCACATCGCGCGCGTGTTTCGCGTTTCGTAATTGTCATGTCATTCATCGGCGTGGCGTCGCTCTGCAGAATCTGAATATTTATACGAAACGTCGTGAGAATTTTATTTTATTATGTCTTATTATTTTATTATTTCCCTTCTACGTGACTTTACTGAAAGAACGAAGAAGATAATTCCCTGCAGTCACAAAAGCTTTAAATCGAAATTGAATATTTATAGTGGAGGAATCCGATGAGCTATGAAGCTTTTTCTCGCAGAAGTCCAGTTATGTTGAACTTGTTCTTCTTTATCGTTCGTAGCCAACCGTGCTCATCGGAGCCGTCTCAACAATGCACCAGTATAAGTCACTGTATGATAATACATATAATGTAACCGTTTTCATTGTGTCAGTGACGACTCATTTTGTTCTAGATTTGAAGTTTTCGTGACTGCAAGGATCCATACTTTTTGGTTTTTTCGGTAAAGTCACGTAGGCAAAAAATAAAATAAATAGATAAAACAACTATTTAGTTGTAGGTTAAAAATCAAATTAACACCACAATTTAGTTTTCATTTAAAATTTATTTCCTTTTTTACCTACGTGACTTTACCGAAAAAACCAAATAGTATGACTCACTTTGTGTTTGAATAATACTCCTTATGGATGAAGTGGTGGCGCAATGTTCGTTCCCATTCCTCGCTACGGGTGACACTCAGGATCAGAATCTTTGTTTCGACTGCAGGAGGAATCCGATGAGCTATGAAGCTCTTTTTCACAGACGTCCAGGAGGGCCACGTGGTCAGCAAGTTACACCAACAATCAAAGCTGAGCAAGTCACTAATAATAAATATCTGAACGCTGCTGGGCAGCTTTCACCAACCCGCGTGGAGCACTCTGGTCAAGCTACCCGTGACCACCACGGCGTGGGGAGTCCTTCATCCAGCAATGGACTGACAGGGCCGTGAATTCTGAGCCATCACTTGTGCACAGAACCACACGTTAAGCATACATCCCATCAAAACCAATAGCGAGATTGTCAAGTGACTGCGTTTATTCACGATCCTAATGCTTGTGATCCTGTCTCCTTATTCACAGCGGCTCTCTATGTACAACCAGTGCTGATAAATACATGACAGACTCTTTTCATCAATGTACACTGCGGCTTTATTTGAAACAAAATAAACAAAACAATAATGAATGCTGTTCGCTCATTCATGTCGGCACTATGCGATTATATAAACTTTTTGTCCTTCCACCGTGAAGAATGTGGACTTTTCGTGTTTTTCTGATTATGGGATTCATGCTCGAGAGTGGCGGCACAATGGTTAGCGCACTTCACGATGAAACAAGTTTCCCTAAGTTAAATTCTATCGGGAGCGAGTGATATCTGAACAGGTCCCACTGACCAGCGTGGTGAAGCATAGTCAAACAACCCCCAACACCAACACGGCCTGGAGAGGTCTTCATCCAGCAGCGGATTGACATCACTACCCTTTGAGCAGGCATTCAGCCCTCTGTAAATCAACTGCTGGATGAAGGATTTTCCCATTCCGCATCTTCATGAGGATTGTTTTATTATACTGTTCAGTGCGAGTTGGTAAATGACTAATTCAGACATCATTGCCACTGTTGTTAGCCGTGACCGAAAATCAACTCAGGTCACCGGGTTCATAGTGCAGCACAGCACGCTAGCCACTGTACCACTACTTCCCAGCTCTTTACTATTTTCTCGTAACCCAGAGGACGGCACCGATGGGTCCCCAGCACCCGTGCCCTCTGTCCCTGAGCTTTGGCCTCTCAAGTGGTCCTCAGGGCCTCGTGTTTGCCATCGAAGGAGCCGCTCCCAGACAGGCCGATGCTGGGTGGTTGTTCTCCCAGAAGGCCGAGGACACACAGCTCTGCGTGACTCTCCGCGGGCTTCCTGTACCGTGCACACACAACCACGTGTTTACATCGACACAATACTTTACATAAGGCGAGAACAAATCTGGGAGGCTCAACCGGGACACGTCTTCGGTCATCATGCCCGTGCAATCACTCGCCCCGCCTGCACAGCGAGCTACAGCGCTCGTGTGGTCGTTGGCCCCGCTCACTGCTCATAGGCCAAGACGACTCCACTGCCAACCTTGCCCACTACTGAGGCTAGACCGCACCTCCGACTAGCACGGTTGGCTACGTACGGTGCGAAAGAAGTTCAACATACACACAGATCACCGTCCTTTGCCCATATCATGAGTCAAGCGTGTAAGCCAGACATTTTAAATCTGGGACACAATCCCAATGTTCACTTAATATTCAAGGCACTAGGTCATCCTTTGTGAAACAGGACGTTTGTTTACCTAAAACTACACAGGGAGTCTTTTATATGCTCGAGTGCTCGTAAAACGACTCCCCCATTCACTAATTCAGGACACGATTAATGTATTCGTCTGGCCGGCAGGGGGCGAGAGATCTGCGAGTTTCAGCGCGAGATGCAGTTAAAGGACTGGCAAGTGCGAACCGAACAGGTTGAAGTTGGAAGTAATAAACATCATGTTCCTTGGACTCTAAGACTTATAATATTGCTTTGATCATCCAAGATTATACAATTAGTATTTTTTTTATTTTGATCACTTTCACCTCTCGTACTATTTATTCCACATGCACCGCAATGGACGAATTCATTGCTTCACTAATCAAATTGTGATGCCAAATTTCGCTATTTATTAAGTAGCGATTGTCGCCACCGGGAAATGCGTGCGGATTGTCACTGTCTCCATAAGAGCGTGAGAAATATGCCAAATGCGCGCGGCTTGAGCGTTCTGAACTATTCCCCGTAGCTACAAAGCCTCAGTTGATGCAGTAGAGCGTAATGGTTTCAACAGTCCGCCAGTGTGAGAGCGAGTGCGTCACCGTGCTGTGAAGGAGACGTGCAGCTGCGTGGAGCCGTGAGGTGCAAGGGTGCCGTTCCGAGGCGAGACCTCAAAAGACCCATTTTCCTCGCCGGACTCGCTCTCTGGCAAACACACACAAGCAACACACAAATACAAACGTAAACACGCACACACGCTGGCACGCCCGCACTCCACTCACAAGTCACATTCTTAAATCCTTGAATGTTTATGACACAGGGTATTGGTATGAAACCACAGGCTGCCAACCATCCACCACAGTTGCCATATGAAAACCAGACTTAAGATTGCTTTTGAAATGACTCCAAAACCCTGACATTAAGGGCGGCGCGACTGCACAGCGGAGCACAACATGATGCTGTGCGTTTGATTTTATCACTTGACACGTTTTGCTATCGCGCCGCTGGGACGCTACATCTTGTTTATGGCGGTGATGATTTTGGCAGCAGAGTCACACGTAACTCGCCAAACAAGTCGCTCCGGTCGCGAACGGCGACTTACGGACGTGCGCAGACCAGTGGCCGCGTGCCGCGCCACGGTTCACGATGGTGGCGAGGCGGGCGCGCCGTTGGCCGACGAGACACGGCCCAAAGTGAAGGGCTCCTTCTGGCACGCGCAGCTCCAGGCAAGGCATGTAGACAAACGCTTCCAGAGGGACGCTCTGCGGGGAGGAGAGGGACCTTACGCGTAGACAACAGGGGCGAACGAACCCACGGCACACGGGACATCTCTGGCCTGTGACATAATTTCACAGTTCAGGTTTCAAGTTTATTTTGTTTAACCAGATGAGAACTAAAGAGACCAGAACACCCTAATTTGCAAGAGTGGCATCATGGGGCATTAGTCTGCCAGTAGGGGGCAATGGATGGTATGTATAATCCCGGATGATTAAATTTAAGATAATTTTCGAATGCAGTAAATTTGGACCCTGATGGCGGCAAAAGAATGGCCTACTCTTGCGAATGCTGTCAGGGGATCTTTAACGTCGATGGCGCGGGGTATTATTATTATGGTTATTACACCCGCAGAATTAATTAGGGCAGCTGCCGGATTTTAACCGTTTCAACAAGCGGCGAATGTGTGGTTGCTAGGCCATACCACTTCCCATATTTATTATTTGTATGTAAAACACAAAGAAACATTGCCCCTTACTGAGAAACCTAGCAGATGATTGAGATTCAGTGAGGGTTTCTTGGTTTGTAAATGTAAATAAATTTTACTTATACTGTATAGCCCGTGGTCACAAGAGACCTACCACTTTAAAACAGCCTGAAACAATATTTATCCCTATCTGGAAGCATCTTAGCCACATAATCGGGCACACAGCTGTTTTTCTAATTCTCTGTCGCTGCAAGGGACTCTTACAGTTGTGTGTGGTTAAGCAATACGTGGGCATGCCCACGTCTTCCAACACGTCTGGTCAACACTGAAGAGTAGACAAAATACCCTCTAAGTTCGCTCTTGTAAAACGCCCTTCCACCATCAGTGGCGTGAGCAATCAATTACAGGGCCACACCTTTACCGCTGTTTTGTGCAATAGCTCGCAGTGATAAAACGATCTCTCGCTCGTCTTGCGAGTGGATACAACCAACCCAAACGTTCGTTTTCTCACCGCGGGCTGCCCATGCTTCCCGGACAGACAGACCTGTTGGGTGCGGTTGCTGTAGTGGACAGTGAGCTGTCCTTGCACGCGTAGCGTGAGGTCTCCGCCCCGCCTCTCCTCCAGCAGCTCGGGCGACAGCTGGAACCCAACCTCCACCTGTAGCGGCACGCACAACACCCTGAGCGCACGCCTGCCCAGCAGGGCCGGTGCAAGGGGGTGCCGGGGCGGGCCCCGCACCACCAAACGTACCGATGGCCCCCCGCCCACATTCACTCTGCTGAGCGCTGAATCGCTGTCATGGTGGCCCCCCACGCTACAGCGCTACAGGCCCCCTCTCCATCCGAGAGTAGCTGGAGCCGGGCCTGCTGTCAAGTGGTCAGAAATTCATCTTGGCTTATTAACCAGGGTTGCCAACTCTGAGGCACAAAAAATAGGACATAGTAGAATGTATCTCGTGATCTATTTCATGATACATTCTACTTCTCTTATCTCACAATACCAGAAGATTCACTGTCTTGAATTAGTGGTGTACTATTACACAACTGGCAAAATCCGAGACTTTTAGGACCCAGGAAAGAGGTTGTACTCGGAAAACCAAGACAGCCAGCAACTCCAATATTAAGCTACACTCACTTCTGATGACGAACTTACATACAGCAGATTTTCCAAATTTCCCACACACAGAGGTCATACGTTGTCCGCTACTTTGCCAGTCCCCTCCCAGCCAATCTACAGCCAAGTGTCTTGCCATCTCGTATAGATTCCCTCTCAGTGGCGTCGGGATCGAGTGTGCAGGTGGTGCAACTGTACTGGGGCCCACAGACCGTAGGGGCCCATGCGTTGGGCTACCAAGAAAGGGGGAAGGTGAACAGGGGACCCCAATTCATTCCATGTACCAGGGCCAATGCCAACCATGCTACGCTACTATTCCCTCTGTATTCAACGGTCGGTCAGCCCTGCCTGGCCCCACCGTCTAACCTGGAGGCTGTGTTGAGGCATCAGAGTGATGGTGTCGGCAGACTCCCCGCCGTCGCTGGGCGTGGTGTGCTGCGGCCGGGCGGCGGGGTTCTGTTGGCCGGGCAGCGCGGGCTGCAGCAGCGCGAAGTTGCCCGACGTCTGTAGGCGGAAGCTGAGTGCCGCTCCCACCTCGTTGCGCAGCGCCATCCGCTGGGTCTGCACACTCTCCCTCTCCACCTGCGTGGACATGGACCCGCGCTCGTAATATTTCAGCTACGCATAAACCAAACGGGTTGCTGAAAAGGTTTCCGGCATGTACAACCATAAGCCTACTGCAATCTGTCGAACGTTTAATGTACATGTGATATTTATTTTGGTCAGTGCTGATTGGTGAAAGCGGGGAGCATAGCCAAGGGCGGATAAAAGTACGGAACAATTGATTTTGCTGCACTATCCATAACAGCGTTCCAAACCTAAAACAAACCAGGTTCAACCCTGTTTCCCTTCCGAGATCTGATGAGAACGAGTGCAGTGCAGGTGGTTTGATCACAGGCAATGTTTAATTGTATTTGTTCTGATTAAAATGTATGTAATTTTCATTGACAGAGTGAGACGCACCTTTCCATCTTTAATGAGGTCGCTGGCCTCAGCGTGGAACTTGAGTCCCCTGTCCCCTTCGTCCACGTCCATCTGCACAGTCAGCCTGGCACAGGGAAAGCACGGACATACACGTGGCGAAATGTACTCGAGCACGGACCTCGGATTGCTGACACGACGTGTCGTAAGGAGAAGAGAGGAAGGAGAGTGATGAACATGGAAGCACCAGGACAGAGACCGAGAGCCAGGCCTAGAAGGAAGCGGTGAGTAGCGGTGAGGCCGGATTGCTGAGTGGAGGTTGAGATGATGGCCCAGGAGAGGAATGAGTCTAGAAAGGGGACCAGGACGGCAGAGCCCACGTGAGTGGGAAACTTTGCAGGAACGAGGGAAAGGTTTTCCGTGTCTATGTGGCAAACTTCTCTGTGGAACATTCATATGCGTGACGAACATTGCCTGTCTGACGAAAGCCTGCAGGTCCACACGAAGAGGTGGCACTTCGTATCCATGTGGTCGGTCCACCTTCTCTGGGACGCACACCACATCCTGGAGCAGCCGCACAACACCAACAATAAAACAACAGAAGTTCCCCTCTGGGAAGAAAACGTAGCTCGCCTGCATTGTCTTTGTGGGTAATTTTGTATTTCCACAGTCACCCTACTCTGAGGTGCATTATGGGATTGAAGGTGTGCAATTAGTGATCGAGGGCCATGCGGGTTCAAGGGTCAAGAGAGGAAGTGCCCACCTGCTGGTCGAGGCTCAGGTATCCGAGCACGAAGCCGGCACACTCGGCACGCGATTCGATGTCTGTCAGGAGCAGCGGCGTGAACGACACGCCTATGGTGGCGTGGCCCCGCGCCGGCACCACCTGGGCACACGCGGAGCGACCGCACGCACGGCGGTGCAGGGAATAGTGATGCACACCTACGATCGAGCGCTTGGGAAGCAAAGAGTTGGTGGATCTCGTAATGTCGATTGGAGAAACTTCAAAACCCGCTTGGCTGCAGGGTGGCCAGAAGAAGGCAGTACAACAAGTGGGACCGTGACCACGTAGATTTTTTTCAGTGTTATCCCCGCGTACGTGTGGTGCGTTTTCTCTGGGTACTCCCGTTTCCTACCGCATACAAAACACTGCCAAAAAAGGGGAATTTGGCCAAACAGCACATAACAGCATAATCCTGAAGAAGTCTTGCAGCTCATTGAGACTTTCTTGCCTTGATCAAGGTGAAGTTCTAGAGACCTCTTATAGGGGATATTTGGCCTACTCTTCCACTCTGGCCAAACATCTTGGAAGACGTGGAAGTACTCGTTATTTTTACAAACCGCACGAGGTTTTACATACAGAAGAAGAGAGCTCCTCATCTTACTGTATCGCTTTCCTCTCCCCGTCATGTTACACGTTAACACACAGTTTGCTTGGTAGGTGGTTTATGTGGCACGCCGGGAGGCAATGGACCACGTATCCCCTACCATCTGGCTTGGAGTGATGCAGTACGGGAAGTCGGATTCCATCCCCTCGTGTTCCCGCAGGCGGACCTTGATGATGTCACGACGCGCCGGCGCACCCTCCACCACGTCCTTCTCCAAACTCTGCGAGGTGATAACACCCACGGTGAGCCACGTGGGTCACGGCCTGTTTACCGCTGGCCCTTATGTAAGCTATTGCTCATGTTTGCGCACGCACGGTTGGCTACGTACGGTGCGAAAGAAGTTCAACATACATACAATCCGTATTGAAATAAACCAAGGCAAAATAGACATGTGACTGAGGCAGAATGCTTTCAATCGGTGCATATGACCTACTGCGACCTATGGACTGGACACATGGACTGTGTTATAATCATGGAACAAAAATCTGAAAAGGATGCAAAAAAAGTGTGGAGAGATGCATGCTGGGTATTACACTTTGAGAAAAAGAACATGGAGCACACGAATCGTGAAACAAATGCAAACTACAGACATTATTTTGACTTAAAAACAGTAAGTGGCCATGGGTAGGACCCATCACAAGGAGTAATGGCAAGTGGAGAAACCTGGCGATGGAATGTCAGCCAAATGAGGGAACAGGCCCGAAGGAGAATGTCCATCGCTGAGACTGAGCGAAAAAATCAGTTGACGCGCAGCAGCGACATGAACCCGTGGCGCCAACAGCCAGCAGTGGCTAGAGCACGGCTGCTTGATGACGGATATATAATATTCGTAGATAGTTCATGCGTCCCGCGTCGGGTACGTGGCAGCGCCGAACCTCTGGGCTGCTTGGGACAGAGATGTCGTCCTCCTCGTCGAGAGTGAACCTCTCCACCCAAGGCATGGGCCCACGGCGCTCGCTGGGCACGGCGGCCTCCGTGGCGAGCAGCTCATTGCCGTCGGCGTCCCTCAGAGGGAAGGGCTGCCCGTAGCACAGCAGCAGGTCCAGCAGGCGCCCGTCTTGGCTCTCCACGTTGTACGACTCCCAGTCCACACGTACAGCTGCACCACAGACAAACGCGATTATGCCCCATGGTACGCAGGCTCGGTCAAGGCACATCGCTAGCACAGCGCTTGATACATTTAAAGAAAGAAGAAAAAAAAATTCAGCCCTTTGTCAACCCATTGCTGGATGAACGTCTCCTCACACTGCGTCAGTTGCTTGACCATACTTCACCACACTGGTCAGTGCGGGTTGGCAAAGTGGGGGCCCAGGACCGGTCAGTGTCACTCACCACAAATGTGAGCAGTGGCTTTGAACTGAATTTAGGTATCTCACCACTGCACCACTACCCCATCCTAGAAAAGCAATACAAACATGTAGTGGTTCCATAAACGTGCCACAATAATGTTGGAAATTATGTGTTCGCATAGGTTAAACTCTAAGCCCAAATCAGGGTGGGCCAATTATATTTAAATGCAACTACACGACAAAGTACCAACAATTTTAACACACTCACAAATAGGGTTGTGAGTCTGTATATTGCTAAGTCAACATTCATATGAATTCCTACCAAAAGGACTGGTGTTGTTGATCCTCAGCGAGCGCGAGACCGTGTCCCCTCCTGAAACATGTGTCCCAAACCTGGCAAACACACAATCACAAAGCACCACCACCGCACCCCAGTCACAGCTCATTGACTTCATGTGCAGGAAATATTGACACCATCTGTAAACCACAGGCAGCATACTGTGTGACCGTCTTACCTGAATTAAAAAAATACCTGTTTTCCCAATCTGCAATCCTGCACATTCATCTCTTCAAGCTCCCTCCCTTGCCCCCCTCCCCCATTCCCCCACAAACCCCTCTATTTTGGCCACAGCGACAGAGTGCGTCTGTGTGTTGTGCTGTGGGACAAAGCGGGAATCACACCTGACAATGGGGCGTGTGCTGGGGTCCTTGAGAAGCCCAGTCAACTGCAGGTGCAGAGGGCATCCATGCACCGACATCCTCACTGGGACCTCCACAGGCTCCAGGTCCCCGACCTGCCAGCGTTCCATTCATTATACTGTCAGTGGTATTACTACTACTGCGGTTGTTTACCCAGTTGAAGGCTCATTGCATTTCAAGACTCTTTTTCAGGAAGGTCTTACCAAGTTTTCTCCATAGGGAGCGATGTTGCTGTGTGAATCCCAAATGAGTAACATTTCAGCAGTGGGATGTTTGGCCAACACCAGCAGACACATCCTGTGTGATTTTAGCCATGCAAGGAAATCCATGCAGGACACACACCCGAGTCAGAAATCGAAGCGCAAGTGTTACCGCTGCTCCACCCATTACCAGCAGCATCGTTCGTAACCTTCACGCCGCATCAGTGCAAACCATCGTCGTAGCCACCGGAGAGATTTGCACTGGCTCCCCAGAGCAGGCCAAGGCAGGGCGAGAGTGGAGTTGTGGAATTGTAGGCGGTGACCTGACAGAGCAGCCGGTCGCGGTAGTGCCCCCACATGTCGCTGACCGCCGTGACGGCCACCTCTTGGCGAGAGAAGGCGCCCAGCGTGCCAGCGCTTGGCTCGCACGTAAAGGCAGCTCCCCTCCCCGCCAGCAGTGCAGCCTCTCTCACCTCTGGGAAGCAAGAAGCACATTGTCGTTCCAACACGTGGGTTTGTACAGCTGGTTTCAGTTCATCACATAAAACTATGCCTCTGAGTGTAACAGAGCTGTTTGACGTGTGATTCCCAGCCCCGGTCAACATCAGTGGCGAGTGGAATCTGAACCAGCACCCCCCCCCCACGGCAACCCACACAGACCAGCGTGGTGAAGTATGGTGACACGACGACTCCTATGACCGGAAGCAGTGGATTGATGAAGGTCTGTAAAAGTTACAGCTGTTTATAGATTGAAATTACTGCGCTAAAAACATCAAATACACAAACTAATGTACTTCATGAAACATTTTAACCTTGCGACAGGCACCTCCGTGGAGTATCTGTGGATGATTAATACAGCACCGGAGAGACTGGAGGGCTCACCTGCCTGCCGTTTGCTGGGGGGCTTTCGAGGCATGCTCGCCTTGTTGAGGGCTTTTGTCAGAAGAAGGCTGCTGTCCATTCTATTGATGTGGGACAAACACATCTACGTTAAAAAAGCACTTCATTCTAAATACAGTCATACCCCGGTTCACGTCGGGGACGCGTTCCTGAAAGGTGCGATTACGAATATCGAAACGACGCCAATCAAAGCAATTTACAGGGTAGTAGGTGGAAGCGAAGGCTGAGAGATGACGGATAACGAGAAATGACGATGGTGTAGGCGACGTAAGCGTCGGTTGAGGCGATGCAAATCGGGTATCGGCATTAATACGGTGACGACGTATTTGTGAAATGTCGTAAAAGGGGTAAACGTAGATCTGGGTATGACTGTACCATGGAGTCTGAGCACTGCGCTTTTGTGACGAGGTCACACGTCCACCAGTCACAATGGCTCCCATGCTCTCGAAGCATTGCTCATTTCCTGTATGCCAGTGGTGGAAATGCTACAATCCTATGGAAGTGGCGGGTCTGTCCATAGGACAACTACTGCTTGTTTCCCCACAAACCGAAATTCATTTAATTCCCCTGAGGAACATGTTGAAATGAATTGGCCCCCATCCAGAAAAAGAGCTTTATAGCTCACCGGATTTCTCCAGCATAAATAAATATTCTGAATTCCGTGCCGCTCACTCTCCCACTACGCCACCTCACCAGAATGTCGTAGTTACATTTTATTAATTGAGGTGGTGCAATAAACAAACAGGTTCAAAATGAAAACCTGATTTTGCCTTGCTTCCAAAACATGTTGCATTAGTCTGTCAATACCACGTTAAACTGCCCAGGGCACATAGCAAAGTAAGGTAAGGGGAAGTTTCAGGGCTATAAATATGGGTGTCATGGCTAGATACACATGTGTACAGTCGTGATCGGAATTCAGAGAAACAACGGAGATGTGGGAAAAGCGAGACACAATCAGAGAGGGGAGCGTGTCTTGGTACTAACCCAGGCGCACTATTTACGTCTTTTTATGACAAAGTAGAGTAGATAGAAACGATTTACAAATGTTTAACAAGTATACATGATACGAATATAACCCCCTGCAACAACTGCGTGGTTTTGTACGTGTGCCGTGAACGCTCGAGTTATCGTTTCAGCCGTGGTGGGACTGCATGTCTGTCAAAGGGTATGTGCTGTAATGTTGGATGTAGTCAGAGAGATGACATACTGTGGACATGTGCTGCTCGGCTCACATGAAGCCCTATTGCCAACCACCCCCCCCCCCCCACTTCCTTGGGAAAATCGAGGACAGAAGGACAAAATGAAGACAAAGGTGGACGTGGTGGTGGTGGGATGATATTGAGAAGTGGACTCAGCTCAGCATGGGGAACATCAGCAAAGCTTGTGCTGAGAGGAAGTGCTGGCACATGTTGACTGTCGACCTCCACACCTGGAGCTGGCACGGGTAGATGGATGGACGGAGAGTGGTGTGCGTGCGTCACCACGTGTTACATGTAATGAGGTCGGGGTGCGCGTGCGAGAATGTGGTGCGGACACCGGCGGTGCGAGCTCATCACCGCGTGTTGCGCACGGCGAGGCCGGACGGAGTCGGGGGAGGAGCCCCACTGAAGTATTCAACCCGCACGTGGAACGCAGCCTCGATGGCTGTCTGGTTGGTCATGACCAGCGTCCTTGTGACAAAATCACCGAGCTTCACCTCCGAGCCAAAATCGAGCAGCAGCTCCTCTGACGGTATCTGCACGCTGACGCAACAAGAGACACGTCGCACAAACAACACGCTTATCAGCGTGGTGAAGTATGGTGAAATAACCCCCATGATCTCCACGGCATAGGGAGACCCTCATTCATCAGTGGATTGACAAGGCATGTGCCATGGATATGTATGTACACATATTCCTATCGTTGCTGCACTTCAATGCTCCCACATCTATGCTCCCCACCTTCACTAACCTGCACTGACAAGCGTGGCAAAGCACGGTCAAATAATCCCCATGATCCGCATGGCACGAGGAAGCGCTCGTCCAGCAGTGGATGAATAAGAGGGCTGTGCGTGTCTGTCATTATTATATCAGGTACACATCTTCTTGGCGACTTTCCCAGCTCAGCATAGTACAGTTAGACAATGCACTTCGGCACCGCCCTCTGCTGCTCGTCACGTAGCCCGGCACGTCACTCCGCGGCCTACCTAGAAACACCGGTGGCAGCGTTTGGAGCGGAGGCGCCGGACCCGGGCGTGGAGAAAGTGACGTGGAGGCCCTGTGCCCGGGCCTGCACAAGCAGCAGTAGCGGCTCGTCCATCCCGGCCACCGAGCAGGGCAGCACCAGGTCACGGAGCTCGTCCTGCGGAGGAGCCCAATGCTGGAGCGTTGCTACTACTATGCTTGTTTACGCAGGAAAGCCTCACTGAGTCTAAAGACTCCACTTCAGGAGGGTCACGCCAAGTTAGCCCAGTAGAGGTCGATGTTGCTGCTGCGTGTAATCCCAAATGAGTAATTTGCAGATCGTTTTTGATCATTTGGATAAATGGCCAATACCAGTTACAATGTGTTTTTTTGGCTATAAAAGGAAACAGGAGAGCCCGGAAGAAACCCGTGCAGAACAGGGCGAGATCACACAAACTCCTCACAGAAAGGTGCCCGAGTCGAGAATCGAACCCAGGCTCTCCTTGCTCTACAAGGCACAAGTGTTATGACTGTGCCATTCTGGCGCTCATGACCACCCCACGTGTCACGTCTCACCAACAGACGCACCCCATACACAAAGTCCCATCCAGTGCGATGTTCTAGAAATAGTACTAAATATACAATATCGCAAAAAGTTTTTAGAGCCCTTTGGCGTTCCGCGCTTCACGACGGTGTGGAACTATTTGAGAGCCGAAGTGCGACAGCAGCTGCTGAGAGCAGCATGTAAGGAGCGCGACACGTGGCCCGGGACTGCCTCTTCAGTGTTCATGTGCAAGGTCTGCGGTTACTTCTGTGCTGCCCGCATTGCTCGCCAGAACCACATGAAGGCACACGGATATCATAACTAACCTTCTCACAGGCAGTCATCGTCGATCTGACGTGACAGCCAGCATGTGGGGGCCACCGTAACAGCGATATACCACGAGGGAGAGTGAACTTGGGTAGACAAAGGAATACTTGATGGTGAAGGGCCAGCCCTGGCTGGAAGTGCTTTGCCGTACCATGGTGAGTGCCGTAAACTCCACAGAGACGTCCACCTTCTCCCGTGGGCCGATGGAGCCGCTGGCTGGAGTGGCCCTGACACTGCAGCTCTGAGCCTGGGGCCCACACAGCTGCCACCGCAACACGATACACACGTTACGTCACCTTCGCTAAACATGACACATTCACTTAATAACTCCCTTCCTCCAGCTATCCGTGCTGTCGATTACCTGCCTCTGTTTATGACGCTACGATTCACAAACATAGTCTGCAGTAGTTTCACAGTAGAGGACGATGTTGCTATGTGTAATTCCAATTGACTAATTTGCAGATAATTTTTCGAATTTGGCAAATTTGGACCATGACACCGCCACACAATGGCCTTCTTTTAAATCACGGCACGGGGTCTTTAACATCCACTGGGAAGCAGACAGTTCTTATTTTATGGTTCATAAATCCGCAGTGATAACCAGGGCAGCCTGCCCGAATCAAATCACAAAACTCTGCAACGAGCGGCGAACGTGGCACAGCTGGGCCATGTCATCAGACATTGAAATGCTTCAGAAATCCAAATTGCCTTATAATGCATTTAAGGCCGCATCCTGTATAACATTCTGACATCAGAGTTCTGATAAGATTAAAAATGAAACTTCGTGCGATGCTGTGAATATTATGAGCTCATGAGATGCATCCACAAGGTGTGGTCAATCGTAACAAGATTTTAATTACGCACTTCAAATTCAAGCCAACAACACTGGTTCTGGTGAAGAGGCAGTGGAAGGTGATGAAACGGAACTGAAGAAGAAACATAACAGTAATGATGATGATGATATCACTAGAAGTGCTACCACTGCACACACCTGTCCCCAGCTGTAGGTGGTGGCAAGCAGCGTCTGGTTGAGCAGGGAGACCGTCTCAGTGACCACGACGCCCAGGTACACCTCACTCAGCTGCAGGCCGGAGTTGAGCAAGCACACACGAGGGCTCTGCACCTCTGCACATAGCATCACCGGCCTTCACACACACAAGCACATAAGCAAGGCACAGGAACACACGACACGTAACTCATGAAGATCTTTGTATCCCAGTTCTGCGTGACCAATGCTCGGCAATGTATGTATGTTGAACTTTTTCCACACGTAGCCAATCGTGCTAATCGGAGGTGTAATCACGTGCGCATGTGGCAGGAATTAAACAGCCAAGCGCACAGAGGCATTAAACAGAGGAGGATTTCTCACGAAGATGGCCAGTGGCAGCAGTACGTGTATGTCCCCTGCCAATCCACTGCTGGATGAACGCCTCCAGACACCGTATGGGTTTTGGGGGTTATTTCACAATGCTGGTCATTGCGAATTGGAGAGGGTGAGTAGCATAGACATGGGAACATGGTACAGTACAATGGATTGTTCTGCACTGCTCTCTGCTACTCATCACATAGCTGTGCAGCCCTATGGAAGGAAACCTGTGTGTGCATCGTGGTCACCAACTCAAGCACATCCAGCGTTGTGGGATGCTATTGGCATGAACGACGCTATATAAAATTAAAGTATATTTTTATTAACCTTGCTTAGCGTACGAGATTTGGAAAAAAAAATTGGGCACATTCAGGGTGATTTTATTATATAGGCCTCACATTCACAGACGTTAAGCAGAAGACATTTTCTCAAGAAGTTGCCTATTGGCAGCGTGTATGTCAAAAAAAGGTAAACAAAATTGTGAATGAAACACAGCAGTTATGCATGCCACTCATCCCAGCTCCGCACATTCACCCACCCACCTGCTCTCCCCTCCTTCCACCTGCAGCTCCATGTGCGCCTGCAGCGTGAGGCAGCGCTCCGGCCGGAACGTCAGGACAGCCTCGCTGCGGGCACGCGGCGCCAGTTCTCCGCAGCCGGGCGCTGCCACCAGCCCCGCGGGCGCCGCCGCCAGTCGCCAGCGCACGGGCACCTGGCCTGGGTTGCGCAAGCGCAACCTGGCCTCCGCGCTGTCTCCGAGGCGCACCAAGCCGAGGTCCAGTGTGGGTGTCTCCACCAGCAGCTCGGGGCCCTGGGCCAGAGCGGCGGTTGAAGCAGTGATGATTAGGACGCGTGGTTGGAATCGGTTGTAAAAACAAACAATCGCAGACATTGCACTTCAATCGTACTACAAAACTAATGACCCGCGACTACTTTGCGAGAGCGAATAGTAAACAACGAAAAACATATTATAGAATTCATCAGTTGTAAAAATAATAACAATGATAAAAAATTTACAGCCTTTTGTAAATCCATTGCTGGATGAAAGCCTCCCCAAACCATGTTGGTCATGGGGGTTGTTTGACCGTAAGTACACCATGCTGGTTGCTCAGTGTGGGCTGGTGAATTGAGAAGGCTGGCCCAGGACTGTGTTCAGCTTTCACTCACCACTGATGTTAGATATAGCCCTGCGTAGACCTTAGGTCACCGGATTTGAATATTAAATAAAAAATAAATTGGAAACAAGTCAGCGTGGATGGCAGCAAACATACCTTGAACGTGGCCTGTATGTGAAGGGCAATTGGCTCCTGCTGGTGCTTAATGTGGCAGATGAGGGCATGTGCCAGCCGCCCGGGGGCTTTGCCCACCACGCACACCTCACAGCACACGCTGCCTCCCGCCTCTGTCGGTCACACGGCACAAAACCGCGCATGCGTGACAAAACAACAATACCGCATGCCAGCCGATACAAGACTCCAGCTTGGACCGTGTTCGTGAGCATAAGGCAGATTTGAAACACGGTAAGACCAATACTTCTCCCGTGGCCAATCATTATTTTAATGCGGCTGGCTCACGCGAAATTGATTTCTCTAAGACGATTCGTTCATGAAGCCATCCATATATACAGACACAGACACAATTTCAACCGAGATGATGATTATAAACTCAGCCATCATTGGAAAGATGTCATCAACCACTTTGGGTCATGACTTGATTTGTGTTTTCTTGTCAACCTCCACCGTCAGCAGTGTGTGTGTGGAGCAAGGTGCAATGATTTCCTGGAGGCCCTTTTGGTGGAGACCCACTAACTGCCGAGTTGTTTCCTACATTACCGGTAGCTGCCCTTCCCATTCTGCTGACACACTTGGGCTACGCCCATCTCTAAACCTTTATAAACAGTTTGCCTTGAGAAGCTAACCCCCCTTTTTCCTGATGACGACCGCTTGTGTTGTGATCGAAACGTCGTGGGTTTTTATTTTTATTAGATTTTGTATTTTATTTTATTCAGGTTAAAACCAGGCTACAGTCTCCATTATAGACTGCCAGTACACTCATCGAGGTTAAGAACCAGGCTACAGTCTGCGTAATCGACTGCCAGTATGCTCACCGAGGTTAAGAATCAGGCAACAGTCTACAATATAGACTGCCAGTACACTCACTCCGATTTAGAACCAGGCTACAAGTCTACATGAGTGTGTTTTTTATTCACTTTAATTTTATAATTATTTTTCTATCTACGTGACTTTACCGAAAGAACCAAAGAATAAGACTCCAGCTAGCGCACTACCACTACTACGACTACACAATTTGTATTTACAAAGCATCTAAATGCAAGCGTGTCTCAAAACACTGTAGGCAAGTTTGTGAGCAGAAGCAGTGGGCATCGTTGTTTTTATAGAGGCAGTCAGCCATAGGCAGAGGAAATGAAGGTAGGTCTCGAGCGTGAACTAAAACGAGGGACAGGGAGTCAAAAGTACGGATGGCTGGGGGTACAGAGTTCACAAAGTCACGTTCCAAAGTCTCACCAACTTCTCCCTCTGAGGGCTTCACCTCCACCTGGTGCGGTTCCATCATCTGGTCCCAGTGGAACCTCATGGTCGCTGCGCTCACGTTCCTAAGCTGCGCAAGAACACCCACACGAACGCGATCGATGAGTGCCGTTAAACATTGTCACGTGCTAGCGTTGCTGGCAACGCTTTGTGCCTCAGACTTATACTCACCAGACACTCTGAGCAGACACCCACCACACAGCACACATCCCTCACCACTCACTTGATACCTATCACTCACTCGCTCACCAATCACCAGACACTACGCACCTCCGATTAGCACAGTTGGCTATGTATGGTGCGAAAGAAGTCTAACATACATACTCACCACTCACCTAGCACTGACAATTACCCTCTCCTCACCATGCACCACATCCTCACTGATAACAGACTAACACCACTTGTGCATTACATCAACCACTTACACTTCCCACTTCATATTAGCAGCTGCTGAATCAAAACACTACATTTCCCACTTCACATAAGCGACCTTCCTTGTGGCCACTACTCAAGTGCACTCGAGCCAAACGCCGTTATTCTGAATAACAAACTATAATAATTTGTGATACCGTGTTGGAAATGTTGCCCAAGCACAAACAACAAAAATGCAACACATTCATCAATCACACTGCCATAAATCAGTATCTCTCTGTCAAAACATTGCAAAAGACGTGTATTTTTTCATTCCGGGGGCCGAGTATGTTGAGATTCTGTGACTGTCATTGGCACCTGGAATGGGCGGTAAGTGGGGTGGCCCACGTACACGTCCCCAGGCAGGCAGACTGCAGGGGGCTCGAGCAGCACTCGGAAGGGCTCCGATTCACCTTTGACCTCCACCTCCAGAACGATGACATCAGTGACACCCTGACCCTGGGCAGCATGGACTGTCGACCTGCAGTTTGAGAAACGACACCAACAGGGCTTCCTTTCAGCCGGCTCTGTCCGCGGTGGGTGATCTGGAAAGTATTTATCAACTCGGCACACAACATCCATTATTTGTCTCACTTTGGCTGTGGCTTCTAGTCAGGTGCCAAATACTCGTGTCTGTCAGCGACCCGCGAAAATATTAAGTCAGAATTTAAGCCCTGGGCATGTATCTCATCATAAAGCAACACATTTTCTATTCTTAGCAGACTGCACCTCAGTGGATGTGGAGCCATTAATATACAGTAGTGTACAGTATATCACAATTCTAATTACTGTATGTCACTATTATCTTTGGACATATGCGGGCATAGCCCTTGTTTCAATCCACTGCTGGATGAGGGCTTCCCTGAGCTGTGTGGCTCGTGTGGGTTATTTGACCATACTTCGCCACGCTGGTCAATGGGGATTGGTAAAGGCAGGCAGATCAGACATGGTAGCGTAAGAGTACGGTACAACAATGGATTTGTCTGCACAGTCTTCTGCTGTTCGCCACATCGCCCCGCACCAAATCATATGCAGAGCACCGATATCAACAAAACTCGGACGCTAAGCCGGGTCTTGTTTGGATAGAGCTTGCTTGGATCACCACGATCATCTTTAATGTAATATATTTATTGTTTTATTTTAAACACAGATTTTGTTGGCTACGTACGGTGCAAAAGAAGTTCAACATACATACATACAGTGTGTGTTGTACATGCTTCAAAGCAACATGGCTCATATTGCCAGCTCTTATAAGGTATGCTAGTTGTTGATGGAATTTCCCGTAAAAATAACACAATTCATAAATGAAGGGAGCTCGTTTCACCATATGAAAATAAAACAACGTATTGTAAGCAATGTGGTATATTAGTTATTAAGTATACATTAAGTTCAGATGGAATAGGTCACAGTCACAATGCGTATGATGGAAATTGCTTGTTTGTGAGCTGCTCGTGCACATGAACCACGTCCGCTCACGGTTGTTGTGTAGCGGGTATCTCGGGCACGTCACTCAGCACCAGGTGCAGAACGCTGTGATATCGCTTGGGCTGTTTGCACACACACACACACCCAGTGTACACACGCTGAGTATTCACACGCACCCAGTAAACACACCCAGTGCACACATACACATGCGTGCACACCACCCAGAGCACGTATTATCACACTTCCTTGCCCATGAAGAGATAGTCCTACCAAGTTGTTGCAGTAAGGGGACAATGTTGCCGTATGGAGAAAAATTTGCAGGTCACTTTTCAGCATTGGGATGTTTGTCCAACACCATTGATAGTGTGTGTTTTTGTGGCTTTGCAATGAAACCGGAGAACTCAGAGAAAACCCATGCAGAACAGGAGGAGAACATTCAAACTTCATACAGACAGGTGCCCAAGTCGAGACTCAAACCGGGTTCTTACCACTGTGTCATCCTGTGGACAGAGTGCACACAAACAACATTATTTCATTCCCAAGTAAGAGCTAATACTACCTTTTTAAGAATGGGTCTAGACATGTCAAGGCTTGCCATGTAACATTCAGAACTGAGGCTGCTAAAACCACGACTGACCAAAAAAATACCCGTTTATGACATATACTTTGAACAAAAAAAATAAGAAGAAGAGAGCCAAACATGCGTTCGCATGAATGTTCAGACGTTAGGCGCGCGATGACGAGCAATTAAACACATATTACAAGCTGACCTATCGCACGAGCAGAACATTGCCACGATCTGAACTCGGCACCTTAGTGGGGCCAAAGGAGATGGTGAAAGTGTGCTGCCCGTGCGGCTCCAGTGTCCCGTGCTCGGGGCTGACGGAGAAGCCCGAGTGGGCGTGCAGGTGGTACTCCAGCTCGGCCGGCTCAACCGCGCCAACCGCATCGTCGGGGCTCGCCGGCGCTCGCAGGTTCGGCTTCACCACCCGCCACGAGAAGGGCAGGCCCACGTCACTGCGCCAACACGCCGGGCGTGGAAGGAGCGTGCCGACATGAAAAACAAAACGAACGCGGTTTAAAGCTATAGAAATGTGTTTACATTGACCGGCAAGACCCAACCAGTTACGAAACAAGCTGAATTTAACAAATTATTTTAAGGGAATGCAGTGGTTGCTTTGCACAAGCACATATTCGGTACTATGATAGGATCTCGTTTTGAGCAAGGGCCCTTCTTCAGTCATGATGCTTGATGAACAACTAATGAAAATGGTTTATTCATGGATGATTAGGACATTTATGGTACATGTATTGAATCTGATGTGTGAGAAATAATTCTAAAAAAGTGTATGAAAATTATATGATAGCATTGCATTTATGCCAATGGAGAAAGCAATCCGAGCAAAGGAGCAGAACAAATAATAAAAACAAACGAGACGGCCAATGAGACAAATTAATTCATCATACCACAACCTGTAATGTTGACAATAAAAATGTTCACTTTTTAACGTAAAAATGTTATCGATTCTCAAGATGCTTCACATATATTAAAAACCAAAAGTGGATAGATGGTCAACCGGGGTAATCCAGACAGGGAAATGTGAGACAATTCATCGAATCACTGGGGAGCGATTATTCATATGCCTAACTATGTGGCTGTCCCTTACGCAGTGCTCTGCACGACGATCTGCTTGCTGGTGCTGCCGAACGGGTGCAGGGGGCCCAAGCGGAGCAGGACGTGCGCCATCGCGTCCGTGAGCTCCCCCAGCGCTGGCTCGGCAGCGCCTCCCTCCACCCACGTCAGCTGAACCCCAGCCACCTGGCCCTCGCCTGCACACACAGGGGCAGTCACGGGCAGGTGATTGCAGGAGTGAACAACCGCATAACGGGCAGAAAGAGAAACATGTGAACCAAAGAACGAACGCAAATGCAAGATATATTATTGACAGCTGAGAAATGTGAGCTTGGCTCCGCGCCTCAGAGTTATGGTCATTTATGTCTGTGAAATATTGCACGCATTACAAATAGCATTATTATTGTTATTATGGCGGGTGGTTGAGACTCATGATAGTGAACAAAGGAGGAACACGCCCACGAGGACGCCCCTGTCGAGCTGCAGTGATAAAACCACATCATGTGCAGGAGCTCGATGGATTGTTGCATTTCAGGAGCATGAGCGATGGTCATAGCTTGGAGAGGCCTTCCTCTTGCACCTTCAACTTTAGATCACGGTTTGATAATGGTGATGATGACAAGAAAAAACAAAGATGTTGAGCCCTAGTTTTAGTGCCGTATTTGTCGCAGGTACCTGCGATGGTGAAGTGTTTGACCTGACAGTTGTCGCACACCACGGTGAATTCCTGCGTGAATGTGCCCAGGGTCGTGGGGCTGAAGGTGACCTGAACAACAAGAAAAGGTGAGTGAAAGTCAGCACCCATTCGCTCTACAAGGGGACAGAGAACTAGGCCCTGGCATACATTACTACTCACTTATTCTTTGGATGTGGTGTTGTGATTGGAATGTCGTATTTTTTTGTTATTTTCTTTCAACCTATCTACGTGACTTTACCGAAAGACCCAAAGAATATGAATTCCTGCAATCACGAAAGCTTTAAGTCAAAATGACTACTCACTGTTTAATGTCAACACCGGCACACGCACCAGCAAGCTTTAACAATAAAACTATTATTATTTATTATTTCTAGCGTAACCAGTATTGACTTACGGGTCTAAATGTGAGACGATAAAGCAAAACAGGGAGGAGCACATGTTGTGTAACACAGACATTAGGAAGGTATGGTGGTTCCCTGCGATCGCAGATTGGATCGGCTCAGAATTGAAGAGAGGAAGAAGGCAAGAGTGGAGTTGCCCATCTCAGGCAAGCTGAAAGTTCACTCAGGTGGCTAGGGGCACGTGTCACATGAAGAGAATAACCACATCCGAGATAAGTATAACCCGTAAAAACAAAGTTTCTCACTCTAAATCCTTTATATGCGTGGCGGCTAGAGTCCTCTCGTACTCTGGCTTGAGATGGCTGCCACATATGGGTCAGATGATTGTCTGCAGTATTAAACAATTGGTAATTAAATATTTAATTTGTTTTCCCTAAACAGTGTAAAATTTTGGAAAAAAATTTTCACGAACATTAATTGTCTCGCACAACGAGTCTGTGTGCAAAATTTCAGCTCGATTGGATCACGGGAAGTGGGTTAAAAAACGACCGAAAGGTTTGCACGGTCGTAAGCAAGCAAGCAAGCACGCAAGCAAGCGAACTTAATATAAAGGATTTAAAAAGGTAATGAACATGGCAGCATCAGAGCAAAGACCGAGCGCCAGGCCTAAAACGAGGTGGTTAGAAGTGGTGATCTAGAATGTGAAGGCCTGGGTAGTGGACATGAACACGATGGTTCAAGACAGGAAGGAGTGAAAAAAGAGGAGCAAGAAGGCAGAGCCCACGTAGAGTGAGACTAACACAAGCAAGGAGAAGCAGAGTCTTCATATATGTACACGTGCTGTTTGCAGTGAGTTCTTGCCTCCAGGATGGTGGCCTCCCCAGGTAGTAGCTCAAAGAAGACGGGTTGGACTTCAAACGGGGGAAGGGACACCGCCCCCACACTGACCACCGACTGGGAGACAGCAACACAATGCAGCATTCCTCTCCATCTCATGACATTCTCTGATGCACCCACAATGCTGGAAGCACGAGCTAAAAAATAATATATTTCATATTGTTCCAAAATAAGTGCAGGAAATACTCTCCTATTCACATTAATACTGGGGCCTTGTTTGTGGAAAGAAGGAAGACAATACTTGTTTGTGAAGAGGTGAAGGTTTATTGTGAACGGCTGAAATATGCCTTTGGGGCCGTCCATAACTGACGTCACGCGATTTTGGACGATTATTGACCCCGCTCCCTAGTCACACGGCGTCACAAAAAGTCAGACCCCCCCCTCAAATATGACGTCACAAAGCTCTGCCCCCCTCCCCCCCAAAAAATAAAACATGCTTCAAATCGCTTTAACTATTATCATTGTACTGTAGTGCGTATTTAATGTGGCGCTGCACTCTGATGTTGTAGGAGAAAACATTTATTAAAAAGTCTATTTAATTAAGTAGAACGTGTTGTCTGTATTCATTTAAAGTTGCGCATTTTGATGTGACGTCACATTTCTCACCCCCCCCCCCTTCGTCACACATCGTCCCCCCCCCCAGGTGCGTGACGTCATTTATGGATGGCCCCTTTGTGCGCGGGATGGCATATGGGCACATCAAGGCTAAAACGTATAAATTATGATAATGCACATTTCACATGTGAGAGAGACCAGTATTTGCTCGACTTTTTCACAAGGTGCACAAATATATATTTTTTACTATAATTCACATGCAACCTTATCATCTTTAAAAAAAGCTAATAAATGTGTGTTTCGGCATTGTCTGAGCTGATCATATTTTCCTGCATTCAACACCAGCATAGGTTAAAACCCATGTAAAAAGGTACCTCATGAAGACATACGGATATGTGCATACACACACAAAGTTAGATGACATTTATTTATAGCCAGGTAAGCAGGGATGCCTTCATGCAGCATTATATTGATGAAGGGCTGAAAAAATGTAATAAAGAACCTACGAAGGAATGTATCAAATAAATGCCATAAAGGTGGAGTGCTAAAATAAAACCTACAGTATGTCAAGCATGGATGGCGTTGATGTACGACGGGTTTGCCTGCTATGCAAAGGTCACCCTGAAGTTGGTTGCAGGCCAGCGGTGGCGCGGCATAACGCAGAAGCGCCCGCCCCCTGGCCCAGCGTTGTGGCACAGGAACTCAACGACCTTGCCTCCCCCCACCAGACACGGCCCCACGTCCAGCACGGGCGGCACTGGGCGGAGCGAGAGTCAACACGTGCAACGGCATAGTCCAATTACGACGTGGAAAACAGGTACACGAGTGTGATTTTCTGGGTTTGGCTGGGTGTTCAGCATTTCTTATCTCAACTTTTCACCACACACTACTGCGGGAATGTTCAGAATTGAATAGGGCAATCGCACACTAATGTCGGCTACCTCCGTTGAATAAATACAAATCGATCAGCGCCCACCGATTGCAGTCAATGAATTCTGTACAGAATTGTTTATTTTTATGTTGTTGAATGATGTAATAGCGCTTTGGGTGGCAGATTTGTACCAGAAAGGTGCCATGTATTAACCAAAAATAAATTGACTTGACTTCCCCAAAACATCTAGGGTTGGCAAGTATGCAATGGCGCACTCTGCGGGCGTGCGCTGGCGACGTACGGGTGAGTATTGGCGGCGGGCGGCGAGCCTGTATGGGCACGAGCAGCGTGTGCTCCGCCTGCGTTTCCACCAGCAGAAAGTCGTCCACGTCGGCGAGCGAGTCTGGGGCGAAGCGCACGCTGTAGCTGCAGCTCATGCCCGGGGCCACGCAGCCAGACTCACTTGGGAACCGCCCTATGTTGTCCACACGCCACACGCACACACGCGCAAGCCCATACGTACACCCACACACCTGTAAAGAGCACAGCACATGTAAAGCAACAAAATACTGCGACTGTGGAGTAGATATACACCAACAGTTCTGCGTGGTGACTATAAATTTGACTGACACTAATGTTTTTTCCTTCTTGACCTATACACACTTTTTATTGTTTGTCTTTTTTCTGCTTTGGACGTTGTGTCAAGAGACAAAATATCGACTTGCATGTCTCACAGAGCAGTGCAGCCCTTTGTGGTTCACAAGAGAACGGTTCGCGGAAGTGAATATTACAGAACTACTTTTGAGATCCCTTCCACCTCTGGTCCACACAGTAGGAGACAGTACTTTCCCCTACCCTGGCACGCAGAGTAATGTTCGTCACACCACAGCAAAATGGATATTTGTAATTTTTAGGGTTAAATTTTGCCAAACAAAGTGGAGTACAAATTTCATGTTCTTTTTTTGTCGTGTCGTCATTCGTGAAAATAATCAACTCTGAAAACCCGGTTTAATCCCAGGTGGCTGCCTGGATTCAAACCCGAAATTTCAGCTGTGCAACCTCAGGACTCTGACCTCTGCACCAGCCAGCCAGCTCACCCACAGCCACACTTGCACGAAGCTCACCAAGCCCGATGGAGAAATAGGGCGTAGACGGAGGCAAGACGCGTAGGTGTCGGCTCACGGATGTCACGTTACGCAACTCCACCGTAGTCTGGAACACAAGACGACGTTTACAGAAAAAAACTAAAACATCTTGCATAAACTTCGAATTCAGCCCGTGTTGGCAATCATCTCCCACGGGAGGTTGTGTGCATGACTGCACTGGACTCACCTCGTACATCTGCCCAACAACAAAGTCAGTGAAGAGGACGACGGGAGGATTGGCAATGAACAGTGGCACCAAGTTCTCTGGAGAACTGCAGCAAAAATAGAATGGTGCAAAATGAATTAAAATGTGTTTAACCAATGAAGAAGTTGATAGGCCTGGGAGGCCGTATGATAAACTGAGAATACCATAGCATTAAAACATTTAACAGTATTTATAAAAGTAATCATTCTCATCTGCATGAACACATTATAAAAATAAAATGTACAACGCACACAATATTTCACGGACGTATATGACTGTAACTCTGAGGTTGGAGCCAAGCTCGGTGTCAATCAAAAGCCAGACCATGGGAGGTGGGTCTTTAAGTGTCTCCTGAAAGGAGGTGTAGGTTGACTTGCAAGTGTGCAGAGGGATGGCGTTCCAAAGGGAGGGGGCTGCCACGGAGAAACATCGCCCAGCATTGACGGTCCCAGACCAAGGTTTAGAAAGGAGGTTGTGGGTCACACTGGGTACCACGAGCTGTGCTGCATGATGACACGAGCAAAGAAAGATACGGTGAACAAGAAAGTGTAGAGGCGCTTGCAGTTGACCCTGTTGGCAATGGGAAGCCAGTGGAGGGAGCAGAGGGAGGCGAGGCAATCCAATCGGCATAATCAACGTAACCATCATTTAGAGATGCACCATGGCTGACGTCACCTGCTCTGGTGGCGTTGGGCGATGAGGGAGCGGCCAGAGCGGGAGTCCTCGGGTGGGAGGTGGCGTGGGTTCAGGAGGAAGTTCTGTGGCCCCGTTCGTCCGGCTGCTTCTGGCTTCTGTCTCTCCTGCTCCCGCTCCACAGCCTGTGAGCCCTGCTGCCTCTTACCCACCTCGTCAAGCCACTGACTCTAGAATGCCAAGGAGGCAAAGCAGAAGGTAGGAAGATCATAAATTAATAACATAGAGATTCGTAATAGATATTTGGGTTCGGCTACATATATATCTGGCCAAATTTTTGTCAAGACTCTTCACCACCCGACAGAGACTATCAAATGAAATTGTTACCTGTATAAGCATTTAACACCGTAATTATAATTGCTTTAGCTCACCAGCAAGTTGAAAAACAATTCCCACAACAACATTTAGCAATCAGATACCTAAAACATAGATTAACTTTAAAAAAATTCTATCACTCTCAATGACGAAAAACTAATTTCTGCCTTTAGGTAGTGCCAAACTGTCCCACAGTGATCAGAAAAGGCTTATTTATCTATGTCAATTCCTCTGAAGCACAAGACAACAGGAAGCAATGATGGCCATACTGCCATGATGATTTCAAACAAGGATGAAACCGGTATAGAGGTGTAGAGAAAATGTTGTGTTCTTTTTCACCTTACTGCGAGGTTTCTGTGGCCTGCGCCTCACTTCGGGCTCAGACGACAGCGTGGTGAGGCTTTGCTCTGATAGAGACTGGGCGATGGCTGCAGGCTTCTGACGAGGGGTGGTGTCCTCAGAGTAAACCCCGTCCACGGGGCTGTTGGACACGCGCTTGCTGAACGCCACAGTCTCTGCCATGAAGTGTGGTGTTGCACGGGCTGCAGCAACATGTCAGTGGCATGAGCTGTGTTACAAAGCCAGCGCTTAAGTTCTCACTGAATCCATTCCGGGTCACTTGTAGATCCGGTAAGTGGCACATGGCATATTAGCCACAACAATCGTGAGAGGTATATGTGGTGCCCCAGTTACAGAAACATGCTTTGGGTCATTACCCCAACAGAACCAGTTGAAATGAAGCCCTGTACATAGCTATTAAGTGTAATATTTGTGACTTATAAAATACTAATTTTAATACACGTCGAGCTGCCTATCAAACAATCAATCCAAGATTTATAATGCGCCATATTCAGCATGGATGGCTCTGAGAAAATTCAACGAAGTGAATCAAAACAGAAGAGAAAATAAATATTTTTAGTCTGGCCTTGAAATCAATCATTGTCACAGCTGATCAGGCTATGACGAAGTCACCGAGATTGTGCCCGATCCCATCAGATATCGGAAGCTAAGCAGGCTTGAGACTGGATAGTAACTGGAAGGGAGATCACAACTTCAACAGGTGTTACAAAGCCACCGAAACGCCCTGAGTAGAACCTTCACCTCTGGGCGCCCTTGTGAGTGGTGCAGGCTCCACATGGTAGTCCGCAGGGCTGATCAGCTTGTGCTTTCTCAGCAGATCACTGTCGGCGCAATAGCGGAGGCGAGCTGGCGCTGTCACACATCACATCGTGGAGGGGGGGGGCACAATGGGAACCAGTGCTCGCTTACAGTGGTGCACAGAGGTGAACAAATTCAAGACTACAAAAAATTCCACAAAATTAACTTATGTCCCATGAAGATGTTACGTCTATTCATTGAGTTTAATCGATAGTTATGTAATATCATTGCCACAGGGCCTAGAACCAAATCATCCAGAAAGTGCCCGACCATGTCAGATCTCGGAAGCTAAGCTGAACGAGTACCCAGTGTGATGTGTAAACATCAATACCGGGGATACAAATGTGGCCAGGCATGGTGCTGGTTACACCGCCTCCTCATGTGCTGTGCCGGCCTTAATAGATGCCTCCTAACAGCACTTGCCCCAGCAGCCTGTACTGTTGCAGGAAGATCTGTGTATGTTGTCACTGCGTGCGTATGTGGTCTGTGCGTGCATGTACCAGGAATAAGGCCCCCAGTGCTGTCGTGGCTCTCAGCCACCTCCTGATCGGCTGCGGCGCGGGCCCTAGCCTCGATCACATGCCTCTCCAGCACATCCGCCTCATCCATGCGCTGCTTGTACTGCTCGCGCAACTGCACGCACACACACACATACAACAACAACAACAACCGCCATTCGCCACTAAGTGGCGGTGACGTCACCACGACGCTTGTGCCAGGCCATGTGCACCTTGAGGCCACGTGAAGTGTCGAACGCCCGCTGGCAGGAGGTCACGGGGCAGACCCAGGTGCCACGGGTCGACTGACCGAGATGACCGAGATCACACACATACGCACACATACACACCCACACCATCATGCTACAGACGGACAGCTCTAATTGCAGTGGATGAGTGCTGCTGACATCGGAGTAAGTGTGCGGTACATGCAACCCGATGGTTGAGAAAGCTTTGCCCACAGAATTAATTCCCAAAGATATTTTTGATAATCTACAAAATAAATTACAGCAGTATCAATGATCAAAACAACCAAAGATGTCACCAGGTGATTGTGAGGGTAGAGCGCTGAGTTGGTGCTGCTGAGATCATGGGTTTGAATCTAGGCAGCTGCCTGTGAATAAACCGGGTTCTGAGCATGATAAAAAATTACTGCACAGTAAAAAAAAAACATGACCATAAATTTGATTCTACAAATGTATGTGCTGTGAAGAAAGGCCATTGCCCAAAATGTCACGTATTATATATTATCATTATTTTTAAGATAGTGTTGTTGATGAATGTGTTGAATTTATTTTTATTTTGGCTTGTGCACCAGTGCCAACGAATAAACACTAAATACTGTTGAAGTACATTACTGCTGTTGTCTCCATGTCCTGCTGGATAAACATTACCACATATAACATAAAAAACACCCGTCGTGCTTACCTTGCGGAGCTTTTGCACATAGCGCTGATGATAGGGCTTTGGGCCACCAGCAGAGCGGTCCAGACTGGCCGCCATGTCCCGGCCAATCACCTCGGCTGAATAGAGTCCCCCGAAAATTCCTGTCAGGATGTGCGAGATGTCCTGTGCATGGAAAACAAGGACACAGACGCTCATTATCATTACCAAAAACAGAAATCTAAACGGCTCACCATCACACTGAATCCAAAGACTATTTTAGGAGAGTCCTCCTGCAATAAGATGTCGGGCCTACGCTAGTTACATTGTATGCTTTTATTGGCGATGGGAGGAACCCAGAGGACCCCGAGGAAACCCATACATAATATGGGAAGAACACACCAACTGTCCACAGTAAGACACCCAAGTCAGGAATTGAACTCAGGAATGTATTTCTGTGAGGCACAAGTGTTACCACTGCGCCACCCTGCCGCCAAATGCAATGTTATGATAATCTGAGAACTTACCCATGGTGAAATGAGCAGAAACGGGTTAAAGAAAGAACACAACACCAAGCGTTTAATGTATAGATGGACATCTCGCGTATGTGTGTCTGTTAGATATGAGTGTGGAGTTTCAGTAATGCATATTCCCTTATATTACTGCATGGAAAATGTCGACAAGTGAAGAAATAAAAGTTACTGAAGTGTGTTTTTATGGGTTGCATCTTTGTTAAAGATTTAACATTTTAAATCTGTGTAATTAAGGTAGGGGAGTGGTGGTGCAGTGGTTAGCGCACTGTGCTATGAAGTCGTCGACCTGCTATCACTAACCAGCATTGACCAACGTGATGAAGTATGGTCAAACAACCTCCATGATGGACACAGTTCAAGAAAACCTTTATCCATCACTGGATTTACAAAGAGCTGCAATTTTTGGACATTTTATGAAATAGCTCTTCTGCAGAGAGAAGTGCTATTGAGAGAGAAGTAGAGCCAGTATCCAAAACGTTACCTATCAATATGAATAAATAGCTTAATCTGTATGTCTCAAAAACCTCGATGGTACTTCCCAACAAGGTAGAAAGCTGAAATTTGGTACATAGCTAGCTTTTAGGACACAAACAGCAGGAAAATCTGAGAATTTTAATTTTAAGGCCCCCAAATCCCGATTTTAAGTGCCCCATAAACATGTTTGTGGGTGTCGTTCAGAAACCGTTCGAAATATTAGATTGCGGTTTTTTTTCGTTTGATAAAATCAAAGCGAAACCATTGTTATATCTTTTACTGTTTTTGAGATATTTCCGATTCAAATGGTTTTGAATGATAAAATACGGATTTTATGATGTTCAAATCTGAATAATTCAAAAATGGTATGAGATTAGAGCTTCCACTCATAGAGTATTAAGTTAATTAATTTGTACTTTTTAAAAATAAAATAACGGAATATTTAAATTGAGCATTTTCCGATGGGTACGTCTTTAAACATAAGAAATTGAATCAAGTGGTCAACAATCTTTTTTGCGGAAAAATACAAATTTTTGGAGTAGTTGTGAGTGTCTGATTGTAGAAAAAAAATAGTTAAAAACCACATGAAGTTAATTATTATATTTATTGAAAACTTTTGGCTGGCGAAGCCAGGCTTTATGAACTAGATACGTATAAACATGGCTATTGTGTATATACAGTAAACTTGTTTTTAGGGCAGCGTTGTTGATGAATGTGTTGAGGTCCTATTTGGGCTTGTGTGCCACTGCAATGCATTATCATGAAAAAAATGTGTGTGTACATGCATCAAATTGACTGTGATGATGGGATGACTCATGCGAGAACAATAATCAAGAAATACACTTTGACCATACAAAATGTGTGAATAATCACAGTGTCTAAATGTCACCGCATCTCAAGAGCGACGAGTGATTGGGAACCCTTTCCCCACCTGGTTAGAGATGACACTGGGTTTCGCCTTGGCAAGGGACGGCTCAAGGGAGGCTGGATTCGCAGGCTCCTCTACAACGTCAGCCATGCTCTTGCCTACTCCTCCACACGAGGGACACATTCCAGACAGGCGCACGTGTTGTTATGACAGCTGACAACAGAGGGCACGTGAGTGTGCGCTGTGAGGCATGGCGGCACACACGAGGTTCATTCCCAGTGAGCGACGCGCCAGTGGGCATTGTGACTCGGACCGAGATCACCGTCGTGTCTTGCGAGACATCATCCGCACAGCAAGTGGGATGCGGTGTCCAGCTGTAAGGTAGCTGACATTCCACGTTGGGAGTCTAATGCACAGAATTATATTCATTATCCACCAGGTCGAACCCGCTTTTAGCCGCAGTTAACGTCAGTGTTGAGTGATATCTGAACCGGTTCAGGACAACTCCCCTCCCTCTTCACCGACCTGCCCTGGCCAGGGTCAAGTCGGGTCAAACAACCCCCCAACAACCGGCGCGACGTGGCGAGGCCATCATGCAGCAGTGGATTGACCACGGCTGAGCGTCACCTCCACGGTGGACGCTCTCCCGAACGCGTTTCGTTCACGTTTGTGAGCTCCCGTCCGCGTTAACGCCTACAGTCAGCGGAGAAGGATCAGCACTCGCCGCCTATGGCGCTGATGAGAATAATGTCGGTGGCTCGCCTTGTTACGCGCAGCGGTCGCAGCTGTTGATGGATTTGACGCGAAGCCGCGCGGCGTCTCTCGTGTTGACACCGGCGACTGCCCGCGTCCTCGTGTCCATGGCGACGCGGGTCACGTGGCCCGAGCGGCGTGGGGGTGTTCGTGTGGAATCGATTCTAGTCGATTCCGCAGTGTTTGCTCAGCAGCTGAATCGATCAAATAGATTCCACTCGTCAGTCTATTAGTTATCGATCTTGATTTGAATGTATTATTTGTTATCTTCTATTTATAAAGCGCCTTTATCCAAGGTGCTTTACAAGGGTTATGCGTGGTACGAGGGTAGCTTACGCTGAATAGGGATGGGGATGGGGGTTAGTGGGTACGGGAATTACGGGGGAACCTTGGGGCCGTCCATAAATGACGTCACGCACCTGGGGGGGGGGGGGGGTCAGACATTTGTGACGATGTGTGACGAGGGGGGGGGGTGTGAAATGTGACGTCACATCAAAATGCGCAACTTTAAATAAATAAAGACAACACGTTCTACTTGATTAAATAGACTTTTTAATGAATGTTTTCTCCTACAACATCAGAGTGCAGCGCCACATTAAATACGCACTACAATGACAATAGTTTAAAGCGATTTGAAGCATGTTTCATTTTCAAAATGGAAATATGGTATTTGAGGGGGGGGGGGCAGAGCTTTGTGACGTCATATTTGAGGGGGGGGGGGTCTGACTTTTTGTGACGCCGTGTGGCTAGGGGGCGGGGGGTCAAAAATCGTCCAAAATCGCGTGACGTCATTTATGGACGGCCCCAAAGGCATATTTCAGCCGTTCACAATAAACCTTCACCTCTTCACAAACAAGTATTGTCTTAAATTTTGATTTAAAGCTTTCGTGACTGCAGAGATTCATATTCTTGGTTCTTTCGGTAATGTCATTTAGAAGGGAAATAATAAGAAAAATACGTAACACGTAGGCTTTCGCGACCAATATTATTCATAATATAGGTTTTTGGGTCAGATCGCGTTGTTTATAAATGTGTCGTAACCCTCCAACACCCGACACGGCCAAACAATCAGAAGTGAATTATTTTATCCTTTGAAAAACGTGACACATTTTTTACTGTTTGGCCGTGTCGGGTGGTGGAGGGTTACGACACATTTATAAATAACCTATATTATGAAAGCCTACGTGTTAACTCCAAATATTAAATTTAGCTTTCCTTTCAAGGGGGCTCAACGGTGAAATTGACGAAGGCTAGATTTGAAGCTTTCGTGACTGCAAGGATTCATATTTAGGTTTTTTCGGTAGGGTTTTTTTAGCGAAAAAACCTAAGAATATGAATATTGACGAAGGCGTTGAGGGTCAGGCGAGGGCGTCAAGCGGCGCCCGCCCCCGCGCGCGCACGTGCGGCTCGGCCAATCAGAGCTCGCGCGCGTTCCCGCCGCCGTCGTTAAAGCGGCGGGAACGCGTGGAACCAATGAGCGCGCGCCCCCGCCAACCGCCACCGATTTGGCGGGAAAACTCCACCGAGTGACGTTGTGAGGGCGCGCGCCGCTGAGGCGATCACGAACTCTGGAGACGCCGTCGGCTTCGAGTGCAACGCCGCGAGCTACGGGCCATGGCGCACGCACAGACGCTGCCGGGCGAGACGGTGTTTGGCGGTGTGACCCCGGCAATGCTGGAGGAGATGCTCAACTCCCTGGCCATTGAGACGTGGCAACCCAGCCGGCCGCGGGAACCGTGTGAAGGGGCCTTCGGGCGGGAAACAGTGGCCGGTCAGCCACATTTTCATAATTTTCGGCCACACCGCCACTAACAACATACATCAACGTGCATTTTATATTGCGAATACTTGTCGGTTCGGTCTTTTACTCCTAATTGCTGCCACCAATACCTCACGTGGTTGTGTGTGCATGTACAGCCGCCATTCTGTCTTTCCCGTGATGATTTGGGCCATTAACATGAGCACGGTGGTCGTGATTTACCGTGAATTCCACGGAGGGACCCAACCTTACTTGGGATTCATGAGGTACAAAGACTCCTGTTAAACTTCACACGTTCTGTGCACCTGGTTTCGTCTAAATCCCCGTGTGCCTTGAGACAATCCGGCAGTAGATTGACAGGGGCCGTCATTACTGATGCCTCCACGTTGGTGGTTAAAGCACTGCGTTATGACGATGGAATAAACAAGCATATTATGTATCTCCTTCATGTCTAGATATAACAAGTGTTGTTCACCCTTACCGCCAACTATAAGACCTGGACTTGCTTGTATTGAACCAATCCTGCTAAAATTGTGCACTTCCAGAAAGGCTTTGTGAGAGGAATTGTAAACAAATATACTTTATATATCGAGGGCGAGATCTATGAAGGTGATATGTCAGCTTGTTGACTTGTTTTGCTCGTATCAACGTCGCTAACTATTGTTTCGGTGAATGCTGGGTTTGACTACCAAACTTGGGAGTGAAGTTTGACGAAGATTAAAGCCTCGTGGGCTGCGTTAGCCCATTACCCAAGACACTAAAGAGTTCCCCCATCGTATACAGGATTACAAATCAAAGGGCTTTTGGCCATGACATCTTGAACTCTAACAAAGTAGCCAAACACCCCATCATTAACACTGCAGTAGTGTATGTCACTCTCAAAAAGAAAATGTTCGTGTTGAAATCGGACTTCACATGCATTTTTTGGTGCTCAATTTAGATTAAAATTTTTAGTTCGAGAAAATATTCACAGACATATCCTTGTCCGTCATCAGCCATGATCAATCCACCGCTGGATTAAGTCCAACCCAACAGCTGATGGCTTATGGAGGTCTTCAATCTGCAGTGGATAGATCATGGCCGATGATGATGATGATCTTGATGTGTCCCACCATGTTTACTCTACTCCATCAAACCACGGGATGTACCTGTGTGTTCTTGGACATCAGACGCATAGAGGGAGTAAATAGCCATTCACTGAAATAGCTCATTCCATTTAGGTTGGCAACAATAGAAGCAATAACATCAGCAAGCAAACTAAAAACGACTCACACTGCGCATCTTGTTTTTGACTGCAGAGACCATCTTTCTCATCTGTGAGAAGTTGCAGCTGCACATCTCCATCAAGTACCTGGCAGTGGAGCTGTTTGACAGGTATAGTAGTCCTACCACTAAAGATACCAGCATCACTTCCTCAGCAGGAGGAAGTCCCACATGTCAAAAGACGTGGGTGCGTTTACATCTCTCCGATGCGTTTTCGGGTCGTACCGTGTGTTCGGTACTACGGCCGATGTTCATAGTCGAGGCAGACAGCGGCTCAATTTCCTGAAAAATCTCCAAGCAAGTGATGCGAAACATCAGACGTCACACCATACAGCACAACACGAAAGAACAACAGAACTACACTGCAAAAACTAAGCAGTTGTGTCTTAACTTTGGAGCTTTCGTGACTGCAGGAATTATAGAAAAAATAATAAATTAAATAATATTTTTTCTTTATACGTGACTTTACCAAAAGAACCAAAGAATAAGCAGTTGTGCTTACATCCTGTTAGTTTCTTCCCGCTCAAACAAGCATAGCGTGGTGTTAATCTCTATTTACACCGAGGTCGTGGAAATTCCCGATTCCTAACGCGGGGGGGAGGAAGTGTCTCCATTTGACAACGACGGATGATTTCCTGGGGTGGAGCGGTGTGGCACTGGTTAGCGCACTGCACTATGAACCTGACGACATGAGTTTGGTTGCTGACCATGGTTAAGATTAGTGGTGATATGTGAACCAGTTCTGCCCCCTATACCTTTACCAACTCGCATTGACCAGCGTGATGAAATATGGTTCAAACAATCCCCACAACTGAGGGCCTGGATACCTTCATTGAGCAGTGGATTGACGGGGCTGTAAATGACTTCCCAAAAAAGTGGTAAATTGAATATAGCATTATCTAGACAGTATTCAATTGTGCCCCCTCTCCGCCCCCATGCCAGTGCTTGTCTGTTTACATATTAGCACAACTGCCACCCTATATCTGCTTGTTTTTGGAACTTGATTATGCTACTTGGAAAGTACCATATCATTTAATATTGATTTGTCTTCCAAATATGTCCATGTATCGTGACAGTTTTTGCCCTAATTTGTTTGCTTCATTGCTATACATTTGTTTTGTTTCTTTAGGTGGCCAAGTTCACTTGTAAATGAGACTATCTTGGTATCTTGAGTTCTCACTTGGTTAAATAAACCTTGACTTTACAGGTACATACTACAGCAGACCAAGGTACAGTGCGACGAGTGGCTGAAGGAGAAAGCGGCGGGAAGTTCTGACGAAATTAACTGGGAGGCTCGGCTTCCAGACCTGAAGAGCGAGTCGCTGCTGCTGCTGCGGATGGTGTCATGTGTGCAGATTGCCAGCAAGCAGATGGCTCACTACAAGGTGCAAGAGTGACCCCGAGCCCTCCAATGGCTATGTGTACTAGTGCAGCCCTTGGTAATCTATTGCTGGATGAGGGCATTCCCATACCGTGCTGATCATGGGGTTTATTTGATCATACTTCATGCCATGTTAGTCGGTATAGATTGGTGAATGTGTGAAGCATAGATCTCACCGCATCTCCGATTAGCACGGTTGGCGACGTACTATACGAAATAAGTTAAACATACAGATGTGGAGCATATAATTGGAGTACAATTATTGTTGCAATTACCTCTGCTGGCCACGTTTTCCAGCAGCCTATAACACCTGTGATGCATGCTTCTCTCACATCCAAATATTGTACAAGCTTAGCCTACTTAGCTTTTGAGATGTGACCGGTCATCCATATGTATGTTGAACTGTGCTAATCGGATGTGCCTTTGGTGGCTTCAACCTATTCATAATACAGGTTTTTGGGTTAGATTGCGTTATTTTGTGTCGCAACCCTCCACCACACGACACGGCCAATCAGTAAAAATTGTGTCACGTTAACAAAACGCCAAGTAGTTTTTCAGCCCACCGGTGTGTTTTAAGAGTGAATCCACAACATTTAGAATTTGAGTACGACGTTTCACTGGTAATTACATCCAGTATCTTCGGGCGATTTGTCAGAATAGTGAGGCCATCCACCTGCTTCCGGTCTTAAAAAGTGCAGGATGACGTCATCATTGTTGAACCCCATCAGGTTTCGATATCAGAGGCGGAGGTGGGGGCGGTATTGCAATTATGTAATAGATCAGTAATCAGCCACTTAGCATGTGTCTCCTCTATAAGTAATTGCAATATATTGACTTAAAACGTTCGTGACTGCAGGAATTCATATTATTTGGTTCTTTTGAAAAAGTCACGTAGAAAAATAATAAAACTAAAAACCACGTTTTGATCGCAACACAAGCAGTCCCCTTTTCCAGATGAGGCCCACTTGTGTTGCGATCAAAACGTCGTGATTATTATTTATATCTACGTGATTTTACTGAAGGAACCAAAAAAATGTGAATTGCAATATGTATTGTGTATTACTTAATAATACGCTTCCAGGCTGCGCTGAGTCTGTAGCTATCACAGCGGTTGAAATTATTTGTATTCTCAATTTCTATTGATTCTCTAATTAGTCTTGACCAGTAATAATTCGTTTTTCAACGTTATCAAATTCAATTGAATATCCTTGTTGGCAAGCATGCTCTGCCACTATTGACAGCTGTGTTTGAGATAATTTAATGTTCCTTTGGTGTTCTTTTAGTCTTACGCTAATGTTACGTCCCGTCTGTCCAATATAGAATTTACCGCATAAGCAATTGATCCGATATACACCTTCTGTTGATCACTTCGGTAATTCATCTTTAGTACAGGACACTAGTTTTTGAATTGTATGTACCGTACCAAATCTCACTTTATTGTTTAGCTTTTGCAAAACACTGGCTAATTTATCAGTAACTGCCGAGATATATGGTATTTTAATTGTTTTGATAGTCTGATCAATTTCAGCAGTATTGTGGTTCGGGCTTGGTTTGGCATTCAATGCTCTGTTAATTGGAGCATTATTGTAGCCATTCAGTCGTAGTGCTTCTTTGGCATGTTTAATCTCTTTCCTTAGACTTTCACCATCTGACTGTTTTTGCCCGATGTATGAGCGTCTTGATTAGAGAGAATTTCTGTGCTGGGTGATGATGCGAATCTGCATTCAGATAGGCATCAGTGTGCGTTCCCTGTCGGTAGACGCTGTGTTATTTTACCATTTTGATTGCACAACTGGGATAAAACTGGGAAAATTGTAACAAGTTTCGTGTGGGTGTTTGTGTAGATGGTGACGCTAAAGTCTGCCCAAATGCTGATCCAGGCGATGTCTGGGTCCATCATTGACTTGGATAAAATCCTTTCCTCTGAGATGTTCGTGTTGAAAACGCTCAATTATTACATCAACCCTGCCTCGCCACTTACACACGTGGACATGATCATCGCGGTCCTGGGTAAGCATGTGTATGAGCAGCTCTGTATACTTAACATTTGCAATGTAAATTATATGCATTAATACATTTTAAGTGATTTCCACCCAAATGAGCAGTGAGGCAGTGATCATATTCTGATTACAAGCGCGTCATTGGTGGAGCTTCCTTGTTCTTATGGCAGGAGCCAGTCTCTTATACAGGACAATCATTGTTGACTTGCTCACACAGTGGTAGAAATGTTATCCACCCAGGAGGCTTAATGGGCTGAATAAACCCCAAACCATGATTTTATCGCTGAGCCACTGGCCAGTTTTAGATAGACAGGTAAGCATTATCTGCTATGACATGGAGCAGAAACGTAGATATTTTTGACGTAAAAAATGTAAATCTGAAGATTTCAAAGAGAAACACATAGATTAGAGAACACACTCAAATTAATGACATTGCTTAGAAAAATAAGTCGGCTAAGACAGGAGCTGTCACAAAAAAGGATGATGGCCAGTGATTGAGACTCATTCATAAACCAGCAGCAGCCAATGAAGAGAACATGCCTGAGAGGGCATCCACTGTGGTGAGATGAAACCAGACCATGTGCAGGATATAGATGTATTGTTACACTGCAGGACAAAGAGAGATTGTAACAGCTTGGAGAGGCCTTCATTCAGAAGTGGACGATGATGCATAGCTTAACGTGATTGAAATTCTTACATTTTATTCATATTTTCCTGAGTAACCTTTCGAAGTTACGTTTTTACATACAATATTTGTGCACTGAAATGTTTGTACAGTACTATATATGCTTGAATTACACCCAAGGCGTGCCTTACATAATACACTTTAGTATATCGCCTTTTACCTGGTTATGAAGTTCATGTACATATGTATGATATATTGGTGTGACCCTGTGATTTGCTTACATTGAACTGGTGTTGTGGGGCAGTCGTGTAATTAACTAAAACAAGAGTGAAGCATTTTGAGGCCACTGGCAAAAGGGAAAATGTGCTTTTTACACTACAACGCAGGTACACAACTGTACTGTACTTGCATACCTGCTGTAAGAATGTAGGATCAGTCACGTTTGCATGCCAACTGCGAGCACCTGTCAAAATATATCGCAAGTAATAATAGCCCTCTGATAAAAACACCAGTGTGGCTTGGCCAATAACAGCGAATAATGCAAAGTTAGAAGCAGCTCATCACATGCCCGAGACATCCTACACATTTCATAAAATTGCTTGATATTAAAGTATTCCATCAACAAACCAATCGTTAATATCCATCATCAGAAAACACCGCGATATAATATGGCTGGGACACATTTGCCTCATGCCACCGCAAAGAATATTGAAACGAGCCTTCTATTGGACATCAGAAATTGGGAGATGGAAGGGAAACCGACCAATGAACTTGATCGAGACTGGGGACATACAAAGGGGCATAGCATGTTGGGGTTATTTGGGAAGGGCTCCTGCTGATGGCACAGGATCGTGAAGAGTGGAGGCGTTGGGTTTCAGGATGTCAGCGAACCGAGGACCTAAGCCTCGGGTTTAGCATGATTTAATGTAAACATCGCCCAGATCACAGCTCATTGAGTGATGCCATTGGCAGGGCACAACGACCCCACCTTGCCTGTGAAGACTCTGCACAGCATCAGCCTGAAGGTGCTGGATATGGTTTACCTCATACGAACCGCCGTGTACGACTACCTGCTCCGAGCCACTTCTACCGGGGATATGTTGGACCCAAGTGATGTGACATACAGGTCTTGTTTGTACTCGTCTTGTACACATTGTGGCTTTCCCCATTAGCAGATTAATGATATTTTTACAATGTATTTCCAGAGCTTGGTTTAAAAAGACTACATAAGAAAAACACCAAATAGTTGTACATGTACAGCTCTTGTGATTCCACTGCGTGATTGCGGGGGTCAGTGCTGGTTGAAGGCAGGGAGCATAGACTTTTAAGCACTGCAATACAATGCATTTTGCTCCTGTCCTCAGCTGACAATACAGTCTCCACAGTAATCAAACACCTCTTGTGCATGGTGGTCACCCATCCAAGTATGATGAGACCAGGCAAAGTGGTATGAAAAATGTTAAAAGAATAATCAAAGTTTAATTACCATGTGCGGTTCAAACCATGTTCTCGACTAAATTTGTAAATTACTACCAGCAGTGGTAATTGTTTTAGAATATTTGGCATGTTAATGTATTCACACACATCTCCGTGATACACACGTGGGTATGTAGATAAAAGTAAGCGTGCAGGATACCGATAACCTGCGTTTTCGTGAGCAGAATTAGTTCATCGCGTACAGAATACATTCTTTACAAGGTGATATGCAACATGAACTCGCTATCGCTTCACGCATGTTAAAACTTGTACACACACGAACCTACGTGTTCCTGTGTAATACATGTAGGCCAAACTCTTACATGAGTGCGTCTCAATCCTTTTTAATTCCACGGTAGTTTGCCCAACTGCCCATGCGCAACCCAGGGAGCTGAGGGCCGGGCCAGATGTGTTTTTTTAAGTACTGCACTACGGCCAATGGTGTGCCCATTGCTGAAAAAAAATTCAGGTCACCAACCCAGCTGTAAACACATTCCTGCGGAGGGAGCTGGTAGGAACGTTGGGTTGATTGGTCAATGGCCAGGGTCAACGGCGGCGTGGTGTATTCCGCAAATATGCCCGACTGAGGGTGGGAACAAGCCGGCGTGAGTAGGTTAAACGTTGAGTTTTATAAGGGCACCACGGGGTGACCAGCCCCTCCCCACCCAGCCCCACCCCTCCCATCCCCCACCCTGCCCCTCCCTGCACGACGGACAAAATAATCCCGTGGGCTGGTGTAACCAGGAGGTTCCTACCAGTATTAATTGTATTAATAGTAATATAATAAAGATCAACATTAGTGGTAATATTAAGTGCAAGAAGCAATCCATATGCCGAATATTTATTCTATACAACTGCCAACCATTGCTGGCACCCCTAATGAGACTAAACTGGCATTTCCATTCAGAGAAAACTTCTGGAGAGTGGAAGGAGACTTCATGCTGCTGGCGGTCTCCGTGATCTCGGCTGCTGCATACTTTTGCTGCTACCCGATCTGCCAGAAGGTGTTAAACCCACTCAAAAACATGCCGTGGTTGTGATACAGAACGGAGAAAGCGCCAGACATGTTCATAATGTTTTTCCGCACACAACAGGTGATGGAGCAGGCGTGCAGAACAACCTGCATTCCGGAGCAGGACGTGAGCAACTTTGCGAAGGTGCTGGTTCAGTGCGTGTGGAAGATGGAGGACGGGGCACAAAATTAATCCGCGCATTCGAAGACCTGTAACGGGGGATGCAGATCTTCGCCGACTGGCTCACATTGAAGCGCGAGTGTGTCACTCTCAATGCAATATTTGTTATTTTTAAGAGTTCATTATGACCACGGGCCATGGTCAAATTCACTGCAGGATGGACACCTCTCATGTGCCTTAAATATATTAATACATCTAGCACATGCATATGAACCAATTTGTTCCATTACTCAGTGATTTATTGCTCAAATAAGCAGAGGCAGTGCTCATCTCCTGTTTAGAGCTCCAAGCCAGAATTGGAAATTCCTCATTCCTATGGCAGGGCCGAATTTACAGAGGACAACCACTGTTGACTTTCCCACAAAGTGGTACTAATTTTAGTGACGCTGGAGGGATGATGAGCTGAGTCAATCCCCAATCAGTAATGAACTTGCACTTTTTCTGATTGGGAGCAGCTTACTCTACTGTTGAGCCACCAGGCCCGGTTTTCATCATTAATGTCTTCCATTGTTTTTTCATTGTTGATGGTGATATTTTCATGTTAAGAAGTTTAAAATTCCTTCACTAAATGCGACAATGCCATTGGGTATATCCGCCACATGCGTATTGCCGCACATTGTCTGAAGCACGAGTGTGTCACTCTCAATGCAATATTTGTTATTTTTAAGAGTTCATTATGACCACGGGCCATGGTCAAATTCACTGCAGGATGGACACCTCTCCAAGCCACCACCACCTGTCATGTGTCCTTCACTAAATGCGACAATGCCATTGGGTATATCCGCCACATGTGTATTTATTAAAAGCAATAAAAATATATACAGGAAAATGTGAAAAATTCTATCGTTTTAACATTCCCACGAGCACTTAATGTACATTCCTTGTGAAAACACGCAAAGATACTGCACAGACAAGCACCGTTTGTGTGTACTTGAAGGGAAACTAACACTGATCACCTCAGTCTGAGTCATAATTATTCCCTGTGGCTGTTTCAACACCCATGGCCAGCTCCTCCTCATGTCCCCTCAATCGATCTCCTGGTGGTAGAGAACAAGACAAAACGACAGATTAATATGCAGGATATTCCATGCACAACGTTGTTGAGGAAGGTAAGGCGTTAAAGCTAATTTGTATAATGCCACACCGTTGAAAAAACCAGTCTGAACATGTTCAACCTCATCGGATCTCAGAAGCGTGGTTGAGCCGAGACAGTGCTTTTATGGGCAACCACAATGCACACAGGTGTTACAGGGCACTGCGGGGCTATGTTGTTGGTAGCCCAGGGCAGTCCAGAAAAATACATTGGAATGTACTAGTATTCCCCCTGCAACTATGCATCCTGCCTTCAAAAAGCTTCACTGAACAGCGTGGCAAGGTATGATCGTCTTGGTTCTTTCGGTAAAGTCACGTAGAAGGGAAGTAATAAAATAAGACAGCGTCTGAATCCATTCAGACGCTGTCTCCCCGACAGTTACGAAAGCTTTAAATCGAAAGGTATGATCGATCGATTAAGACCAATGAATAACAAGGTGTGGGGGAGGCCCTCATCCAGCAGTAGACTGAGAAAAGGCTGTACACGCGATCTAACCCAAAAAAACCTGTATTATGGATGAAATGATTCATGTTGACAATGTCATCACTGTGACCTACGGATGAGCTCAGCGATGGCCCTCTGTGTTCGCTTTTCGAGCTTCTCCATCTTCTTGGCAACATCTCTCTTCAAGTCCCTGAGCAGCACAAATATCAAATTAGATCCAGGTCACATATGCCACGTTATATTATATAAAAATAAAAATATATATACCTTTGATTGCTATGTAAAAAGTGAAGGTAAAAGGTACTTTACTTACCAGTCCGGTTTTCTGGGAGCAAGGTTGGCCAAATCCTACCAAAAAAATACACTTTTCTTAAGACTTGTTTATAATTATTTAGCTTATACAGAGAGATTTACAATTTAGTTTTGCGGTTACAAATATAAGTCACACATGCAACCAAACAAATTACACATTTAATTTTTAAATACATAGAAAGTTAATGGAAGCGATACACGCAAGGCAAAGTCTACAACATAAGGAGTGGTAAACAAGAAGATGGTTAATCTGCCATACCACTTCCTCGATGATTGGTTGAGGCTTTCCAGCTTCCAGCTGATCTTGGACTTTTTCATCAACTGAAAAATAACAGTGAATGTTTCACAAAGGGATCGTGTTTACAGGAAGAAACATATGCTGCAAAACATCCGAGACACTGCTTACCTGATGCTGGTTTGGCCTGAGGCTGCTGACGCATTTTCAGCTCTGTATCTTCTGGAGTATAGTTGCGAAGTTTTAATTCTCTGAAATAAATATTTAAAAAAAATTAATGATTGAAAGGTGATATTTATGATGTGGATATTTGCAAGTATATCCACATTAATATTATGACACATGAATTCACAGTGATTATACATTCCACAGGACATACACAGTTGGTACATGTACAGCCCTTCTGTCAATATACTGCTGGATGAGGGCCTCCCCACGTTGTGCGGGTCATGAGGATTACTTGACTACACCTCATGACGGTCAGTGCGAGTTGGTGAAAACGGATAGCATAGACGTATAAGCATGGTAAAGTACAATATATGTTTATGCAATGTCCTGCTGTGCTATCCCTATTGAGTATGACTGCACGGCCACCTACTTGTGTTTAGTTTCCTCTTCGGCAAACCTCTTCTCGCCGGGCTCTCCTTCCTCCTGTCCTTTGGCCTTCACACACACATGCATGCATTGTTGGACCATACTTATTTGCATCCCAGATCATTGTAAAAATATTTTTTTCCTCCAAGGAATCTCACCTGGATATAAGGGTATGTGTGTATAGTAGTACCACCATTGTTGGACACTACTGATTTGCATCTCAGATCTCCTTTGTAAAAATATTTTTTCCTCCAAGGAATCTCACCTGGATATAAGGGTATGAGTGTATAGTAGTACCACCATTGTTGGACACTACTGATTTGCATCTCAGATCTCCTTTGTAAAAATATTTTTTCTCTCCAAGGAATCTCACCTGGATATAAGGGTATGTGTGTATAGTAGTACCACCATTTATCAGCCTATCATTGTTACATTTAAGTAAATCAGAACTTTGTTTATTCGTTATAAATCCATAAAAACAGGCCACTTGCGTCAATTATATAACTTGGTCACCACCTCTCTGTCAAGCCAAGCCATCGTCTAATCCATCTCAATGTCATTAAACAACACATCTCGTTCATTTTAAAATTGCTGTGAATGACACTACAGCTCTGAACATGAATGCTGCTATCAATCGTTATGCGTTGCAACCGGTGGGCATAACGTGTACACATTTACAAGCCGACGAAATCGGATATTACAGTAAGGAACCGGGGGGAAGCGCTTTCCCAAACCGCGCTACCGCTCAAGAGTAATATGTAACCGTCGCGTGGCAGTCAAAGATACATTTTTAATTCTCAGAGACAAGTGCAAAAACAGCACGTTGTTTTATTACGTGCGATCATTGGTAAGGGGGCTGAGAAAATCAACTAACTCATTACACTTGAGAACCCAGATGAATCACAGGAGGCTGCCTGGAACTAAACCCAGATTGTCGGTGGTGCCAGCTCAGAGCTCTGCCATCTGAGCCACCTGATCACCTTATTCTTATTGTTCGATTATAAAACAGCGGAACTGCCCAAGTACAGGTAACTCCATTAGGTGGACATGATCCAAATAATGTTTCAGCAACACATAGATTGGCGTATATAGCTAAAGAATGGCACAGAAACCCAGACTTGCAACACGGACCAATAGCTTCTAAAGTCTTAAAACAAAATCGAGTGGCGTAGCTATCGAATGTGCAGGTGGTGCATTTGCACCAGGGCCAATGGAGGAGGGTGGTGGGCAATATATCTGGTGTGTGTGTGTGGGGCCATCAATAACAGTGTTCATAATAAAACAAAATTGGGTTAGATCGCGTATGTGTCGTAACAACCCTCCACCACCCGATACAGCCAGTAAGGTTTGTCACGTAAACACGCCAATTAGTTACTACTTCAGCCCACCAGTGTGTGGAGTAAATCCACAACATTTACAATTGGAGTAGTACGACGTTTCGCTTGTAATTACATCCAGCATCATCGGGCGATTTGCCAGAATAGTGAAGCAATCCACCAGCTTTCGGTCTTAAATAGAGCAAGATGACGAAATCAATGTGAACCCATCAGGTGTAGAAATCAGAGGGGGCGTTTATTGTAATTACATAAGATTATTTTCACAGTTAATAAGTGTTTCCTTTACAAGGAATACATTTGTATGGTGTATTACTTAATACGATTCCAGGCCGCACTAAGCCTGTCGCTCTCAGATCGGTTGCATTTATTTGTATTTCTCTAAATTTAAACTGATTCTCGAATTAGTTTCTGCCAGTGATAATTAGTTTTACACAACACTTCAACGTTATCAAAATCAATTGAGTGTCCTTAATTTAACACGCAGGCTTTCCTTGTTGGCAAGCATGTTCTGCAACTGCCGACTGTTGTGTTTGTGAGTATTTAATATTTCTTTGGTGTTATTTTATTATTACGCTAACGTTAGATCCCATCTGTCCAGTATAGCAATAACAGTGATTCGACACTACAGAGAGCGAACTTGGCTGGGCCAAAGGGACATTTGGTGGTGCACGGCCCAACCCGACCCCCGCCCAGCGCAGGCCCTGCCGAACACATGGACCACCGCTCAGCTGGAGACCTCTACAGCCGACTGCTGCGGGGCCACGAGGTGATGGGAGCGATGGAAGTTGCACCTGCAGCTGCTTGCTCCTCAGAGCCTTGAGCCGCTCCTTCCTCTGCAGCGCGTTCTCCTGGAGATTCTTGCCGCCGCCACCACCACCAGCTGCTGCTGCCGCCGCCATCCCTGCCACACGTGGCGACCCAGCGGCGTGACCTGTTCCCGCGTCCAGAGCTCGCCCCCACAACAGCCCCCCGCTCTTAACGACGCGAACAACCGACTTTAGATGGCACTCACGCGTGCGAGTTTCTATCGCTTGCTTATAAAGGCGCGAAAAGAGAGAGAATTGTAACGAGGATGTTGGGACCGCCGCCGCTTGGGCTGCGAGGAGGCCGTGGATGGAGCCACGTGACCACGTGACCGCGCGCTCCACCAATGGGGAGCGCGCGCTATCAGCTGGCGTCGCCTAGCAACGCGGCCTACGCGGAAAAAGTTGCCAGAAGCGCGCTCGACTTGCGGCCGTAACGAGCGACAAACACGGTGGCGATGAAAATAGTTAACACACGAGCTACTGCAGTATAGTTTTACGGCAGCTTGTTCTTGTTATCTATTACTGGGGTTGTTCACTTCAGTGGGGCGGTGGCACAGCGGCTCGCGCACTGCGATACTAATTCCAGCGACCCGTGATCGATTCCTAGACAAATTCCTTCACTAATACAACTGACACAGCGCGGCGAAGTTCTTTATGGTAATACCCAAATGTCCGATATTGTGTGCAGTGGCATTCATCCAGCAGTGGATAGGCAAAAGGGGCTATTAAGTTCCAAAACACCCCGCGTAGGGCCCTTCTGATAAAAAGAAAAGTCTTGACACTCCGGATTTCTCAATTAAACATCCTCATTGCAACATGAACGTTACACCCCCACCGATGATATAAGTTCGCAGGGCAGTTAGAGGAGGTTGCGGCGGCGGCGGCGGCTTGGCGCGTCGCTATCGAGCAGTGGATTGAGCACGGCAGGCGATGACGTCACTCGGCCACGCGCGTGGGCGGTGACGTCGGTACCAGTCACAACCCGGGTCGGGTGCTCTTTACAAATCGTACACTCGACAAGTACCCAGGTCGGGCGCTTTTATATATCATACACACGATTAGTATGCAGGTCGGACGGTGTTAGATATCATACACTCGACAAGTACCCAGGTCGGGCGCTTTTCAATATCATACACACGATTAGTATGCAGGTCGGACGGTATTAGATATCATGCACTCGACAAGTACCCAGGTCGGGCGCTTTTCAATATCATACACACGATTAGTATGCAGGTCGGACGGTATTAGATGTCATACACTCGACAAGTACCCAGGTCGGGCGCTTTTATATATCATACACGCGATTAGTATGCAGGTCGGACGCTTTTAGATATCATACACTCGACAAGTACCCAAGTCGGGCGCTTTTCAATATCATACACACGATTAGTATGCAGGTCGGACGGTATTAGATATCATACACTCGACAAGTACCCAGATCGGACGGTCTTGGATATCATACACTCGACAAGCACCAGGGTCAGATGCTGTTAAATATTGATACAAATGTACTCCCGGTGCTGGTAGTTTAGAAATCATACATTTGACAAGAACCCAAGGTCGAAGATAAAATAAATCATACACCTGATAAGATCAATGGCTGAAATAATAAATGTGTTAAGATCCGTAATTATTATTCGACTATGAATAAAAACTTTCTCGGAAGAGACGAACATATCAGAGGTAAGAAACAAAAGTTCCAGAGACCAACGTGAGAATTTAAAGCCATTGGTAAGGGGTTGCCTATCAGAACTCGATAACATAACGTTGTGAGAGAATGTGTACGGATATGCGAATCAAAACCACGTTATGAGAACCAACTTAATCGGATATTCTTACATGAATAATGCCATGAAAATTCACTGAAATACAATACAACTATTGGGGCATTATGCGTATTAGTATTACGGAATGTAAAGCCATTAAGGCAGCTATCCTTGCTAGTATTAGTAAATATACACAACATGATTCGGATATTAACACGTTGTCCTGCGGAGGGAGCTGGTAGGAACGTTGGATTGCTCGGTCAATGGCCTGCAGGGTCAACGGCTGCGTGGTGTATTCCGCAAATATGCCCGACTGTGAGGGCGGGCACAAGCCGGCGTGAGTAGGTGAAACGTTGAGTTTTATAAGGGCACCACGGGGTGACCAGCCCCTCCCCACCCAGCCCCGCCCCTCCCCACCCAGCCCCACCCCTCCCACCCCCCACCCAGCCCCACCCCTCCCACCCCCCACCCAGCCCCTCCCCACCCAGCCCCACCCTCCCCACCCAGCCCACCCCACCCAGCCCCACCGAGCCCCTCCCCACCCTCCCCACTCAGCCCCTCCCCACCCTCCCCTACCCACCCAGCCCCTCCCCACCCTCCCCACTCAGCCCCTCCCCACCCTCCCCACCCTCCCCTACCCACCCAGCCCCTCCCCACCCTCCCCACCCAGCCCCTCCCCACCCAGCCCCTCCCTGCACGACGGACACAATAATCCCCTGTGGGCTGGTGTAACCAGGAGGTTCCTACCAGTAAAATCAGCACTTGGGGTTAAAAGCTCATTTGGTTTACTTATTCGAACTAAGCTATGTAAACCCTCAAGACGGATATGCTTATCCGAATTATGCTATATAGAGTCACCAAGTCGGATATGCGGATGCATGGTAGGGAATGTAATCGCCTTGAGTTGGATATGCGGATACATGGTAGGGAATGTGAATCGTCCCCGGCGCGGGCGGTGGGGGGGCAGAGTGCGGGAGTTGGTGGCGCCAGAAGCGGCGGCGGCAGGAGGCAGAAGCAGCAGGAGGAGGCAGCAGGAGGCAGCAGGAGGAGGAGGAGGCAGAAGCAGCAGGAGGAGGCAGCAGGAGAAGGCAGAGGCAGCGGGAGGAGGAGGCAGGAGGAGGCAGCAGGAGGAGGAGGAGGCAGAGGCAGGAGGAGGAGGCAGGAGGCGGTGCTGGGCTGGGCTGTACCCGCCGCCACACGAGCAGAAGCCGCGGTCATCATCGTCAACTTCCTCGGCTGTCTTCGCCGCCGTGGCCCCCGCCCGAGCCGTGGTGGCGACGAAGACGACGATGATGACGATGAAGTCGATGATGAAGTCGATGCCATCGCGGCCGTGAGCGGAGTGGTGGTGGCGGCGGCGGCGGCCGTGATGGCCTCACAGGAGCGACTCTACGAGCTGTGGATGCTGTACTTCACCAAGGTGAGCGTGCAGCCAGCAGCCAGGAAGAGGACGAGTCAACACAGGCCTCCTACTCATCCTTCTTCTTCTTCACCGCCACTTCACACAGTCTCCAACACAACTTTACATCGTCTTCACCTCCACCTCTTCACCACCTCACCGCCACTTCACGGAGTTTACAAACACAACTCTCCACCTCCTCACCTCCACCCCTTCACCTCCACCTTCTCACCTCCACCCCTTCACCTCCACCTTCTCACCTCCACCCCTCCACCTCCACCCCTTCACCTCCACCTTCTCACCTCCACCTTCTCACCTCCACCTCTTCACCTCCACCCCTTCACCTCCACCTCCACCCCTCCACTCCCTCCCGCGGCGCCGTCTCCCCGCCCGCCCGCCCGCCCTCCCGGCTGCGTGAGTTGTGGAGTCGTCCTCGCGGTTCGCCCGATTCGTTACCAAGCGGCAGAAGCCGCCGGCACGAGAAGCCGCCAAGGAGCCTCGCTGGTGCAGACACCGCACTGACAACAGCAGCAGCAGTGGCGGCAGCAGCAGCAGGAGGAGTAGTAGCAGCAGTATCAGCAGCAGCAGGAGCAGTGACAGCAGCAGCAGGAGCAGTGACAGCAGCAGTAGCAGCAGCAGCAGTGGTGGCAGCAGCAGGAGCAGTGACAGCAGTAGTAGCAGCAGCAGCAGCAGTAGTAGCAGCAGCAGCAGGAGCAGGAGGAGGAGAAGGCGCGCGGAGCTGCGGCGGCGGCCACAGGGAAGCGGCGCGGCCGAGGCGATGGAAGTGGCCGAAGCTGCCACGAGTCGATTGGAGCAGTAATAAGCCCGGGGGGGGGGGCAACAGTTGACACAGGGAGAGATGCAACAGGCAGCTGAAGCAGCAGCAGGAGGAGAATCTGGTAGAGACGCGAGAGAGAAAGTATCAGTAGGAGCGAGGATAGATTCGTGGGTGGAGAAGCAGCGAGAAGTGAGTTCGCTTTTCCGGGTTCCGTGCCTCGCCGCGATGGAGAAACATCCTGGACGCCGCTCGCGTTGGTTGACGTTCGATTCGGCTTCACGAGGCAGGACAAACTTAACATCCTCTAGCCCGTCACCTTAGTCTATCCATCTACCTAGTCCCGTCATCACTCGCCCCATCACCTTGCCCGGCACAGGTGAGACGCAGGTGAGCGGCAGGTGAGCGACTCCTGTTTGCTACCTGTTCGAGGCTCGGCCTTGTGGTCGCGATCGACTCCAACATTTGACCCCTGGGGGGGGGGACTCGACTCCCGTGTGACAGAGCTCCTGACATGCAGCCTACTCCCGTGCTGCCTTGTCTGCAGTTGGCCACTGTGGGTCTCGGCTATTTGTGAAGGCATTGTCTCGAGTGCTGTGTAATTATTGTAATTACGGGATTTGCAACAGTCGGGACTTTAATGTCCCGTGAAGACTGACAGATTTCCCAGAACAGGAGCTGCTGCCTTCTCACCAAGGTGGAAGAGCCCTAGAAGGAACATTTGGGTCTCGACCTCCACGCAATCTCCATTTCTTCTTTAACCCCAAACTCGCCCCATTCGTCTTGTCTCCAGGTGGCCCCTGGGGGATGATAACCCCTTGGTTAATTGTATACAAATCTAAATCATAGATGCATTTTGCCGGGTTCACGAGTATTGTCCAAAGTGACCTCACGGAGTTGTTGGCTGGACATTACTTCTGGGGTCTGACCTTCGGATAAACCCTGCATTCATTTTGTTTTACTACCTAAATCGGTCAACTGAAGTCTAAATTGTAGGTGACCCCCACCCCCCACCCCGTGGAGTTTCCACTTTTCAGATGACCACTTGGGCTATTGCTTCTACACATGACGGCCCTGGGTCCCAACTGCAGGTGACATTTGGGGATTCAGGTCCAGGCGACTCGGGTCTTACCGTAACGCGCTCTCCACGAGGCCTGTATTAACAGCCTGTCGTATTTCGGAAGCCAAGCAAAGTTGAGCCTGGATAGTTGTTGGAAAGGGTGACCGCCATGCACAAACAGGTTGTCATCGGGCTACGTGGTGGTGGTGGTTGGAGGAACAGGCAGTGCCGCAAAAACATCGTACCACGTCTATACTCCTCGCCTCTACCAATCCATAATTACCAGCTTGGTAAAGTATGTTCACGTAACCCCGCACGGCCCGCACGGCGTGTGCTGAGACCCCCATTCAGCAGTTTACCCCATGGGGTCGTCGGTACGTTAGCGGTGAACTCCTGCTGCGTGAACCGACATTGGGCTGAAAGGTCCGGGGTTCTTGGCTATGCAAGTGACTCGGGTGTCGAAGCCGAACAACAGGTGGGGCCCTGTGTAGGTGCCCAGGTGAGCACAGAGACACGGCGCCAATGTTGTGTATTGTTCGACAATTGTTCGTCAATATTTACTTACTGGCAGCAAACATTTCCAGACTTGTACTGGCCGCAACCTGCTCGCTGCTTGCTCTGAGCCAAGGGTAGCCACTCTTTAGTATACACCAAGCCTTGTTCAAGTTCACTAATATTTCTCCATTAAAATTAGGTAAATGTGAATAAAATCTTGACTTAAAGCTTTCGTGACTGTAGGAATTCATATTCTGTGGGTCTTTCGGTAAAGTCACGACCGCTTGTGTTGCGATCAAAACGTCGTAGTTTTTTTTATTTTTTTTAACCTATCTGCACGACTTTACCGAAAGACACAAAGAATATAAATGTGAATAATTGAGAAGTGTGGAGATTATGGATAATTTGAAAACTACGGTTCAACAGGTTTTTTTGGTAAAATCACGTAGGTAAAAAATAAAAAGAATAGAAATAATAATAGAAATATTTTATCCACAATAAAAAATATTTTTTGTGAATATTTAATTTCTATTATTATTTCTATTATTTGTATTATTTATTTTTTTACCTACGTGACTTTACAGAAAAAACCTAAGAGTATGAATCCTTGCAGTCACGAAAGCTTCAAATCCAGAAGTAGAGTATTCTATTGTCTAGATAAAATATGCACATGTCAAGCACTTTTGTCAATCCACTGCTGTATGAGGGCCGTTAGCACAGCCCCGGAGCAGCCTATGGCAACCTGGCCAAGTCACCTTCCAGGCTCAAACCTGCTTAGCTTGAGATCTAACGAGGTGGGATGCAATCCGGATGATTTGGCTATCGGCAAACCGTGTGAATGCAGTCATTGTTTCGACGTTTCTTTACGTAGGCACCTGTTGCAAGTCTTGCAATGCCTCTGACGTCACCGTTGTTAGTTGTGCAATGCCCCATGTCTTACTCATCGTGTGGGCTAGGTGGCTCTGTTGGATGGGCGTCCTTGCTCCGCTGTGAGTGTGGCTCAGCCGGCCGTGTTTTGTCAACACCGGGTGCCGGAGGCGGCTCGGCCTGGCCGCCCAGGCCCGGTTTAGGGCGACCCCCACCTGGGCAAGTTTGACCCTGAAGCGTGCAGACTGCTGTATACATCACCACGGGGTGTGCGCGTGGGTGAGGAGTGAATGTGATGTGTCACAGATTCTGAGAGTGTGTATTAGTCTGTGTGTATGCACGTGAGAGTGTGCATGTAAGAGTGTGTGTGAGAGAAACTTGTCGGAAGGCATGTGTGAGAGAAAGTGTTTGTAAGAGAGTGTGTAAGAGTGTCTGTGTGAGAGAGCGAGAGTGTGAGTGTGTCTAAGAGTGAGTATAGGACAATGTGTGTGAGGCAGTGTGTGTGAGAGTGCTAGCAGGCTAGAGCGTGGATATTGCTTGCTCGGTTGACCAACAGGCTCTAAACAGGATGTTATAGGCCAAGGTCGGCAAATACAAATCTATTTTTCTTTACCGACCTTGGCCTATATTCTAAATTTTTATTGACTGTATTTCTATTATTTTATTGTTATACTTTTTTCTATCTACGTGACTTTACCGAAAGAATCATAGAATATGAAAATCCATTGTTATACTGCACAATACTCCCAACGTCTATGTTCTCTGCCTTCACCAGCCAGCCCGAGCCAGTATTGTGAAGTGTGGTGGCAAAATAGCCACGACCCGCACGACAAAAGGGCTGCGTTTCAGTGAGTGGTTCCATGTCTGGAGGCTGGCCCACGGGCCTTCTCTGCACGTCGACCAAACGCTCGCCAGTGGGATGACGAGTTTGCGCTTGGGCAGGATGACTCTGGGTGTTGTTGAAAGATGGCCTGTGTGAAGCCCTGCCCTGCTTGGGAGCTGTCAACTGCCATGCGCACCATTCCCACGTACGCACGGCCACACCAGTTTAGTGCGATGTGTGTAACTTTCGATTACCGCTCATGACCAACATCAATGACGAATATTTAAACCCCTCCCGGGCCCCTCCTAGGTTGACTCAGCCTTAAATGAGTGCCTGGTGCGATGTGTACACATCGCAACTTGGGAGACAAAAGTGGCCGGGCGTAGTCGTATTGACAGCACTTGCCCAATCAGCCTTTGTGTCTTTATAGGGGAACTTTGTCTTAAGATCTATGAGGGCGAATATCAAATCGGTGGCATGATTGTACAAAGGCACAAGGAGAATTGACTGTGAAGCACTTGCCTCTTTCTACGAATGATTGTGTTGTGTGCTTATGCACTCCGACAATAAATTTCAGCTCATAGTGGTGTGAGTTTGGGCCAATGGCTCTTCCTCAGGAAGGAATGGACATTCCTGAGGAAGGCTGCCTGGCTCCGACATTTGGCTTTTTCCCCTTCGAGTCGGAATCGTTACCTTGCATTGTTTTCAACAATTCTACACATGGTGCACGGGGGAGTGGTGCCGCAGCGATTAGCGCATTGCGCCAAATTGACGGCGGTGATCCCGAGTATGATGCCTGACCACGGCTCACATGGGTATAAATTTATATCTATGACCGTCGTCCAAACTTCACCAAGTCATACTGACCAGCGTGGGAAAGTATGCTCAAACGATCCTCGGTGGCAGTCACGGCATGGGGGGGGGGGGGGAGGCCTTTATCCGCTGGTAGTTTGATAAGGGCCTGTATATTGACAACTCACGTGGGCAGTAGGTGCCTTCCC